GTACAGTCATCCGTCGTAGTCTAGGTGGTTAGGATACGCGGCTCTCACCCGCGCGACCCGGGTTCAAGTCCCGGCGACGGAACTCCTGTCTATCTGCCTGCTGTGATTCGTTTGGACGCTGATGTACGTGAGTTTGTGGAAGGCGCCCCCATGTCGCGCACTGTATTTGGTGCCTAGTAACTCTTGCCGTCTTCAGCAAACACTCGCCTTCGGTCCTACGCGCTCAGGAGTTTGCCAGCCCCAAACTGACAAGAAGCTGCGCGTAAATGCCGCAGCTTTGTTTGTCAGGGCACTGTCTAACATGCTCTACAGGTGATCGAAATACCCTCTTAAAAAGTTGCGAGTTTCTGACTTCTAGTGCAAAATGGAGATCCGGAGCATGCTCTCCGCGGACTTGTCTCACCGATTCGCAACTTTCTGCTGACACCCCGCAGTCGTTCGATGTTTCTCTACGTAGCTCCACTACAAGATTCAAAATGTGTAGCAATAAGGTTGCGCGGATATGAAATCATAAGAATATTACCAGAGTCGCCCCTACCAATGCAAATGAAAGTTGGTAGGAACTGTGGATTCATGGCTTTCCCTTAGGCGCTTGTCTTGCTCGCTCGCCTGCAACTGGCTTTGGTGGCGGATACCAAGCAACTGTAAGCGTCACTGGGGTCTTCCTGCTCATAGCAGTTTACCTGCTGATGTGACTACTAAGCTGGAATATTTCCACGGAAACCTGTGTGAATATCGCGACGCCACCGGGTAAAAATGGACTACGAGGTGAGGGAACAAAACAAGAATCCTGTGCAATTTGCACAAATTTCTGCCGAACGGGGATGTATCACTACGGTTACGGCATGTACCACACAGGCACTAGAAGCAGTCATTTATCAACCACTGTTGTTAGCCACTGAAGCCCACTTCTGCTGCTGCCAGAATACTGCTCAATAATTTCGTCAATGTGTCTTCGCCGTGCTTCTGGTCGTCGCTTGCAGCTGCTAAGCAGCAACATGCCCCAGCTACTCACAGGCTGCCCCTTAGCAGTGTACACGTATACATCAGGTTCACACAGTTGGTGCATTGGTGCAACGCTTTAATCCAGAAGCTTCAGAGCACTGAACCCTGGACCGCGAAGCCTAATTCATCAGCCTGAAAGCCTTCAACCCTACAAGGTAGTCCGCAGGGGATACAGCTCACAAAGGTATACAGCAGAGCTACACTATTAAGCAGTATCGAAGCCACAGCAACAGAGGTGCTGTACGGCAAGGAGCTGAGCAGCCGCAGACCGCTGGACAGCAGCGGGCTCTGCAAGAGCTGCCGTGCCACAGCATCGCAGTACGAGACAGTTGCCCTGTCCGGCTTCTTAATTTTGTTTTTTACGCCATTTTAATGCATCTTTGAAGAAGTTTCACAGCTAACAATCCAATCACTTTTGCTGTAAACCCAACCAGCAGGGCGTTGCAAAGGGAACGGCAAGGGCCCCGCCAGCAGCACGTGCAGCAGCAGCACAGTTAAGCTTCCCTTTGCGTTGTCTTCTGAAGATTCTTTTTTTCATCTGTATCGTTGAAGCAGTGCCCTTCTCCGTACCATCGGTTTTCCAGTTTCACAGCAGCTGCAGCAGCAGCTGCACTGGCACAGCTGCAGCAGTAGCAAAAGCTGCTGCTGCTCCAGTATCAGCGAAAGGCAGTGTGTGTCCTATTCTTTCTACTAAGACAAGAGCTAGACATAAAGTTGGTGACCGCCCAAGGGCCCCCCGAGGGCCCTACACTTCCACAGACAGTCGGGAGCGGGGACAAGCTCCAGCATGGCGACACGACCGAGCACTGTGCCTGCTGGTGTTCTTGCTGCTGCTCAAGCAGCGAAAAGCAGTGATTTTAGCCAAGCTGGAGTTTCTGCTGTTCCAGGAGCAGCGTCCAATGAACCATGCCAGGCCGCGTTCCTCGCTACGGCCACTCCGACTCCCGCAGACAAAAAAGCCGCACCCGGAGATGAGATGCAACTGCCTCACAGCAGCAGCAGCAACAACGGTGGCACCGGGAAGATTTTAAACAGTAGCAGCAGGTTGCTAAGCAGCACGAGCACATGCCGCGTTCCCTTGCTGTTAAAGGGAGAGGCAGACTCTTTCGTGGCTGTCAATGTTGGGGGCCTTGTCGCTGTGCCTTCTCTCCAGCAGAAGCAGCAGCACCACCAGTACAACACATGCTGCTCCTGTCAGGAACCAACAGAAAATTCACGGGATGCTTCTTTCTTTGTTTCTGCCGCTCTCTTTATCGACGGCCACAGAGCAGCACCCCCATGCTTGTTGTTGCCTCCCATGCAGCAGCAGAAGCAGCACGATAGTAGCACTGCCGCGGATATTCAGAGCTCGGCTGAAACAAAAGCACAGCAAATAGCTTCTGAAGCTGAGATGGGCTTGTGGCCTCGCCCTTGTCTTCACAGTCTGATAGGATTCTCTCCCTGTGGGACTGCCACTGCATCTGCTGCCTCTACCACCGCGGCCCAGAGTACTGATGCCGCGTCTGCATGGAATGAGGGAGAGATAAGTGCGGGTGGGGGAAGAACAGTAGTAGCAGCAGCGGATACAGAGGGGACTGCGGCTGCTTCTGCATGTACAATGGCGTGCACAGCAGCTGCAATGCCAGCGGCAGGACCGCAAGCAGCAGTAGGGAACGAAGCAGCAGCAGCAGCACAAGGAACGCAAACAGATACAGAAGCAGCAGCAGAAATACCAGAAGACAAAGCGGCACCGGCGGCAGCAGCAGAGGGAGAAGCAGAAGCAGCAGAGGCGCCTATGCAAGCTTCTCAAGAAACAGCCACTGAAAATGGCCAGGAGACCACCAGAAACATCTGGAGCAGCAGCGGCTGCTGCTGCTGCTCTCGTTGCGGTATAAACTACGTGTCGTTACAGCAGCTGGTGCGGCTGCCAGCTAAGATTTCTGCGCTTCCTTTGAACGCCCTGCTGCTTTTCGGGGTGTACATACATGATGACCTCGCTGCTGCTGTTGCCGGAGCTGGTGCCAGGGCAGCAGCTGCAGCACGGGCAGAGGCAGCAGCAGTGGGAGATGGCTGGCGATTGTTTGGGGTGTCACTGCTTCCGCTGCATGATGCTGCTGCATGCGTGAGGCAGGGAAGACGCCTACTGCCGATTCATTTGCTTCAGCAGTACTTGCCACTCTTGCCCAGCAGCAGCAAAAGTGCGGCTGGCAACAGCAGCACAGACTTGGAGCGGCGGCAACCAAATGTTTTACAGCAGCAAGAACTCGCAGCTCTTAGGGACGCCACGCTGCCCCTCTCGCTGCAGCGACTGCAGCGCAATACAGAAGGCAGAGCAGCAGCAACAGAAGCAGAAAGTGCTCCCGCCGCTCTGGGCGAGCCATTTAGGGTCTCAGCAGAGGCTGTGCTGTCTCTCCTATGCGCCCCTACTCTCCAGCATCAGCCAGTGCAGGAGCAGTACAAGCCACACGAACACCCATGGCTGCAGCCGCAACAACAGGAAAAGCAGCAACAGGAGGAGCAGCAGCTGCTGCTTGAAAGAGTTGAGGTGGAGGCAGCAGCAGTTCGTTGTTGCCGCCTGCTTGACTTGCTGCAGAGTGGTACTATACCTCCAACGGCGGAGACAGTGGACGCGGCAGCGCAGCGACAGCTGCAGCAGCAGTTGCAGCAGCACCTGCTGCTACTCCAGCAGCTGGCGCAGGCAGACTACGAGGAGGTTTGGAGGCGCGTCGCCTCGGCAGAAGCACCCCCAGAAGCAGACTGTGCAGCAGGAACAACAGCAACAGGCGTGCCGTTTGGGGGGTACCTGTACGTAGAGCTACCTTCCTATGGCTTGCCGCTGCTGCACGGAGAGCTGCGTGTGACTCGTGCAGCTGCACCAGTATCTATCTTTTCACCAGCAGCAGGGGCTGCAGGGCTGCAGCAACAGAGGCAACAGTCGCTGCTGATGCAGCAGCCTCTCGGCATCAACAGCAAGATGTCTGTGCCATTCCCCAACCCTCCCCGACTAAGCAAAGCGCACGCAGCCCCACCCGTTGCTCCTGCTGAGGCAGCGAAGCTGCTGCTTCTGCAGCAGCAGCACCGGCAGCAGGAAGCGCAGCTGCAAAAGCGGCAGCAGCACATGGCAGAACAGTCACAGCTCCCGCGGCTGCAACCCAGACAAGCAGATGTGCAGGATTCGGTACGCCCAAAGCCTCCAACATCAACAACAACGGCAATGGATACTGCAGCAGCAGCAGCAGCAGTAGAGACGGGGGCAGCCGACTCGCAGGCAGGAGCACCAACTGAGGCAGTGGCAGCAGCAGTAGCAGCTGTAACAGCGGCAAAGCCTGCCCCTCGGAACTGGCTCAGCAGAACTTGGGGCATAGCACCGCTGGCCCCTAGAGCGGCGACAGTGGCAACGGCAGTCCCACCAGGAGCAACAGCAGCCTCAGTTGAACAGGAAGCCGGTACTGCTAGGGCCTCCGGGGAAGAAGGGTTGCAGAGGCAAGCGGCAGCAGCACAAACAACAGAAGTAGCGCATGCGGCAGCAAACACAGCTGCACAAATTACAGCGCTTGAGGGCTCACAAGAAGGCAGCGTTGCCGCTGGTACTTCAGATGCAAGGAAAGCACCATATACTGCAGCACCAGGTGCTGCCACAGAACGAGCTCCAGTTGGGGATTCGGATGAAGAATGCGCTGAGCAAGAGCAACAAGTGCAGTTGCGGCAGCTGCAGCTTCAGCAGCTGCAGCAGCAGCGCAACTGGAAGCTACTGCTCCGCAATCCTTCAGTGGCCGAAAGGCTTCAGAGAAGACTGCTAATCCATGATGCCTCGTGCGGCGTGACTCACCCAGCAGCTGCACGTGTTGTACAGCCACCTGTTCAAAGCACTTCCTGTACGATGCTGTTGCTGCTGCCGTTGTCCCTGTCGCCGGCTCAGTGGATTATGCTTTCGTGCTGTGCCAAGCATGCATCAGGGGGTCAGCTGCTCGTTGTATTGGCTTTGGGATTTTGTGCTTTTGTTATATGCCTTCAGTTGCAGCTGCAGCTAGCCAGCTACCACCTGCTGCAGTCGCTCGGGTATTTCAACGCGGGCGCGTGGGCGTCGGCTTTTCAGAGATGGGATGGGGAGAAGAAAGAAGTCTCCTCTGGTCTTACAGGTGTCTTTCTGCTGCTGCTGCCGCTGCCGTTCTTTGTGTTGGTTCTGCTTCTGAAATCACTGCTACCGCGGCGGCTGGTGGCAATAGCACCTGGCTTTGCGGCATGAAAGAGACCTGCGTCCACGTGGATCTGCTGCAGCTGCAGAGTTCCTGACAATGCTGCTTTTTCCCTGTCTCTTGCTTTTTCATGCACCGTACCTCTCGTTGCCTACACTGCTGCTGTTGCAGGCACCACTTGCTGCGGGTCCCGTTCGCGCTGCCAAGGCTGCTGCAGACAGTAGACTGGAGCGCCAGCAGCAACCCTCAGCAGCAGCAGCAGCAGCAGGAGGCTCTCGAGCTGCTGCAGCTTGTGGACCCGTCAAGACTCTCTGTTGAGGAGATCTTGGGTTTGCTGCTTTTCTCGCAGGAGGTGGAACCGGCAGCAGCAGCGGCCGCTGCAGAAGCACAAGCCGCAGCAGCTCTTGCAGAGGCAAAAGCAGCAGCAGCAGCAGCAGCATCAGGAGGAAGCAATATCTTGGGTACAGAGAGTAATGCCGGTGATGCTTTTGAGAGCAGTAACAGCACCACAAACATCAACAGCAGCAACAGCAACAGTATTGCTGCTGCAGTACATGCGAAGGTGAAGGAGCTAGCAGTACAGGGGCTAGATGTGGCCCCTGAGGAGGACCTGCTCTTTTTCATGCAGCAGCTTGTACAGCTCATAAGGTGCGCCATCACAGGCATTGTGATTTGCAGTGACTAGCTGCGAGCAACTCGCTTTCCATACCTTTCTGATTGGCTGCATTTGAGCTGCGTCTGTATTTGTCTGTTTTGTCCTTCCGTCTCATACATTTTTTGTGCCACGTTTTCGTTTTTGCGTTTTCATTTGACCCAAATTCTCGGCGTTTTCTTCCGAGTGCATCTCCCGTCAACGTTTTACTAGCCCTTGGTGCTCCCACTGTTGCTGTTGCTGCTGCCTGTGCTACTGCGGCTACCCTTGTATTCAGGACAGATCAGCACGTGAGCGGGAGTGGCTGTCGGCTTGTGGGGTCTCTCATCCGTCGCAGTCTGAAGAGCCCCTCATTGGCCCTGTGTTTCTACTGGCTGCTACAGTCAGGCAAGGAACACTCGGTGAGATAGTGAACGAAAATAGGCTGATAATAGCGGATGTCGAAGCAGATGAAGACAGGTGCAAAGTGCTATGAAACTAGTGACTAATTAAGCAGAAAGCAAGCTGTAAATCTGGTGCGATGAGGAAACTTACGAAACAAAGCAGAAGCTGATGACGAGTTAAACTTCGGGTGCAGTCATATGGGGGCACTATGGCCAGTATGCAGAGGTTAACAACCAAAGCCAGACCTGAATGTAAAGATGAACGCAGACACTAAGAGACACGAACAGACAAAGAAACGAGCAGCTAGACTGCAGGAAAGTGATCCGTTGTGTTATAGTCCTTGTCTTTGTCGTATCCTGTCTGCCTTTTAGTGTTTCTCTTTCCCATGGTTTCTGTGATCGTTAGGAACTATCACTTAAAGCTTGGGCTCCAGGTCTTTAAAAATTTTGAGTCTAGACTGTAGGATGCGATGCGTAGGGGCAGGTGCTTGGGAAGGGGAATTGGTTGTAAGTTAATGTTCGCACGATTGCGGAAGCATACCGTACAGCCAGTGCACTCTAACAGCTTAGCGCTAGTTTTTCTTCGTCTGGGATTTCAGGCGGATGGCCATTTGTACGTGAGGGCGGAGCAACGCTTTTTAGACTCTCTCCGCAGGCGAAGGCGGCGAGGCTGCAGCACAACTCCGTCGCATCACAAACACCAGCAGCAGGGGCATGATCTAAGGCAGCCAAACCAAAAGCAACAGAAGCGTGAACAGCAGCAACATCAAGACCGGCAGCAGAGTGAGCAGCAACAGCAGGTACATCCTCGCATACAGCAACAGGCCGAGATGGCGGAGGAGATACTACAGCTCCTTGAGAGGCAGGTACAGAGGCGCTTATAGAAACAGTTGTAGCAGCAGCAGCTTCAACATTATCAGATGCACTCAAGAGGCACGGAGCAGCTGATAAGGCGCGTTGAATGTCCTTATGCGGGCGCGCTGCCGAGACGTGTATGTTTAACTGTTTCTGTTCCTCTGACTGTTGAGGTTCCTCTGCAGCGCGCCCTGCGCAGTTTGCTTCTGTCTCTCAACAATAAACTCAAGGCTAGGAGAGAAAGAGTTGACAAAAGGTCCGAGCGGCTCAGGCTGCTGTTGCAGGTACGGCAGCCTGCTGTTACTGCCTGCTGCTAGTCATATTCCTTGTGTTGCTACTCGATTTCTCGGAGCTGCTCACAAGGAGCGTGGTTGTGGTCTTGCTGGTGCCGCTGCTGAGCATCGCTATGTTGGTAGAATTTGGCTCGTTGATTCCTTTTGCCTTCTAACGCATCCTACTGCTGCCGTTGTTGCTACAACTTCAGAGACTTTGTCGTGACGGCTTCGCGTCGCTCTTCCCGTTGGCAGAACACCACGAAGGGCCGCAATACCAGCACCAGGAGGAACAGAAGGAGCAGCAGGCGAAGACAGGAGCTCCGACCGAGCGAGATACGCAGCCAGTGACGGAGGGATCTAGCCAAGGAAAAGCTGCCGCTACAGGTCCTGCAGCAACAGACGCAGCAGAAACAGCAGACGCAGTAGGTGCTGCACCAGCAAAAAGTGGAGCAGCAGCGGGACCAGCAACAGAACCAGAAACATTGTCAGCACGCCAAGCAACGGCATCAGCACGAACAACACCAGCAGTACCTGCAGTAGCACCAGGAGCGCCAGGACTGACGGCTGGAACGGTCTCTTCCGACCAAGTGACTACCGCGTCGGACGAAAACAATCGCATTAATGCTTTACTCCAGGCGTGTCTTCGAGGGCCCGGCACAGCAGCAGAAGCAGCAGCAACGGCAGCAGCTGCTGCAGAAGCAGCAGCAGAGTTTGGGATTCCTTTGCCGTTCGACTGCTCATCTGTGCTTCTGCACATTGTGGCCGAAGACTGCTATGTAATGAAAAGCAGCCAGTACCCTTTAGTTATCAAAGCCCTTACTTACCAACAGCAACACCACCACCAGCACAGTTCAAACCAGCGGCAGGAGCAGCAGCAAGGTGTACTACGCCTGCAGCGCTTTCTGTACAAAGCTGATGATGACCTGCGCCAAGACGTGCTAGTGCTGCAGTTGATTTCGTACATGAACAAAATTCTTCTTAAATATGGACTGGATCTCAAACTCACACCCTACAAGGCAAGGAAGTTGTACACTGCAGAAAGCCTGTGCAGCTATACAACACAACTCGGCAGTGAGGTCCGACCGTCAACAACTAGCTAATACAGACCAAGTTGCCATCACAAGAAGCTAAACGCATCCAGGGATGCCCAGATAATCAACAGAAGCTACCATGAGGCACCTGGCTTGGAGCGGCAGCGTCAGCGCAGCGAGGTAGTGGCACCGTCTGCTTCAGCCTTCAGAGGCTGATTTGAATCTAAAGGGCTAAAGTCTAGAACCTAACAGCATCCCTTGAACGCCTCAGTGCGGCTGTGCAATGTTTGCTTTTCGGAGAGCGAATCTGTTAGGATTCGTAGCACACTGGGGTTGATTCGTAGCACACTGGGGTTGAGCTAAGGTTGGCAGGCTAGGGACCGGGTTTGAAGCCATGGGACTTTGAGCTGTGCAGGTGGTGGCATTTTCGTCGTCTGACGGCTTGATAGAATTCTTGGAAGGCTGTGTCTCCTTTGCGCAAGTGAAACGCGACAACAAGTCCCTGCTGTCTTACCTCGAGTCGGTCCACAGCAGCAGCAGCAGCGCGGAAGAGCTGAAGCGTAATTTCCTGGCGTCTTGTGCTGGTTATTGCGTGGCGACTTATCTTCTTGGGGTCGGAGACAGGCACCTCGACAATCTGCTGCTTAGAAAAGATGGGAAGATGCTACACATTGACTTTGGATTCATTCTTGGAGAAGGTGGGAGGCAGGTTCTAGCCGCTGCTGGTGTGGTTGGCGTGATTGCTGGGCTTGCTGCTGCAGTTGGTGACATCAATGTTGTGCAGAGTAGTGCTTGGCGTACACTTTTTTGAGGCTTTGGTGCTTCTGTTTCTGCGTATTGTGTTGCCACGGACACTGCTGCGGCACCATCGGGTGTGTGCTGTAGCGTACGTGGATGCTGTTGTTGTGGTACAGCTGCTGCTGCTGTTGCGTGCAGACCCAAAGCCGTTCGCCCCTCCGATGAAGATATGCCGTGAGATGGTGGAGGTGTTGGGTTCAGTGGACTCAGCCGAGTTCGCTTACTTCCTGCACTTGTGTTGCCTTTGTTTTAAGTATCTTCGCATGCATGCCTATCCAATCTGTCTGCTGCTGGAATGTATGGCCACCTCCAGCCTGAAAGACATCGCCAAAAATCTAGTTAGACTACCGGACAAACAACAGGAACTGCAGATCCAGAATCAGCTTCTGCTGCAGCAGCAGCAGGTTAACCTAAACGGAGCGTCGCCGCCGCCTCCAACCGAAGCTTCTACTCCCGCAACTGGGACTGCTGCTGCTGCTGGCGTTGCAAAGACCACGGACACAGCAGGCGAACTCGCTGTGGCAGCTGCGGCAACGCTGGTTCAGCAGCAGCAACAGCAGCAGCATCAGTATAGGCAGAGCCAGTCGGCACAAAACTCGCCAACAGAAGTGCAGCGCACTCCAATGCCCGAAAGTGAGCCTTTGGCTGTTGCAGCAACTGCTCCAGAGATGGCTGTGGCAGCCGAAACCACAGCAGGACCTGCAGCAGGAATTGACTTAGGAACAACAACTGGAACAGCAACAGGAACACCAGCAGAGGCGCCAGCAAGAACGCATGCGGCAACTCCTGCGGGGACCCCGTCGGGAACATTGGCCGCAGATACTGCTGCTGTGCCTCTGAGTAGGCCTGGAGCTGCAGCAACGGCTCCAGATTCCCCTAGTCGAGGGGCGTTGGGCAGCAACATGAACGCGCCCAGCGCGAGCCTTCCCCGTACCAACCTTGCCGGTTCCAACCTTCCGGGCAGCAGCCTTCCCAGCAGCATTCTTCCGGGCGGCAACGTTACCGCGAGCAGCCTTCCCGGCAGCAGCGTTCCTGGCAGCAGCAGCAGTGGCCGGTTGGTGTGTTTGGCCATAGAACGCGTCAAGGCTCGTTTTCACCTAGACTTAACCGATGAAGAGGCGGAGCAAGCACTTGTTGGGGTCATCCTCAGCAGCGCTGGAGCGCTGTTTCCTGCAGTGGTCGACAGACTGCACGAGTGGGCCATCTACTGGAAGTAAATTGTACTTTTCGTGCTGTGTGTGCTTTCGCTGTTGCTGCGCTTGCTGGGGTAATTGCGATGGCGGCGATTCGGTGCTGCAGCTAGTTGTTTTACTGAGGCCAGCTCTCTGCCGCTATTGTGCAGCTGCTGCTCTTTTTTGCGGCCATTTGTGCGCTGCGGCTGCAGCTACTGTAGCTTCTGCAGCAGCCGGAAGCGAAGTTTGTGGAGGCACTGTTTGATTTATGGGAGTCGTAGTTTGGACTGTAGTTGGCCACATGGTCATCCATAGGGCCGACTAGCCCCAGTCGGCTGCTCAAATTCGATGAACGTTACAGTGTTAACGTAATGAACGCAGTGAGTATTAGTAGCTGGCCAGCGAGATAGCTAGCTAACTATCCTGCTATGGTTCTGTCAAATGTTGCCGCCTAGCTGGTCAACGTACTCACGTGGCGGCGCTGCGTGCTTCGTATACCTAGCTGCAGAGGGCTGGCACGAGTTCCACGCGGCAACTGGCTATTGTCGCCTCTGGGTTTTGTGGGACTTGAAGAGATACGCAATCCCGAAGCTTGTTAGAAAAGCCAGCTCAGTGCCTGGTACGTAGCCGCTCATCCAGTGGATGCCTGGCAAGCTGGCTGACGCGCATTAGTGAGCCATGTGGCTAGCTAAGTGACTACGTGGCTAAGTGGGTACGACTCGTCCACGGATTCACACAGCGAGCAGTTACAAACGTCACTGGGGATCTCGCGCCAGCTGGATGGTTCTTTCGGAGCCTCCAACGTTGCGCTGGTTGGCTAGCTGGCCATTGGCTCTCTTTGTGGCTTCTAGCTAGTTGCGTTGAGGGTCCAATGGCATTGCTGCTGTACTGCAGCGTGGAATCACTAGAGCGTCCTTTGGTGCCGAAGAGGCAGACTCTTGGACCATAGTTTCGTTACAGTGTGGCTTGTAAGATAACACAAGGATCCATATGACGCCGCCACTTTTTGGGCTTAAAGTGAAGTTTGAGGATAAGTGCCTGTATGTGGATATGGCTTTCACCAACATAGTTTCTGATGGAGCTCTGGCGTCTGTGATCTTTATTGGTTGGCACTGGAGAGGAACCAACAAATGCCTGCTTTCCATAGCTGCTTCGTTATTCTTCGAGTGCAGTCGTGCGACGCAGCATAGAAGTTTCACAGCAGTGAGATGCAGTAACAAGGACTGTTTTCAGTGTCGCCACTACTGCAGTTGCTTCCCCTTGTCTGCTAAGCAGTGACAGCAAAAAGGCAGAAGCTTAATATACCTCCGCACGTAAAGTGCCTTGCTGCTGTGATGCTGCTCACAGCTGCTAACTTCCCAACTATTGCTTGTCCAGTTGCACTGTCGTTTATTGCTCCTTCCGAGGTCGTTGCTGCCATTAAAGTTCTGGCACTAAACGCCTCTTAAGCCTCCTGTCCCTTGAAGCCTCAGATTTCGTGCGCAGAGCGACTCTCACCCTGTGCCTAATCACAGTTGTGTGCTGCGTACGCCCATTCACTCATGATCGATTGCTGCCCCTGCTGTTGGTGTAGCAACGAGCACCTCTCCTGGGGGAGCTCTAATCTCAAAACCTAGGTTGCTTCTGCTGCTCAACCTGCTGAAGACACTGAGTCTGCTGCTACTGCTGATATCCAGATGGCAACGAGCCAAAAACAGGAGCAAGAAGCACTGCAGCACCAACTGCGTTAGCAGCCCCGCTGGAGGGCCGCCGGTCGAAATAGGGCTGTTCGCATTTATAGCTTACTGATCAAAATCTACTGCTTACACTTTGTGGCTTATGGTAAAAGGATCTACGGTTTGTGGCCGAGAGCGTCGGCGCGCGGGGTCGCTCCCTCCGGCAGCAGAAGGCGCAGCACAGCAGTCAGCAGCAACTGCTGCTACAGCTGGTTCCTTTGCCCCAGCCACTGCAATCATGGAATTCATCAACGAAGTACTAACAGAAGCAATGCCTTTCAAAGGGAATCAGCCAACAGCTGGCGCAGCAGTAGCTGTAGGAGCCGCAGCAGCAGTCGCAACAGCGGTGGCGGCCGCAGCAGCAGCTACCTAAGCCCCAATAGGCGGGGACGATTAAGAGAAGATGAGGTCACTCCCCTTCGTCCGAATTCCTTGATGTTAAACCGTAAATCCTAAACCCTCACCAAGTCTAGACCCTTGAAGCCTAAGGAGCGGTGAGGACACCACGATCCCGCTGCTGCTGCTGCAGCACAGGACTCCGCAGCTGCAGCAGCAGCAACAACAGCATCAGAAACTAAGGAGCCATCGGGAGCAGCTGCACCAGAGCAAAGCCCAGTAATTACAACACAAGTAGCAGCAGCTGCAGACCCCATTTCTTTCTCTCCACGGCGAGGCAGGAGACAGCAAGCAGATGAGCCCCATTGGACGTTGCTGCAGTAGCAGCAGCAGCCTCGACAGCAGCAGCCGCAGCAGCAGAGTTAGGCAAGAAGCAGAGGCCACCACATCGTATTGTTGATGTGGTCACAGTGCGGGGCCCCCTCTGCTGCGGCTTTGGGGTGTCTGTACACGCCAGTCCTTGTGCATGCTTGCTGCTACCGACCCTGCTGCCGTCAGCAGCAGCAGCAGCAGCAGTAGCAGCGGCAGCTGCTACTGCAGCTACTGTCTGACGTTGAAGAGGCTGGGGCCTCAACAGGACCCACTGCTTTATTCGCCCACAACGTAGTCGGCCGAGTGTACACAGCACTGCAGCAGCTGCGGCAGCAGCTGCAGCTGTAGCAGCAGCTGCAGCAGCAGGTGCAGCTGCTGCAGCTGCTGCAACAAAAGCTCCAAGCTGCACAAGTGCATACGTTCGACACGCAAATGGAAGATAAGGATGAGGCACCGCCCTCAAGGCCGCTAACTACAGCGGACCCACAAGTAGCAGCAGCAGCAGGTGCTGTTGCTGCTACTGCCGCAGCATCACCAGAAAGTGCAGCGGCATTCAGTTTACCGGTGGCAGCAGCAGGTGACGCAGCTCCAACAGCACCAGCTGCACGAGCACCAGCTGCGCCAGCAGCAGGGCTAGCAGCAGAAGACGCAGCAGCCCGAACCCCACCGGCGACAGCAGCCGCAGCCGGTGCTTTACCGGAGGCAAAAACACCAAAATTGGTGGGTATTCGGCTTTTTCTCGGTGCAGCAGCAGCTGCTGCTGCTGCAGTTTGGCTCCTGCTTTTGCTGCTGGCCTGGGGTGAGCTTGCCGACCAGCCCCTGCAGGGCCCGTGGACCCGCGATTGGACCCGCGGGACTGCAGCTGCTGTTTTTGCGGCTGCTGCTGCTGCTGCAAAGGTTTTCATGCCTTCCCGTGTTGTTGCTGGGGCGGTGACCCAGGAGCAGGTGCTGCAGCAACAGGCATTTCAGCAGGACTTACTCTTGCCGCAGCAGTCCCGACAGCAGCAGTTGTACGCAACAGACCTAGAGACAGAGGGTTTGTCGGTGCAAAACAAGGTGGCCGAGGAGGAGCAGCAACAAGTGTTGCTGCTCCTGCTGCAGCTACAGCAGCAGCAGCGGCGCCGCAGGGCAGCAGACCCTCGTTCGGTCCCTTCTATGCGTCTGCTGCAGTCGCTAGTTAAGGCGCATGCCGCAGCTCGAGCAGCATCTGCAGCTCGAGCAGCAGCAGTAGCCCGAGCAGCGGCAACAACAGCACCACCGGCCGAATCCGCAGATGCAGCAGACGACGACCTAAGGGAGTTGCTGCTGCGGGAGGGCTGGCTGGTGACAGATAACAAGCGACAGAAAACAATACGACTGCCACAGGAAGCCCGCGAGCTGCTGCTGCAGCAGGGAGGCCTTGGTCTGCAGCAGCTGCTGCTGCAGCATATACAAGCAGCATCCGACACCGTCACCACCATCCCTAGCCCTACCGTCTCCACTCTCACGTCCATCGCAAGCGGCAGCAGCAGCAGTAGCCGCAGCAGCGGCGGCGTCAACAGCAGCAGCGGCTTGGTTTTGCTTGCTGGCTCGACCCCTCGCCGTTTGTTGACAAGCTCAGCCTACTCGCGTGCCTACAAGCAACTGTCTGAAGCGCTCCACCCTGACCGGCTCACTCGCGCAGTGAAGGTGGGGGGCCAGTACCTGTACCCTTGGAGTGTGTTTACAGACCAGGAGAGAGAGCAGCTGCGGCTCATGGCCGACCAGCTCAAGTGGCTGCCCAAGTGGATTAAGCACCACAGGGTGGCCCGGCGGCCGCCTCCGGGGGCCTTGAGGCGCCACCTGCCGGTGCTGCAGCCAGTCTATACAGACCGCTACGGGGGCCCCGGATCAGCTGCTGTCGGGGCTTCTCCCGGTGTGCGCTACACTTGGCTAGGCCATGCTTCTGGGGTGTTATCTATAGACGGTCTAAACGTGCTGATCGACCCGGTGTTGGGAGACGATATTGTCGGGGCGATGCACGAGTGGGCCAAGAAGTTCATTAATTTCTTCAACACCAAACTCTGCGGCAGTCTGGGGGAACGGCTGCGGAGAGCCCCCGCGCGGGTCGGGGAACTGCCCCCGGACCTGCATCTGGTGGTGTTGTCGCACAACCACCAGGACCACATAATGGAGGGAGACATACAGAAGCTTTGCCGCACCCACAAGGCGCGGTTCAAGCACCTCATGTGGTACGTGCCGGAAGGGGTTGCTTGGTTTCTGGTCAAGCACGGCTGCTCGCCCAAGAGAGTCTATGAGTTCACCTGGGGGGAGAGCCGAACCCTCTCCTGCATGCCCAGGAACGGGCAGTACTCGTGCACAGACGGAGTGTGGCGCAAAAGTTCGAACACCAGCGCACACTCGGGGATCACAAGGAGCAGAAACAACACACAGACGCAGCAGCAGCAGCAGCAGGTGCAGCAAAGTAACAGGGCGCGAGGGAAGGGAGCAAACAGGGGCCCCGTGGAAGCCGGCAAGTCCAGCAACAGACACTCCCATTACTTCAGGCCACAGACGAGCTCTGAAAAGCAAGATAATAGGAGTGGCTCACATGGAGGTCCAGGAGATATCGGGGGGGCACTTTGGAAGAGGAGCCCCCTGTTCCGCGGTAGCCGGTGGGGCCGAGCGGCGTTGCCTCAGCGTTTGCCAGGAACGCAAGTGTCTACAGCATCGCCCTCACCTGCCCCTCTGCAGCAGCAGCGCACTGCTTCGTCTTCTTCCCAGCACCAGCAGCAGCAGCTGCTGCTCCCTGTCTCTGGCGAGGGCGGTGTCGAGGGGGACACCCCAGTTGACCACTTTACGATAACGTTTGTGGGTAACGTGCACTGGAGCGGCCGAAGCCCAGCCAAGACTGATCATAACACCTCTTTATGGGGGGGATTTGCGGTAAAAGGCCCACGGCACAGCTTCTTTTTTGGGGGGGATACCAGTTACCTGCGTCCTGAGTTTGACGAGTTCAGGAAGGTGGGGCGACTGCTGGGGCCCTTTCACTTGGCGGCGATCGCAATCGGGGCGTACGAGCCCAATGAGGACCTGCGCTTTCAGCACGTTAACCCCCAAGAGGCCCTTGCCCTCTACAAAGACATAAGGGCAGAGGTCGCTGTGGGGGTTCACTGGGGCACCATGAGGTTGTCTGCCGAGAATCTCTTCGACCCCATGCTGGAGCTAGAATGCGCGCTTCTGGGAGTGCCTCTTCATGCATGCAGAGGGGAAACGATGCCACCTGCTACTGCATCTGCTGCTTCTGCTAATCCAGCACCGGCGGCAGGCTGCTCAGGAGCGGGAAATGCGGGGACGGCTGTGGCGGAAACAGCTACGCCGTCTGCTGCTGGGGCTGTCTCTCCAGCTGCTTTAGCAAGCGCAGGGGCAACAAATGCAGAGGGTGGGGAGGCACAGGCTGGTGGCGCAACGAAGGCGCCACAGAAAAATTCCAAAGGTTCTGGCCCTTCGAAGGGGAGTATTAGAGCTGCCGAGGCCGAGGGCGTCGGGGACCGCGTCAACAGCAACAATGGCAGCAGCAGCAGCGATGCCATGAGCACAGAGGCTACTGTAGAGGATCCTTTTCGCCATCACCAACGCGAGGTAGAATCTGAGACCCTAGTAGCGGGCTCTACAGTAACTGCTTGCGTCTTGCTGGAACCAGAGCCCGAACTCGACGACCCGTCCGTCTCCGCAGCGGCTGCCCCTGTCGCTTTGGGGGTCTCTTCAGGGACGCCGGTTTCCGGGGGAAGCTCTAACGTGGGAGAGATTGGCGGAGGGGGGTCGTTGGGGACCCTCACGAGCGGGCGCGGGTCCGGGGGCGTGTCAAAGTTAAGGCCAGCCATAGAGGCCTTTTTGGACACCCCGGTTGCAGCCCTGAGGAGAGGGCGACGGCCGGGGAACCTGCGAGAGGCATTTGCGCCAGGCTTTAACTTTAGTGCAGCGTTGCAGCCAGTGAAGCTATGGAGTGATCCGTTGCTCTATCCTAGCAACTTCAGAAGGTGAGGGCTCAGAGTTCATGACTTGTGACTCGTCGGCTCATTCAGTTGATTGCTTGGTTGCCTCACGTTTTCTCTCATTTGAATTATTCTTGCTAGCGTGCAGTTTGACTTCAGTGTGCGCTGGCGTGGTTAGAGTGTGTGGCGTTTATCGGCGTATGTGTCTGCTGTCATTGCTGTGTTCGTTGATACGCCTCTTCTTGAATTTCAGTCTATTTGCATTGAGTTGATGACTTGACTAACCAAGCTTTTCTATACTTGTTGATTTTTCTAATTTTGTTCAGGCTGAGGCGTGCGGAGAAGTTGGAATCGTTGGGCCTGTTAGACAATGACCCCCACTGGCGAGAGCGCCTGCTTGTTGATGGTTCCCGTTTTCAGACCCTACACATAGGCCATTCAATACAAGTAATTTCTTCTGACGTCCCGTTTTGCATTTGACTCGCTCGGACGCTTTTAGTATTCGATTCGGCCGCTTTTCCGTTGATTATTTTTCTGCCTCTCTGCTCTGACTGCTATTTTGTCCACTTGTTCCTCTGTTTTGCCTTTATATTCATTGTCCTGTCTCCTGGTTTCGGTTGAGACTCTTTCCAAGCCCATTAGCTTACTTTTTTGCCTCTAGTTTTCATTTTATTCCTGCGTATGTTTGCTTTTTGCTCTGCCTAACTTATTCTCTCACGAATCGCGTTTTTCATCCGCTTTTTGTTCCCCGTATTTCTGTGCCTCTTTGTTCGCCTAGCGGCCTCACGACATGTGGTTCATGATGTGGCTTCCATCCGTTACTTAGCGTGCACGTACTCCTAATGATTTCCTCCGCATCTCCCCATATATATCCAATGTTTGCCTACCTGCCTGTTCAGGTTGAAGAAGGTGGTGACGGTACATATCTGCTGATGTCCCGCAGCAGCGCCCGTGATCACATAGATCCCACCGCTGCTGCTGAGCAGTACGCATTCTTGCCTCGCTATTTTACTCCAAGCATGAAGCAGAAAGGGGCCTCCCCAGAGGCTAGCCCTGTCTTTTCAGACATTCCGTTCAGCTACGCAGACGCAGCAGCAGAAGCAAATTTAGCAACGAGTTTCAGCAATGCGGTCTTCAACCTGGAGCATACCATCGGCAGGCCACAGTACCAAATCCTATCCCCCGCTACAGCGGCGGCAGCAGCGGATTTCTCAGCAGGTCGAGCCGCGTGGGCTGCAGCCTCAGCAACAACCCCTCCAGCTGCAATGCAGCAGCATGCAGAGCAGCAGCTGGAGGAAGACCTTGAATTGTTTGATGTTTTGGACTGACAAAGGACAGAGACAGAAACAGAAGAGACAGAAACTGCCACTCAAGGCCTGCCTGTGCTGCGGAGGCAGCAAAAAAAGCAGCAGTCGCAGCAAGAGACATGAGAGCCGAGGCTTCTCGTCTTGCTCTATTGCTGCTGCTTGTGGTAGGCGGGCTGCAGCAGCAGCAGAAAAACGCTTGCTGCTGCTACCGCCATCTCTTGTTTTCTTGCTTTGTATGTTTGTGTGTTTTGACAAGGACAGGGGGCGGTTGCTGGTGCATGTAGGCATGTGTATAGAGAACAGCAGCGGGTGTTGTCATAACGAAAATGCATATGAATGAAGGTGAACTAACAGAACTGAGTGAATAGGAGCAAACGAATAGATAGCGGCGAACAGATACAGGTCACTAGGGTCATGGGCATGCAACAATTAAGTGTCAAAGAAAGTAGAGCCGACGATAGAGACAAACGAAAAACAGACACGCAAAACCGGCATACATAGGTAAGCAGGAAAGCACAGAAACGCAGGCAAAGGGGCATGCTAACGGAAACATGGAACGCACACAGAAAGACGTAGCCAGGAATGGCGGCATAGGCGAACAAATAAGATAACAGTTTACGAGCAGCTCCGCAGAGTGGCGGGCCTACACAACTACGCAACGGCGTGTACAGACAATCGGCCGAGCAGGGAATCAAATGAGGGGTCCATGCACGTATATTGAACACAGATAAATGAATCCGGGGACGCGCAAGCCGCTGTGCTGAATTTTGGAGCCCTGGCACAAGCTGCCTCTGGGCTTTTTCAGCAGTTTTGTTCCTTTCATTTGTTTCCTTGCTAGTTTTTCGCAGAGTAAGGAGATCATAAAAGACAAGAATTGCGGGAGGAAAGCACATCGACGAAACGGGAGACAACACAAACAACAAGATAACGGGCACGGGAAGGCCGCAGCGAAGGCGCGAAGGCGTTGAGGTTGGGGAAGGGCACACAGAAGTGGACAGGCATGCGTGCTCAAAAGTCATCAGTCCTCCGGAATAAAAAGACAGGGATTGTCATAGGCCTAAGTGGAGAAGTGAGGAAATAAGGAACTTGGAACAACGCTAAAATCCTAACAGCGGCCTCTCCTTTGTCTGCAGACGTTTTTGTCTGTATTTCCCTCCTATCACCATCATGTTCACTTTATCGATTGCTTGACTGTCGGCGGAAACTCCCCTCAAACTGAACGAACAGATGATACAGTTTGCTGTTCGCCACTGGCTACTAGCTACAGCTAAAAATTACACCTAGCGGCTCGTAGCCTCAGCTAGGTGGAGTACTCATGAGGGGAGATACGGCAGCCGCGGCTCTCCTCGTAGTAGCACTAAGGTGAAGCCTTCAGTTTTAAGGCAAGAAGGCAATTTTATGACGGGGAAAAATGAAGCGGGGGCAGGATTAAGCCTGAACTCTTTGGCGTCACTTGTAAATCATCGGCGGAAACCGTGGGAGCAGCTCAGTATGGAACACCAATACGAGGAGTTGGTTCACTGCCCACACGGCTGCTATCTTTGTCTTCCATAAAAAGTGTACCTTGGTGTATGCTTTTGTGTCTGTCGATGGTACAGCCCGCTTGCCAAACAAGAGCTGAGCAGCGCTTTTGCAGTTGCCACAACGAAAAAACCCAAGGGGGCGGACAGAAGGCAGAGGAAAGAAGACAAACAGCGGTTCAAATGCAATGGCAAAGCAACTGCTACGTGAATGAAATTGGTGTGACTAAGCCAGATTCGATTCAGCACACCTTCAGCAAAGCTTGGGATGCCGCCGACAGTGCACTCGTGTTTTAGTCAAGATGGTTCTGATGTATGTGAAATGGAATCTCGTATTTTTTCAGAAGATGCTTCAGTTTCTGCTGGTGTTTTTCTGGGGCTGCTAGCGCATTTCTGGTGCTGGCAATGCTGCTATCGAGTATGATCGATGCTGCACACCTATCCTCAGGCGGTTGCCCCGTCAATTAAACGGAATTTTGATTTAGAAAAATGTCCGCATTCAAAAAATGCCCGCCAAATCTTGATATTTCTGGCTGTTCAGGCCAACGAAGGAAACGTCGAGGGTTTCGCCGCAAGTAGGCAGTCGTCGGGTGTGTAGCTCAATGGTAGAGCGGCCGACTGCAGATCGGCAGGTTCATGGTTCAATTCCGTGCGCGCCCTTCGCCTTTTGCTCTAGCTTTAAATGGCCTCTTCCCCTTTATATTTGTTTGTCCTGCTCCTTCTATTTTCCTTTTATACTGCAGTCCAACCTAGTTAGGCCTTCATGACTGCTTGAAATCGGTGACCGCTGCCGACACTTCTCCCGGAGGCTCACTTGCAACGAAACTTACTTTGTTCTTATATGTCATATTCGTTTCCAAGAATTTCAGCATGTAAAAGATGTTTTAAGCCACCTTTATGCGTCTGGAGACTCACATTCTGCTGTTCCTGGAGTGGATTGAAAGGCAGCATAGTGTGTGCCCATCTCGTCCGGTGAGCATTCTGATGCAGCCCAATAACGGCCTGAGCCGTCAGGTTGAGCTTTTGCTCCAGGAAACATTTATTTGGGTTTTTCAAGAGCAAAAGCTTGCAAGGCGCAACACTGGCAAGCTGTTCGTTAAAGTGAGCGGCGCATGCTGTTTCGCTATTTCGTTGTATTAGTGGAACATGCACACAAGCGGCCTTCTGCCGCATACACGTCTTAACATCCTAACTGTATTTCCTGGTCTCAACACAAGTTATCAACAGAGACAAAGTTCGCCAGAAAACGCGAACAATCAACAAGATGAGTACTGAACAGGGAGAAGGACCAGCGCCCACATGAGCGTGAGCCGGGGCTTCTCCCACAGGCCGTCGTGGACCTCCCTTTTAATTAGTTAATCACGCTTAAGTATATTCCTCGTATATGACTACCAAGTGATCCCGTGTCGGCCCTTCATTACCCAACAAGGCTGCAGAAAGCGGGTCACCCGGTTGCCTTAGTCGCAGCTGCAAAAACTGTCCCTCGCAGCTAACTTTACCTGCATGTTACCAAATCACCAAGCAAGAGCCGGCAGCCCAGCGCACACAGCATCACAGCCTCGTGCTCACGGGGGCGTGAAGGGGCAGTCTCAAGAGTAAAGTGCTAAGTAGATATAACGACAGGTCAACACACACACAATAGATGGCATACGCTGTTAAACTAAGAAAACTGCAGGTGCGGCAACAGCCAAACTGATACATACGCAAATAAGCGAACATGGCAGGTATGCAGAAGAAAGCGAGATCAACTGGCAAACAAACGAATGAAGTCAAAGCTAGCAGAGGAAACGTACGACAAACATAAACTGTCGCTGAAGCGATATTTTGCATTGTTTCAACTTTCTATGCTGAAGTGAAGAATGCCAATTCATCTATTTTCAGTGCATTCCCTTTTTTTGGACGGCAGCTTGCATTATTCCTTCTTCCATACTTTCGCGCTGTCTGTACAGCTCGAGAAAGCCACAGTATTTTACGTATCGTTCACTTCCCTTCTCAAGTCAATTCCACTCCACGCCTAAATACCATTCCGCACTATTAACACATTACTGTAGCTATATAAGATGCATATTTTGTGTCTGCTTTATTGCTTCTATTTCACTTTCTGTCCCGTTCCATCTCTGCATGCGAGTATGGCCAGTCGACAGTCAGCGCTTCAAGTGCCTTCTCCTCAATCCTTGATAGCAGAGATCGTCCGCCAACTAAAGTAAATTGATTTTTGTCCTACTCAGAACTTTGATAAGTGTGAACAACTAAACATACAAGGCAGCCAAAAGTTGAAGTGACAGCAGCGCCAGGCCTGAAACGTGTGCCGAGGGTAGAAGCACAAAATGTCCGTCTCGTCACCGAGGAAACACCGAGTGAGACTGCCACACTTAAGTAAACAAAGCACTTATAGAGTAAACTGAGCTAAATCAATCAAATGGCTGACTATGAATAAGGGGTCAGACAATTACCCCAGTGATATCAAGAAGCGCAGAAATTGCACCTGACGTGGGGAATTTTTGAGGAAAAAAGTCAATGCAACTAAAAAAACCAACATTATGAATGCTGCAGCTGAGGAAGAAATACCGCCGCTGGAATCGTATAGTAAAGACTTGGAGGAGGTGCAACAAAAAGCCATTGAGGCAGGAACAAACTTCAGCCAGGAGGTAACCAACTCATTAACCCAAAATATAGGCGAAAAATCTTTAACTAGTTGTAGCTGAGCCACCGTAGTTAATGATACTAGAGCCCACTGGCGTGTGCGCAGCTAGACAGAGAAGAGGCGAGGCGCAGTGAGGCCCCTTCACCCAGATGGAGCTGGAGCGGGGGAAAGAACTGGATGCATTTAATCGGATAATAAATAAACAGCACAAAAAGGAGAAGTGAATTAATAGTGTTCGTTACTGTAGGAATGGAACAAGAAGAAAAACTCGCGAAGGAAGAGGTGAGGCAAACTAAGGCGGTCCCGCGCAGTGCTCCTTGTTTTGTCGTTTTACGATAATGGCATTTAATGGCAATTAATTACAAATAAAGACTAAATAAGGCTTCATCCAAATAATGAGACAGTTTGGATAAGAATCGAGTGCAACGCATTATTGCCTCTTGTCTGAGCAGGAGCAAAGAGAGGAGGATGGCGAAGAATTGGCCTGACAAAAAACTGACTTGTAAAAATCCTGGCATTACTTTATTTGGTTGGGCATGCCACGTTGCTGTGGGGCCCCACAGTTCATAACTGCTGCCACTCCCCCCTCAGTTACTCTGTGCGCACGCGAGTAAAGAAATGCATGCATCTAAACAAAAGTTAGTGCGTCTAAATAATGTCCACAAGCTTCAAAAGGGCCTCCAGGCAAAAGGAAATGGGCAAACATTAAAGCTGCATGATTGTGTGATGTGCGCAAAAGCCAATACAGAGCTCACTGGAGCACAAGCAAAAGAAAAAAACAAAAAGATTAAATAAATAAACAAGTTGCAGCTGCGCAGCGACTTAGCGCAAATTGGCACTCAATGAATATGGTAGAATAGCATTCAAATGATTAGCTCTGATGCATGTCGCTCACGCGGACTTCGCGAGCTTCTTTCCCAAAAGAAAGATCAAAAAAGAATGTTGCAGTAACTGTCCAGCACTTAAAAGTGTTCAAAGGAAAGACGCGACAATAAGCACATTCAGTTGCATGGTTTCATGACTGCAGCAGCAGCAGCAGCAACTGCAGCAGCGTCAACAAAAACAGCCCGCAGCAGCTGCGGCTTGCTGCGAGACGACAGCTGCGTTCGCTACGATTGCTCGTCTCTGTGCAGCAGCACGTGCTGTAGCTGCATCGCCCACTTCGTGCGATGTAAGATCAGGATCTGCTGCAACAGCAAATGTTGCTGCATAGTCAACTGCATGTCCTGCTGCTGCAGCCCCTGCAGCACGCTTCCATGAGCTACCAGCTCTTCCTCTGCGCCTTTAGCTGCTGCAGGTGAGAATAGTTGATGAGCCTTTGGCCTCAACTTCTTCTGCTTCCAGAGACCTCAAAGCACAGGGGCCCCGCCAATGGCCCAAAACCCTATGGGGGGCCCAAGGTCAGTAGGGCCGCGAATACGTTGGGTGCTTTCTTCATGTGTATTAAAGCTCAATGTCAACAGCCATGACGTCTTCGAAGTGTGGCCTGTATTTGCTCAAGAATTCAAGGTGTTGCGGGTGCTTGGAATATGTCTCGAGATCGCTTCTGTTGTTGAATTGAGAGTGGAGAACATGAGTGAAGCCCTTGGCTCTCTCGTGAGTAAAGGTGGGGCGGAAAAAAAGTGAAAAGGGAATTGTCGTGATGGAGTTTTTGAGGGCCTCTGCATCTGTTCTCATACTTTGCTGTACAGACACAGGTGTGTCTTGCTTGAATTTGAAACACACTATATGCACAAGGCGCAGAGAGGAGGATTTAGCGGCTTCCATTGTCAAAAAAGTAGATGCTTACAACAAAAATTTCGGGTATGAAGCGAAATAAAGGAAGACGTAACAAATCTCATATTCCACTCACCACCAGTAGACCCCGTCGCTCCGTCCGCCCACCTGTGGCTCACGACTGCGAGTGACTTCACGCCTTACGATTTTGCCCAACAATGACACATGCAGTACGAATGGCACTGATTGTGTTATAAAAATGTATTTTTATCTACTGCCTGTCACTGTCCCCCTTCGAAAACTCGCTTCCTACATGTCGAACGACTACTACATGATTTGAACATGCGAGACTGTTTGTACCACGCTACAACAGCTGAGTTCAACATAGCCGCGTCTTCCTCTTCTTGTATAATTTTGTTTGAACCTCTGCACAGAGCTGCACTTAGCCGAGTCACCTAGAAACAGCTCTGACCAGAGGAGCTGGAGGGGCTCTAGCAGGGCCAGGCTAACAGAACCTTACAGACTTAGTACTGACGCTAACTCGAAAGGACTTTTGAATGTCTCATATTGGAAGGCACAGTGAAAGAGTGCTTCAGGCTTGCTGCTGCAAGCAACAAGGATAGCGCCTTGCATTTTTTTCGCTCTCAAGCACATCATAGAGACATGTTTATGTTCGCAAGCAGTGTTTGTTTAGCTACTCCCAGTTATATGCGTAGCCGTTTGCAGGAACAATAATGTGCATTAGTGGCAGCCGTAGGTTTTCTGGTCTGCCAGTCTATCCCATTGTGTATATAGGTTTCGGAGGGCCTGTTACAACAAAGAGCGCACAAAAGCGTGCGCGAGCGTGTCACTATGCTTTCGCCATTGTATGTGTTCAGCTGTTTGATATGCTCAATGCAGAGAGCACTTCTTGCTACTTCTTTCTGGATTTAGCTGGTGTTGCGCGTATTTAGACCTCCATTGTACTGAACTGCTTGGGTACTTTTGTTTTCAAAAGTATTCACGCGTTCTTTGTTATTTTGGTTGCCCGCACAAGTGCGCGCACAGGGAATACACGCAGATCATCGATTTGAATATTCCAATACTGCGCACTTACGTTTCTCCTTCCGTAGAAGTGTACACCTCAGTTTAGTGGCAAGTATATTTCCTAGATTTTCACGTACATTCATTCTTATCAAAAGCTGCGTGAATCTGCTTCCACTAATTCCACTTCATTCTTAAAATGCGTTGACATGCCCTTCGTCTTTCCGGCTGTTGGCCACTGACTTCTGACTTGCAGTGCATTATAAGCATATCGAACCCCAATGCAGCTTGCGATATACAGAAAACATCGAAACGAACAAGCGAGCAGTGAATGTGTTTGGAAAAAAGCTCCCACGTGGTAACTCAGATGGAAGTGCACTGAGTAGCGTACTCTAACGTACTCTAATAGTATGGGTAATAATTCAACTTCATTTCAACAAGGCGGGCAAAAATCACAGGGAAAAGTCAAAGCTGGTGGTTAACGAAGGTGAGAACTTTTGTACCATTGGGTACACAATGGTATGCTTCAAAACGCAAAAGAACAAGTAAAGAGATAAGTTGTATGCGTAGTACTTAACTTGTGCCTCACTTGATGGCTTTCCATTTGTGCATGCTTTATTCTTTTGCATGAAATCCTCCGTTTTGCAGACGCACCAAATCAGTATGGAAATGCATATTAATGACTATTCACACCGCAGTAGGCTCTCGTGGACACCACATCTGAGTTCTAGAGGAAATCCGCCTCGTTTTGGTGGCTACCTTTTTGAGGAAAAATGCACTAAAGACTTCAGTAGAACTTCTTGAAGCTCTTCAATTTCTTCTTGCTTTAGAACTCAAGAAACAACGTTTCTCCCTTCGTTTCAGCATTGTCTGACTGTGGGAAAAGTTCTGAGGAGTCCTTTGTGGTCGTTGTATTTTTTCGGCAGTGTTGATCAAATACTGCTGATTGCGTTTCGCCTTTTCGCCTTCATATATGAAGTAGTTGAATCCAACTACATTCCATCCTTTGCACTATATCTTGGGTAAACGGTGGACTCTTTAATAAGCAGTAAATCCTTGCTTGTGAGGAATAACTGCTGTGCTTCCCTAGTAGGTGCACTAATTCCTACCGCACTAGGAAGCTTATAAATTTTTCACACCGAAGGGACATATGTGTGAGTTTACCCATTTCTCTGCGTCCTAACAATAGCTATCCATGATATGTCGTGTATTTTTACTCGTACTATGGACTCCGTGTTTGCCAGAGCAGGCGTCCACCTACCAGCAGCAAACAAAAGTCAACTACTTTCGGCTGCGATGTATAAAAAGCGACTCCATAGAAAACGAAACAATAGAATGACACGTGTAAAATCTACCATCTAACGAACAAAATTAAAAAGCATGACTGGACCAAATAAAGAAGCTTGTCTGGTTAGCGCCAAAATGGCAGCTTAAATAGTATGAAATGCAATGTCTCCCCCAACAAAATTAAATTTTTCATGGAGCTGACATATCACGACAGAAGTCAGAGATGAACGGCAACTGCAAGCCTGTGTAGATGAGGCTGTATCTCTCTGTCTCTGCTGAAAAAAATCGTAAATATGAATGGAAGGACGCACCGAGACGCAAAGCATCCATGTGCATGATTCTGTATCCTTCTATTTGCCTCGGCCCCTTTATTTACTCCTGTGTTCGCTCTTCTCTTTCCCACTTCACTTCATCATCGCTTTCAAAGACACGGAAGGCGAGCAGGAGTACATAAGAATGAACAAATGCAGAGACAAATGCATATAAAAATTCACACAAACACTTTTACTATGCGTGCATAAGCATATGTAGGAAAATGATACAAGGCATATGTGTGAACGTAAGCCCAAATAGACATTCGTATGTTATGCTTGAACATAAATACCAATGTGCATCTGTACCAGCGTGTAAAATGAATTGCTAACATTCATTGGTACTGAAAGAACAATACATGCATACGCATATACTTGTACCGCGATTTGTTTCCAGTCTCACAAACGCATCACTTGACAAACAGAGCGATGGGCTCCAGGTCATCAAGGGCCAGCGGGTGCCTGCCGTTCCACTTTTCCTCCACTGCTCTCCGTTTCCACCTTAACTGGCTCCTAGCAAACTGGTCATTTACTTCGTGCTGCCTTAATATTTCTTTCCAGACATTTGCGGTGCACCAGCCGCCCTCATAGCGGAAGCGCAAGTCGCGCACTGTCTGTCTGAGAATATGCACATAGGCATTTTTGTACAGGCTGCTGGGCGGCGTGGCAGCGAAGAAGCTCGCCTGAAATAGATTCCCTGAATATGGAAGAGTGAAGGGCATTGCCGATTTGTCGGGTGCGTAGCCATCCACTCCTAGAGCGGCAAAGAACGGCATAAAACGCTCGTGGGCGTCTGAAACACCCATTTGCAGGACGCCTTGGACAGTGTACATGTTCGCCAGCATCTCCACCAGAGCTTGGGGCACTCTGTTGGGCTGATCCTCGCGCCACCGGAAGCCCAACATATCCAGGAAATCGCCATAGGAAGCTAAATTTTGTCCCTTTTCTTCCTCAGCCAACCAGTATTCCACAGGTTCCAGGTCAATTTTGCTTTCGAGGTCCAACAGGGGAACTGGAAGTCCAGTGTCCCGGTGGATCTCTTCCAGAGTTCGCAGCACCTTCAGGCGTTCTGCAGCAGCGCCACAAACGCCCTGCAGCAGCCGTAGTGATAGGACGTAGTTTCTAACGGCTACTTTGTCTCGGAGGTTCGAAGGCCGCTCTACTAGAGCCATCGGCTGAATGTGCTTGTTGTAAAGAACCACTGGGTCCCGAAATTGCGCTGGATTGGTTGAGGAAGATGGAGTGAAATGACGCACAAAGGCAACCTTCACAGTTTCAGACGCTCTAGACCAAGCCCTGCCCCACTCCATTACACTTTCAATGAAATCGCCTTCATATCTCCCCAAACTGTCTGGGTCCGATGGCACAGCCAGATCTTTTCCGACCGGAGCTGCATGAGCGGCTGTGATCGTCAACAGCAGTAGGCAGACCACCACGAATTTCCCGGACTTCTCATCGCTTTTAATTGAAGCACCACGCCGAACCCACTTATACGCACAATTCTGACTTGTACTGCTGCTTCCCAAGCCATATGGCATACCCGCCTCTAGCGCAGTAGCTGAGCAAATACCTCGTGAACCCCTACAGGCCGATTCAACCCTAAGAAACGCAGTACGCGTCATCACCGTAATTTAAACGGACATTAAACAAAAACTGCAGAAGAAATTGACATTTAATACGCAAAATACGTCTCAGGGGACGGAAGTTCTGCTACTCCAACCCCTGAGCTATATGGCCAAAAGCATTTACGCACCCAGTGGCATGCCTAGTAGAGAGGACAAACGCCACGGGAACTCCAGATGCCGAAAAATAATATAGCAAAGCAAATCATAAGATATAATTAGAATTAGGGCGTAAATGCCGGCAGCTCAGCAGCGCCGTATCCACTCAGGCTTCTCGATCCCCACTCAACATCGTCGAGCCACAACACTGGTTGAAGTTGACGGCTAAAAGTCAAACCGGAGCACGAAACACTGTGCTGCCGACTGCTCACACCCTTGAAAGCAACTCATTTTACTTTATTGAATGTAGGACAAATTCTGTTCAAAGACAACAGTGTAGAAAGCCCATTGTGTGCTGCCGGCGCAGTGGCGAAGTCACAACTGTAGAGGGTTCGACGCGCATGCATAGTAAGCTGAACCTGATTTGCTTTGTTTCCCACAAAGATATACTTCGGTAAAAATATAAAGAATATTTTGTATCTTTCTAGGCTCTGCTTGAAGACTCTACGAAGTCCTAGACACCGTTAAAGACGGCAGGAATAAATGTGGAAAGTAGGAACCAGTCTGCTGGCAAAGGGGATTTGCCGCAGCCAGTGCTGTGCGGCTTTGATCAGCAGCACCACTACCCTTTGCTCCACGTTAGTTCATGGTCTCCACACATAGAGGAGTATGGCTTGCAGGGTAAGACGCCTCATCGGCGTGCTGTGGGTAAACGCTAATTGCTATTCTAGCCACTGAGAGTTGTGCATTGGTGAAAAGCTCCTGGAATGTCCTTTAGAGTCTGTCCAAGCCCAAAATTTGCGTATAGATCAGTGGGGTCTACGGCATTACTGGGCCCTGCTCACACCGCGTGAGTGGAGGGGGCTTCAAATTTCTACCATCAGAAAGACCCCCTGAAGGATACATAATGGCCTTTTTTCACAAGCTTACGCTGACTACTCAATGTTGTGCATATAAGCTTTGGGCATCAGTGCTCCACGAGCCTAGAGAATCAACTGAAACGTAGCACTGAAGGCGTTTTGCTTTCGCAGTTTTGGCATTCGCCATTGAAAGCAACGTAAATCTCAATGCGAACGCCAATAGTGCTAGGCACGCTGAAACCTAGCAAAGGTTTCTGGATGGAACACTTAAAAGCTGTGTTTAGGGGAGTTGTAGAGCTCCTGGTTTTCCTCATGGCACTGCTTCGATCAAGACGAATCCATCATTGAGGCAGGGACGCAGCACCTGGTTACGTGCACTCAGCCCTCAACGTATCCTGCCCATTTACCCGAAAATTATTCTTGAACCGGCTTCACGTTGCTCTTGAATATATTCGGGGGCGTCAAAGGATCCGTAGAGACTTCATCTACATGAAAATTGGCGAACCCAAACAGGGATCCAATGCTTCTCTTTCTAGGAAAAACACCACGTCTCACCAAACTTTGAAAAGGCGAGAGGGTATGCCAAGGGGAGCCTCAAGCATAAAAGCCTCTCAAACAGTTTCAGGCAGTGGAAAAATTACCTTTTGCCCGTCAATAACTGCAATGGGCTTTTTAAAATGAAGACTCTTGGCCCGAAATACCGATCAGAGTAAATTCCTGGTCTATAAATTTTTGAGGAGTAGTGCCGTCTAAACGTTTTGTGCAAGGGAGCCCAAGAGAAGCGTCAATATGAACCACTACAGTATTGAGAGAGTGCATCTGGGGATAGAAACTGCAGCATTTGAGGCAGGAATGAAGAAAGAGGTGTGACACCTTGTACCCTCGGATGGCGACCAGCAAGAGGGTGCCCAGGGTGAAAAGAACAACAAGAAACTTCGAGTTGTTTGAATCTCAGAGCCAGAGCTGGCGAATGCACTTTCGCTGTCCTTCTGGACTGATGCTACGGCCCACACCGAAACTGAGATTGCGGTAGCGAGCGATGCTTGGTCCTGATGACTCAAGCAGCACAGTTAGTTGGTGAATATCCGCGGCTTTCCACGAGGCACTCTGTGCTGTCAGCTGCTACCGGTTGTGAAGGCTCCAAAAGTGCATGGAAGCTCACGCCGCTTGTTACCTTTGCGGCTTCATTGTGAGATTCTGATCTACTGAGCAGAAGAGCGAGCCTTGCGTGCAATTTGTTGTTTGCCAAAGCTACTAGTAAACTCCGAGATAGGGTGTGGTGCGTTGCGTGCTCTGAGATACAGCAGTTCGGCTACTGAGCCCAGCATCATCAACCTCGGTTTTGGCACTAAGGGGACCAAACTATTCTGTCCTATTGAGTTCACTGTGCTCACTACTATCTTTCGAAGCACTTTAAACTTCGGCATCAAAGAGTGTTGGTCGACGGCAAAGTGACGCCTCAAGGAGAAACAAGCCCGCCCAAGAGTGCACGGCGTTCAACGTGACGGTCTGATTTACCACGGCAAGTAGATATGTGCGTCTGGGAAGCAAAGTCACAGAATTCGTCATTTCGTGGCACCTTCCCTTGCTTAGATTTTTTCCTCTGGAGAGCCAAGCATTTTCCTCTGCATTGCTCCAACCAGCGAATGCGACGTTTCCATAGCCATATTTTTTCGTAATGCCAGTGCTTCCAATTCCTCGCACAGCAGTGAGCTCGCTGCAGAACGCACTGAACAGGAGGTTTAAAGCACTTGAAGGCGAATTCATAGCAGAAATTTCGTGCAGAGTCAGCTGAAAGGGCGTTTCTCGCTTCCCTCAAGGGTTGGTATTTGACTTACTGTAGAGGATCGGAACTCCTTGTGGATTTCCAGCGAGACCTTGTCATCCAGAAACTCTCGGGATTTGAATCCCAGAGCCAATGTGGAAAAAGGCGTTCGGAAGCTATTTTACACACAGGGGTTCCAGAGTTTCAGGGAAGCTGTTGAGGTGATGATAGAAACCCTCAGCTTCTACAAGGACACGAAAAGCCCTCATGGTGGAAGATGACACTAATTCCCCTCGAAATGGAAAACGCTACAGCCGCGGAATTATCCTTAATCCTCGAAGCTTGCTGCCCACCTCAGCTGTATGGCAATGAGGAGATTGATGCAGGCGAGAACACTGGAATATGCGATCTAAACTCGAGTGAATACCTGTAGATGCTGCCTGTACGTCCGAGAGTAATGGAACGCGATGTTCACTTCCACTTGAAAATGTAACTAGCACTGCCTCTTAAATTCGCACTACGATATACCCCGCAATTTGCAACACTGCACCACCAACAGCAAAAGGAGACTTTCACAGTGTGCGTATGTGCATATATCACCAGGCAGTCGCACCATATGATTATTCTACAACAGCATCACACCCGAAGAGCTTCTGGAGCCGCCAGAAGCGCAAGTATGGCGGCAAGAGAATCCGACATGAGAAATTTTAAGTAACTGCACGGCTAGCCGATGTGCTGTGTTCGGCTAGAAACCTATTTACAACGGACATCCACTCCCAGTCGACTACCCAGACATATTAATGAAATCTATATGGACATTCCTGAAGCCCCTCCCCTTGAATCTGTTTTCATGGATGCTTCTCCAAGTGCTCAGTAGGGGCATTTTGCTCTATCATGGCCTTCTATGAAATGGGCTCCTCCTGTTAATGAAGTAGCTCTACAGCCTATGTAAACTAGCACATCGTCGCCCTCAAAGACTCATCCTTTGTCAAAATTTGAAATGAAAGCTGTGGAGGTGCGCAGGGCATCTCAAGGACCTCATCGGCCTGTGCAGCTAAACCACTTTGGGCTTTGCCGCACCGAGTTCAACGCTCTCAAATCCTGCCATTATCAATCTCTGCAAGCGTCCGCGTGTGCAGTGACTGCCGAGTACTAACACAAGTACACGTAATAAATACAGCACGCACCACACGTTTTTTATTGCTACGTAATTAGGTGAAGTATGCGTGTGTGTGTATTTCACAATAACACACACTTGTCAAACAATCCACAACCTAGCCGTTTCGAAGCAAATGCTCCGTGATGAGATTAGTTTGCACAGCTCCTGAGCGTAGGTAAATTCATATAGCTCCTTCACCGCATTACCATACAAACAGTTGTCCAAGCCCCAAATACGAAAAAAACGGATTGAAAAGCCAATCAAAATTTTGAGAGCAACGTCCAGAAATAGAACTAAAAAATTTTGCAGAAGGCATACCACAAGCTGGCCGGCGGGCATTTGGCCACATCAAGCAAACGTTTGCATGCTGGTTACATACACATAAGCACATCATTATTAACTGAAATAGTCTCAATAGTGTTTCCAAAAGTGACTGCTTCTCATGCAGTCTACAAAATATAAAGGAGCGACCAAAGGGACAAGCAGCCATACATAAGAAGGGAGACGAGGGAAAATAGGCAGAACACTCAAAGACGAAATTCACAAGGTAGACAAGACAAACATAAATTTACAGTAACAACTATTCAAACACTCGAAAACTTGATTACTACTTTACTTGCTTCCGGAAATACAAACTGACAAATCCGTAAAAACAAGACCAACCCTAAAATCGGCGGAAAATTCGTTAACCACTTGCCGCGGGTTCTGCTTTGCTACTTGTTTCTCCAGACATTGCCTCGGCATTGCTTCCTTCTTTTAACAAGGACACAAGCCAAATGAAAGAAACAGCCGCATACATGCTCACAAGTCTGCAGGTCTTCGACTGCAGTAAGCACAGTAAATGCTCCAGCGCCACTAACGCCAGCAGGACGCCTACCTCAACGTCAACCTTTCTGTTGCTTTCCTTGTTTCCGTCTCTTCCTTTTCATCCCGTAATGTGCACCATGTAGAAGTGTGCCGGCCTTTCCATTTTAGTATCTATCATTCCTTGATGTCCAACATGCAGGTTCGTGTCTAACTGTCAACAGCCGTATCTATTTCGTCGCTCTAGTCGTTTCTGTGAAACTTTTCATCTCCCACTGTGTGCCTGCCTGGTCGTATCTCAAGTATGTTGTGTGTGCGCTCCGAAGTATGGTAAGCATGCCCCTGCCACATCTCTCCCCGCCTTCTCCCATTCCACTGCAAGTACCCGCCTCCCATGAAGATTGCCATGGTTCCGACGCGCCTTCCAGGCCTAACTGTTGACAGCTGTCAACGGCAGCTGCCGCAGCTATGACTTAGCCTATTAGCGAGAACACGAAGCTAGTAACCTCTCAAAGGTCTCGACGCCATTGCATGCACTGTTGCGGTGTGGGCTGATCATGCGCTCGGCGAGCTCAGGAGACGTCGTAGCCCACGCTGCACGATTGCAGAGCTTCTGAGCAGCCCCCTTAGCATGAGTAGTAATACAAGGAGCCTTTCGACTAGCCTGGGAATAAAAAGTAAAAGCACAATTTCAAATGTGGAAGGAAGTCCGGGAACAAGGCATCGTTGCTAATGAACGACATGGCACAGCAGCAACTTGCAGCCGTAGCAAGAATGACACCGGCGCACAATAGCAGAAGCACAAGCGAGGCAGCACAAAGCGAAAATCGTTGCATCGGCAGCACTGCGCTGCGTATTTTCATCCACCTCATGCCTACAAATTCACCGCGACCCCAAACTGCGCTGGTCTGTGAAGGCGCATAAGACTCGGCAGCATGCTCAGGTAAGCACCGGTGGCAGCACCAAATGCAGCTCGATCAGCGCAAACAGAAATTGCGGAGATAGTCAAAGCTGTCAACAGTGCTGCATTGGCCGGACCGAGAGCAGTACTACCGCCAACAGCAAAGCGTAGCAAAACCAGGACCAGCAGCGGCGCTTGCCATGGTAACGAAACAAACACCGGTTTCACTATAGAGTGTGCGCTTAGTAGGAAAACTCGCAAAGCACAACCATCAACAGAAACCGCGGCAATAGCAGTATCACTAGCAAGAGAGGCATCAGCAGTATCAGCAATCGCAGAAGCAAGAACCGTGCGTGACCCTTTAGGAATATGCGACAAATGGGCACAAGGGGCGTAACATGAAGAGACTAACATGAGATACAAAAGCAGAGGCCTGGAAGTGCAACAAAGCGCTTGAGGAGACCGGATAGAGGCCTTTTTATATCATGAGTAGACAGGCACAGACAGGCTAAGCCTCAGCGCAGAAATGACCGTCCGTGCACTTCTAACAATGTGCAGATAAGACTCACTGCTTCTGGCGTGCCTGGGGCCTCTAGGATTTGGCTCATTCTTCAAGAACCGTTCGCAAGGAGCCCTCTGGTTCTTAGCGTGATAAAAGGCACAGGTGGGACCTTTCCAACAAGCGCCTGCAGTTAGAAGCAGAAGCGTCAGCAAAATCATCTACAGTACATGCCGCTACAAAACCCAGCAGCAGGGATAAAAAGGGCCAGGACAGCAAAGCAGTAGCAACCAGTTCGTCCCTATGAGAGCAGCGGAAGCACAGCAGGGAATGCCAGCATTATCCACAAGAGCAGCAACAGCTCTACCCTTTCTGAAGAATCTGCAGTGGACAGTTTGGTTGGGCATCTGCCGACCCTGAGCACCAGTTTCCATAGGACTGATGAAGTTCCAGGTAGCGCGGACTGCTGCTGTTGTTGCTGCAAGTGCTGTTTGTGTTCTTGCGGTTCGTGCTGCTGCTGCAAATGTCACTTTTGGATGTGTTCCTATGTCCGAAGTTTTGCCAGTGAAGTCTATGGTGCTGCTGTTTTGATCATTTTCTGTTTCTGCTGGCAGGAACCTGTCCCACTCCCGCAGAACTGAAGGAACAGCAAAGGAAGCATCATGCCTGACAGCTACAACTCCGTTCCGGTCCCCTCCTTTAGCGGGGCGTGCTGCGGTGTGCTGCTGTAAAGCCATTTGAGGATGTGCCATGTTAAAAGGCTGTAAACGCTTTCCGTGGAGCTCCTGTATATGTAACTGGGGAGACGTGTCTCCAGGCCGCCGCTGGAACAGATGATGCACCCGTCCCTGCTGCTTGGTGGACTTTCCAGGAGGTGCCGTCATCAAGAGACTTGCCATGTGGAGGGGGCTCGGGGCTGACTGTGTAGCGGTGGTGGCTGGCGCTGGTGCTGTACAGCTGCTGCGGCTGCACAGGGGCCCCTGTCTTGCTACTGTTCTTGCTACCCGTTCTTCTTCGGGTGAACCGGAAACGCGATCCCACGAGAGCTTCCCGGGAGAAAGCGGCAGCTGGTGAGAGAGTTGCTGCGGAAGCTCCGGCTGCTGGTCCTGGTGTATCAGCGGCTCATGCCCGCTATGGCGCTGCGGCCTCTGATGCAGACGCTGCTGCTGAAGCGGCGAGATCGCGCTTCTCCTTCTGCACTGCAACCGTTTCTTTAGTTCAGCAACTTGTGTCAGTAGGTCTAGTTCCTCAGAAGTAAAAGCGCTAACACCGGCGGCTACGTCAGCGTAAGCAACATCAAATGCTATTACACACGCATTGTCCCCCCTTCTCTGACTTTCGTCAATGTCCCTCGCATGCCGCAACTGTTGACTGCCGTGAGTTATGTGTTTGTACGTGTGGCTTTTCGTCTTTCTGGAGATGTGGTTGTGGTGTCTGGGACGAGACGGAGGGGTCGAGTCTCTGGAATCTGCACACCCCGTCTGGTGGCTGCTCTGCCTTCTGTAACGCACCATTTTCCATAAATGGTGAGGGACTGTAAAAAGGAAAACAAAAGAGAATAAAACAAATCAAATACGGCATACGCCAAGGCGCCCGCTAGCAGTCACAACTCCAAAGGGGGCCCCGAGTACCAGTACCATTGTTGGGCATGGTCCAGCGCACGTTCCGAACACGAAGCCCACGCACTGAACTAAGAAACTTGCAAACCCCAACTTAAGCGCCAAACCCTCAACTCCACTTTTCAGCATTAAAATAATGTTCGCAACAGTCCGTTCGTCTGTTTTCATTTGTGTTCATCCAGTAAGATTAACAGCGACGCGCTCCGCCCTTCAAGATCATATACCCCAAACGGGGAACCCTGAACGGCGAACCCTAAACCTTTGACCCTAGAAAAGGACTGTGGGGTCGTTTGGTCCAGCGGATGAAGAAGTATTTCAAGAATTCGCTCAAGAGAGCCGTATTTGCTCCGTGGGGATTGGCCCTGGGAACCCCTGAGGCCCCGCCGGGGTGTACGTATATAGAACTGCCCGCTCCTGCAGGTTTGGGGTGGGGGGAGGACAAAGGACCAGCTTTTCAATTCCAGAAGCTTATTGCAGTTGAGGAAGCGGTCAATAAAGAGAGGCAGAACTACCAAGACAAAATAAGAGCAGGCAGCAGCAGGAACTACTGCGTTGTCTGTGAAAAAGAAGGTTTGTCGTACGTTGCTGATGCAAGGTGTAATCCCCTGTACCACAGAAAGAACACGAAGTCATAGTAGTGCAGCTCAAAACTGTAGATGGCAAGTTCCGGCCCAGCTGTCACGGAGAGGATACATCGGGTCGCCAGGATTATCGATCCATCATCTGGATAGTTGACGCTTTTGCCCTAGCGTTTAGGTGGGGCTGAGGATGTGTTTGTGACGCAGTTGTTGCGGGCCAGGCTCTTCGTTGTTCTTCTTGCGGCGCAACAGGAGCTACCTGCAGTGCCAGCGGCGCCTACTCAGAAGGAAATGAGGCCGGCGGCTTGCTGCCCGACGGGTTCAACCCCAATCGCCCCCCGTCGGAGCCAGAAGAAGGAAGTGCCCCAGGAGCCGCTGCGTCCTTGCCTGCGTGTGAGGGAGAGGACTCAGGCGTGCGTAACTCCCAGGAGGGCGGCGGTGGCGAGACCAGCCTCATCCACGAATTTGGGGCCGGAGTTGAAGTTGGCGGAGAAGAAGAGCCTGATGAACGACCCGCAGTTTGGTGTCACCACAAGAACTGCAAAAACGATGCAGATGCAAAAGGCCTGCTCATTTGCACCAAGTGCCAGAGGGGTTTCCACGCGGGGTGAGCTCAAGTCTAGAGCAGTTCCCGTGGGACAGAGACACACACCAGACATCAATTCCCAGATTTACAGACACTACACGCTTGCTGGATACCAGCGGCAGTGTATCGTGAGCACAGACGCGCAGAACAGGCGGACAATTGGAGAGGCTCGGGCTGCACCGTGCAGATTTGCCTGCCCAGCGCTGCGGTGCCTGTTTACCCCAAAAATGCCATTGCTGATGACAGGCGCATGTTCACCGCAGAAGCGCCGCTTCACACCAGAGGTGCCTGCACACCGCACAGGCGCCTGCGCACTGCAGAGGTGGATGTACACCTCAAAGGTGCCCACACACATCAGCGGTGCGTATTCACCGCAGACGCGCCTTTACATTTCACAGGCGCCCGCGCATACGAGAGATGCCCATCTACTTGACGGGCGTCTCTACAGCCCAGGTATGCATGCACACTTGAGAGCAGCCGGTGCACGAGATAGGCGCCCTTACATCTCTGGGGAGCTTGTTCGCCTCGGGAATGCTGGCGCACCACAGAGATACGTATATAGTCGGCAGGCGACTGCATACCCGAGAGGCAGCTTTACGCCTCAGAGGTATCTGTACACCGCAGACGTGCCTGCACACCCAAGAGGTGACGGTGCACATGACAGGCGTATTGACACAACGGAGGTGCTTGCACACTCCAGAGGTGTCTCAGCGCCTCAGAGATTGCAGTACACTAGACAGGCGCCAACTCGAGCAAGGGTTGCGTCTATACCTTGTAGGTGTCTGTATGCTCGTCAGATTCCTGTACGCAGTAAGGTTGCCTCTGCGCTGCAGAGGTGCCTGTACACACGGTTTGTGGCCGTACATTTTGAAGGTAGCAGTACACCGGTGAGTGAGTGACCACGCAGCAAGCTGGTGAACACCTTGGAGGTAAATGGATACCTCAGAGGTGACTGCACACTCGATACGGGCGAGTGCGCTTCTTAGCCCCGGCACACAGTAGAAGGGGTTCTATACGGCAGGTACAGGCTTCCACTAGAGCTTCCTGGACCCACGGGGAACCGTACAGTCTACAGGTGCTTGTCCACGGGGAGTCGCGTGTTTACATATACCAGGTGTCTTTACCTCTGAGGTTTTTGTACATCCCAGAGGCGATTGGACAGAAGACAGGTTCTTGTACACCGCGGAAGTGGCTGAACTCCGCGCGAGTGTTTGTAAACTACATAGGCGTATTTATACATCTGCGTTGCCGAGACACACCAAAAGTGATTTTACGCGCCAGAGTGCATTTACGTCGTAGAAAACATTTAAAAATGCGAAGGGCGTAAAGACGGTAGAATTTTTGGTAACAGCAGAGGTGACTTTATCCGCCATAGCTTCCCGTACAGCTAATTGGGGCACGTGCAACGGGGGATGTGTAGGCACCTGAAGTGTGTCTTTACAAGCCAAAACGGCGTGTGCATCCCAGGATTGCCTGGTTTTTTTACAGGTGGCTGTGTACGTCGGGAAGTCCGGGACATCCCGTTTTCCGCTCCTACTCTCTGTATGTGTGTTTCGGCTCTGTGCAGATGCTGCGAACCGCCGCTGAACTTTGAGATGGTGACGCGTTTTCTTTGGCAGTGTGCAGACTGCAAGGTAAGAAAGAAGAACAGGCTGAAAGACACGAACCGAAACAGAGGGACGAAAGGGAATACAACGAGCCAAAGTTGAGGAAGGGGAAGTTGCATGTGATTCTTATACGCATGTGTTCTTGTAATTGTTTATTCGTCAACTAAGGAGGGTAACTCTTATTTCTAGGAAGCAGTTGACCGGCCAAATACTGTATCGACTAATTTTTTCGCTTTTTTGACAGATGTGCGAGGTTTGCTTGTCTAACGAGAATGAAGAGACGATGCTCATCTGCGACGCTTGCGACAGAGCTTTTCACATGGAGTGCCTTTCCCCACCTGTTCAAGAGGTAATGGCCAGCATTATTTGAAAATCTAATTGATTAGAGTATGAAGGGTTCGCGCTCGCCTTTACACAAGGAGATAGACAAGCGAACAGACAAATAAATCATATTGTTTGCTCCTGCATGGAGAGGTGCAGTACCATCCAACAAGAAGGCAAACGATTGAGCGTCTCCTCTATTCTATCCATTGTGACCACCACTTCTGTCACTTGCGTTTTCTTCACTCGTCATGTTCCAACGTAGCACTTTGCCTCGCGATTTTTTTTGTAGTGGATTGGCGTTTGCTTGGTTCCTGGTTGCTAGCTTGCCGTTAATCCGGCTGTGCTTTGCTTCTTTTCCGCTTTCCCCAATCTGCCGTTTGTCTACGTCCTCTTCTCGACTTTCTCGCTTCCTTCTCAGTCCAGTCTTTTGTCTATTCTATGGCTTGCTAGTTGCGTATATCATTTTTCTTCGTCATTTTTTCTTTGTTCCGGGGTAATGTTGTCTGCGTCGCTGTTTGTGGCCGCCCACTTACCTTTTCAGTGCTTGCTGCCCTTGTCACTATCTGTTTCCTTCAATTCGTGTCTGCCATGCTTGCCCCCCTTATTCCGCTGCACTCCCATACACCCCAAGAAATTCTTAATATGGAAGAGGTTGGGCACACTGCGCATCTGCCTGACCAGTCTACCAGCAATCCACCGGAAACGTAGCTCGTCTTCAGGTTTTACTATTTTGCTGCTCAGGTGCCGGAGGGAGATTGGTTTTGCAAAGGTTGCGGCTACTGCAGCTCCTGCGGTTGCCAGCTCACTGAGGACGAAGCACTCGTAAGTCGTGGAATCAGGCTGAAAGGGCTAGACGTTCCGGTTCTGCTATCCCCCTGCGCTGCTGCTCAGTTGTTTGTAGTTAACTGGCAACCGCTATTTGCGCTTACTTGCTCTTTGTAGCTTATTGTTTGTAGCCCAGACTTCAGCTGGCTGAGCCACTGCCCTTCTAGGGCCCGTCTGTGCCTGTGGTTTGCCTAGTATGGAAGCATCACTGAACTCGAGAATTTGTTCTGTCCTTTGGAGTCTGAAATTAACAAGCTACAGCGCTTTCATGTATTCAGGATCCCAGTTGCTTTTACTCGAACCGTCACCGCATATGCGTAGCCTGCAAGGAGAAGTACTTGCGGGTCAAGAGGGGCAGGAGCCCCTACAGGAGCAACACAGCCTTTGACTCAGTATACGCTGCATGCAGCAAACGAAACAACCCTAACAAACTGTGTGAAGTCTGCGCCGCCCCTCTCGAATCCGACTCTAAAGGACCCCAGAAGAGGATCTTTTGCGCAGTGTGCAGAATTGGTAAACCCCCAACGCTGAAGAGCGTGCTGTTCGAGGCTTGCGTTAACGTGGAAACACCAGCCAAGCTTCCCGTAGCATTTGACGTTGCTAGCACTGCTGGAATCGCCAACATATACACGAAATACTATTTAAAGAGTACAAAGCAACGGGCTGTGGCTTTAGGGATATGAATCACAGTGGGCTTTGGGCTGCTGTGACACGTACGCTTACGGGCCTGCACTGTGCCTGATGGGCTTCGTGTGTGCTCTTTTGCAAGAGTTAAGATTCACTGTTTCCGAATTTATTTGCAGGGGTTCACGTGGAATGTGCAGTGGCCAGGCAGGCCCCAGATGAATACATCTGCAAGATTTGCAGCGACTTTATTGAAGACTTCCAGGCCGAGACAGACAGGAGCACAGCTACCCACGCTCGACATCCCACACTTATGGCGTTAGAAAATGTAGCAACATAGGCTGTTTTGCTGTAGAACAAAATTGGGAAAAGGCGCGCACCCTTGGTGCTGCGTTTCGAGCACACGAAAGTGCACCACGTTTAAGGCGCGTGGCGACCGGAAGAGCCTTTGTGCTCTCTCTGTCTTGCATGAGACAAACAAGTAGGGATTTATAGGGATTTATAGCGATTAGATGGGCTTAAAGGTGCGTCTGTGGCTAGTTAAGGTATGCATGCGTAGTTGAAGAGGCCCCTCCTGACCCTGTATTAGAGGCCCAGTCAGCAGCAAACAAAAGCACCAAAAACACCAAAGAGTGTAGCAGGGAGAAATACAAAAGAGCAAACACACGCGTAGCTCGAGAAGATAGCAGCATGCGACCCCATATCACAACAACCCGTTCCCCGACACCCAGTTGCTGCAGCTTCTGCTGGAGTTGTTGCTGCTGCTGCTGCTTTAATCTCTCTCGCCGAGACAACCCATCCTTAGGGCCTTCTAAAACGAGGAGGTTTGGTCCCGAGCCCCCACGGGAATCGCAGGTAGACCTGCCCTTGGGACCTAAGATGCTTCGTGCAGTGTCCGCGGCCGCACGCGCTACGCTATCTGCCACTGCAGCGACACCCCGTACAAATGCGGAGGGGCCTCTCCTCTTGCGGGGTCCCCTGCCTTTGCCATCGCTTTCTCGTCTAGTTACCAGGGGCAGGGGCCCACTTTTGTCTGTCTCCTCACTGATTACCTCCCTGTCGCTGTCCTCCAAAATATCCACGGCGTACCCTCGTATACCTCCTGAAGTTGAGGACCCCGCTGGCCTCCACGGAGCCTCCTCAGGCCCCCCTGCCCCAGCCTCCAGGGCCTGGCCAAGCTGGTAGTTCTCCACTGCGAGCGCCTCCCGTCTCTCTTTCTCCTCGAGAGCGACAGAGCGCCACCTGTCCCTCTCCTGCAGCACAATCAACCCCTAAACATACGCGCACCTTAGAAGCCCCAGGTACTAGTTTGAGTTTTCACCATGAAAGCGAATCTTCATGGACCAGAGATCTAGATCTGACACAGTGCAATGCAGCGCTGGCGTGGACTCAGGGCTTGCACTGCGCAAGTACCTTCTCCGCCTCCATGAGCTTGTTCTTGTACAGTTCCCGTTGCTCTACAACTATCTTGAACACTCCCTCCCCAACACCGTTGGGTTCGGTCTTTTGGCCTTCCCGCTCGGGACTTCCCTGGATTTCAGCCGTGGCGCCCCGTGCCTCACATTCGAGGAGAGATGACCCTGATGATTGTTTCGCGGGAGCTACATGGTGTGCGTGCTCCGTTACGTTAAATGCTGCAAGCGTGGCGTTTGCAGCAGCTGCTGCTTCTTTCGCCGCTGCTGCTGCCTGGTTTGCAGCTGCTAGCTCTGCAGCGAGGCGTCTTTTGTCCTCTAGCAGGCTCTCGCACGCCCTGTGTGCTTCAGCCTCTTTTGCAGAAAGAGTGGAAGAAACAGCTTGTAGATGCGACCGCAACTCCCGAACTTCATCCTTCACACAAAGCAGACACGCCTTGGTGCATAGAGTGGGGGTCTTGGGCTCCAGAGACGGGCAGGGTTGCAGCAGCAAACAAAAACAGGCGTAACCGGCAGAGCCAGCGGCCTCAACAGGAGCGCTAATCGATTCAGCATTAGCAGTAGCTGCAAGAACAGGTGGAACCTGAGCCGCTTTGACCACTGTGCTTCAGGGCTTAGAGCTTGGCTTACTGCAGTCGGCCTGGCTCTGAGTTCTGTCTCTAGCTGCTTCACTGTTAAACTCATCTCTTCGGCCTTCTTCGCAGCCTGTGCAGCAGCTGCCGCGTGAGCTTTCTCGGCATCCATGCGCCTGAAGTGTACGCACATTCCCAACACAACTCGGAAAATGCAACTCTGATCGCTAGCCTAAGCATCGAACAGCAACAACGGTGCGTGGAAGCGGCAGAAGTGGACAAAATATTCTCGGGAAGTAGTCCCTGCAGCAGTGCTAGTAACAGCAGCAGCAGCGACAGTACCAACTGCAGCAGCACTAATGTTCCAGCAGCAGCCGCACTAGCAGCAGCAGCAGGCCATGGGTGGGTTCGTAGTTACAATTGCTGTTCTTTACGAATTTCTGCCTCGAGGCCCTTCTCTGCTGCTAAGAGCTGGCTGATTCGTTCTTGGGCAGTTTGGAGGGCTCTCTAAGAGGACCCAGGCACAAAAGACAGACACAAAACAAACAGCAAATGACGCTACCGGATTACCAAAAAGCAAAAGAAATAGCTAGTTGTACAGAACTCGGCAGTCACTCAAACAAGTCCTTGTCTGTCTGTACTCCTTATCTCGCGCCTTTCTTATGTCGCATGCTTGACATATAGTTGGGTGTCTCTGTCTCACGAGTGTGCTTGCATCACTGCTGCTGCTCTGTGTCTGTCCGTCATTCTCGTGTTTCAGTCTCTTCTCTTCCAGCATTTCAACTTCCGAAAGAATGGCCCCACACTTCCGTTCCAGTTCGTCTCGAGTCTGTACGTACACCACAGCAGCTCACGCGCATCAGGTGCCCTGTCAAAATATGAATGCAATCGCACATACAAGAAAGTAAACAAACAAATGAACAGACACACGAGCAAACAAGTGAGCCGGCCAATACACAAAACAAACAAATGCACCATCGTGAGCAATGAAATAAGGGAATATACAAGTATACATACGCACGTTCCTACTTAAGCAGCCACGTGAATTTGTATATATATGGGAATATAAGTGCGCACATGAATACATGCGCATATCTACATCAAACATATATACGTATTATGTAGACACACACAGTGCATATAAGATCAAAGGCGCATACACTCGGCGGAGAGCGACGCAGAAGCGGAGCGATAAAGCCAGACAGACGCAAAGAGAGACAGAGGGCTACAGAGGTAAAAGAGGCACCAAGCAAGATAACGCTGTAGATGGGGAACTCATAACCCCATTGCGGAGACCACTCCGCCTCTAACTGCTGCTACCCTGCAGCTTTCTTTTTCGTCTCACAGCAACAAACTGCTGCTGCTGCTGCAGCAGCCTTCCCTCCAGGCGTGCAATTTGCTGCTGCGCTGTCTGCAGCTGCTGCGCCATCTCCGCGTTTTCGCGCTGAAGATGTGAGTCCGCCTGAGCACCGAACGCCGTAGCAAATGCCCGAAATCCTTTGAGCCAACTCTAAAGCTATCTTAGAGGTTCTGTTTTGGCCTAACGGCTTAAGCAGATGGGGATTTCTGTTATCACGGGATGCACTTAGTTTGCCTGCAGCTGCATCACCGCAACCGCAGCTGCTGCAGCCACTGTTGTTGTTCTTGCTGCTGCGGCTTGATGCCACTGCTGCTCTTGGCGCCGACGTTGCTGCTGCTGGTGCCTCTGGTCCCCACCCTCTTGAGTTGGGCCATTTGCTCTCCCTTTGCCACCGCTGCTTCAAGTTGCTGTTGAAAGTTTTGCTGCTGCTGGTGCAGCTGCTGCTCAAGCATGCGCACTGTCACGGACTGGTCCCTCGCCCTACTTATTTCTTCCTCCAGCTCCTGCCACGCCCAGCACCCGAGACCTCGCTTTAGATGCATGCATATACTTAGCACCGCATGCATATACTCAGCAAATTCGGCATTCTGTGCGTTCAAAGTGCATGCGCATGCATATCTGAACATGTCTGCACACGGAATGCCTGCACATGCCTACAGATCAGCACTCGGGCAGGCAGGTGCTGCCGTATGTGGATGCAGCTATGGGAGCCTCATATACTACTTTTGCTACAAGGGCCGCTGCGGGTTAGCCCCAGCATATTCACTATGCTGTTTCGGGGGGCCCCCAAGCTCCTCTAGCATGGGCCCCCTGTCGGTCTCGCTTTCCCCTGAGCCCTCTTCCGGGCATCAGTGCAGCACTAACTCTCAAAGAGCTTTCACCAAGCTTTATATGCACATGTTTTACACATGATATAGGGAAAGAGTGTTGCAGTTATCTGGGAAAAGTGTTGGTGTGCTGCAGCTGCGTGCGGATGGGGTGTCTGTACAGCTGGCCGCCGCTTACGTGACACTCTTTCTCGAGCTCTGCATTTCTCGCTGCGAGATCTTCTGCTGCTGTTTTCTGCAGATCAATTTGCTTCTTGAGTTCCTCGACCTGACGGCCAGCAGCGCCAGAAGCAGCACTTGCTTCCAGGTCACGCAGTATAACCATCAAGTCTGCACACAGGCTCACACGCCGAAGTCCCAGACCTCACAAAGTAGCCTGTGAGGCCTACGGATTACTCCTTTGCAGCAAATTTGGAAAACAACCAGCTGCAACTGGTACTGCTTCAGCTCAATGGCACAGACTGTGGGGCCCGGGGTTTAGAGTCAGACGCTGGGGCTTTGGCTGTACCTGGCTGCTGCAGCAGCAGCTGCAGCAGGCCTAAGAAAGTGGCCTCTGCTGTTTTCGCGCGTTTCGTGAGCGAGTCTATTTCTTGTTGGTAGCCCCTCAGCAGCTGCTCTGTTGCCTTTTTGACTGTCTCCAGAGCCGCAGTGCCTCCCTGCTGCTCCTGCTGCTGCTCCTGCTGCTGCTCCTGCTGCTGCGCGTCCTGCGCTGCTGCAGCGCCGCCATTTGCTGCTGCAGCTGGGCTCACAGGAGGCCCCGTGGAGGCCGAAGGCGACAGCGAAAGCGAAGACCAGAGGCGGCGGTTATCTGCAGAAAATGCGGGAAGAGACGAACATCTCAAAAGCAGCAGTAAACAAGCCATGAATCAAAACAAAAAGAAACAAAGAGATGGGAATAGACATTAAAAGAGAGCAGCAAGCCAAATGCACTGCGCAGCGCTTGCCATTGACCCCTAACGCATAGAATTGTGCACTCCACCCAAACCAAGAAGAATTAAGGAACTAAAGAAACTGAGCGGTGCTGCAGACAGGCAGAGCTGGCCTGGCTTCTTGGGCCCCGGTGCTGCTGTGTACATACAGCTGCGTTTGATACCCTAGCCACGCGTACACAGATGCATTTTCGCACTTTGCAGAAGTGCTGATATGTTTGCAATCATGCGTGTCGAAGTAGAGAAATTTGCTCCCAGCACGAGGGGATATGAACAGATGCATTGTGCATCAATACACATAAACATGTTTAAAACGTGTAGTTAGATGCATATGAACTGGAGACAAAGTGTGTGGTCTCACCTTTGGTGTCGCTCGCGAGTTTCTTCCGCGAGTCGACTGCGGCTCTTTTGGCCTTTTCGATTTCCTCGCAGAAAGAGGTGTAGGAGCGCACCTGCTGCCAGCACACGACCCTGAGGTCAAAAAGCAACAAGATGCAGCAAACTTGAAGGCAGTGCGTATTTAGCTGCAGATGAAATGCTTGAGCGGGGCTCCATTCAAATCGGCAGTGGGGCTTTGAAAAGAGCCACTATTAACCGACCGTTAACACACAAGATACGCTTATACCGCAGCTAATTTCAGGACAACACGCAGCAGAATATAGTGAGAAGATGTACACACCAGGAAGAAACAGCTTCCGCTGTGGTCTGCGAACTGCCGAGGACATCCATATTCGCAAATGCCAGGAAGCTGGCGAAAACAGAATTAAAGGAAGTCCTCTATAGTTCGCTCCCTTGAGAGCTAGGAAAATCGAAAAAGACGACCCGAATTCCGGTGTTCATACACCTTAAATTGACGAATGTGCTAAGGCCTCCATTTGCGTCCATCTGGTCTTCAACTTCAGAACGGTGCAGTAAAAAGCACTAAAAATGCAACGAGTTAATTAAAATAAACGCGCTTGAAGATACCGCAGATATTAGCATTTACTGGACCAATTGGCTGGACACACTGGGCCCCAGCCGTTCGGCTTCATCCCGTCGTAGGGGCCCCCTAAGTATTTGCCTTGGGGGGCCTCTGTCCGCTATCGCATCAGGGGCCTCTGTATCCAGTTTTTCGCTTTTTCCCTGCGCCCGTTAAAAGCGCATTGAAGCAAACACTGAAACAAGGAAATGAATAATTCAATTCTTCAAGGAAATCGGCCGGGCTAGGCCTCTGTGCTTGTTCTCTTTTTCACGTTTTCCTGGAAGATCTTCTCGTGTGACCTTGGCAGCTAGCGCCTTCGCCGCCATTCTTGAGTCTTGTTTTCTTGGCTTTCAATATATTTTGCTTTTGCGTTTTAATAATTGGTTTTTTTTGCGGTGTCTGCCAAACAGAGCTAAGGTAGTCACCGAGCGCTAGGCGGCCTAAAGCACGGCTGCCAGCGCACACGGACTACACAGGCGCTCCGAAGACAAGGTTGCAGAGGCTTCAGCAGCAGCTCGGGCTGCCAAAACAAATGAAGCAGCAGCAGCGGCAACAGCAGCAAGGGTCCTCCTATTCGCGCGGCAAGAAACACGCGGGCAGCCTCAGCCGCAGCAGCACCGACTTCGCCTCAACAGCTCAAATAGATGCAGCAGCAGCTACAGCAGCACATTTAGGCGCAGGGCCAGCACAGTAGTGGCAGGAGCAGCAGCAAGAGGCCCCATAAATGCCGACTTGACAACATGTCGGTTTCCTCTGCCTCTTCCTCTTTAAGCAACCGCCCCCCCTCGCGTCGCCTTTCCCTTCATGTACAGGAGCTGAAGCAGCAAAAGCAGCAGCAGCAAGGCCGAAACGCGCCGGAGCTGCAGCAGCAGCACAAGAAGCAGCAGGGCGAACAGCAGCAGCAGCGAGAGCAGCAGCAAGAGCAGCAGGAGCAGGAAAATGCTGCCCCCGCGACTTCTTGGAACTTGACGGACGCCAGCGCTGCAGCGGCCACCTTGCTGAATGCGCGCTGCGTGCTGGTGGTGCCTGGCTGGGGCCTTGCGCAAAGTCGGTGTGGGGCGGAGTTCGCGGAGACAGTGAAGCTGCTGCTGCTGGGGTCCTGCGTGGAGATAGGCGTGAGTCCCATAGCGGGATTGTTTCCGGGCCACATTTCTTTGTTTCTGCAGGGCGTGCCGGAGCGCCTAATAAAGACAGGCGGAGAGGTCGTGGAGATGCTGTTCAAGTACGACGCGTGCCTCATTGTCGGCGCCAACGACGTGGTTAATCCCACTCTCACTCAAGACGGAAAGTCTCTGAAGGGGGCCATAATTGAGGCCTGGAGAGTGCCCAGGGTTGTGGCCCTGCGCCGCTCGCAGGGGCCCCGGGGGCCCCTTGGCGGCAAGAACAACAACCCCACCTTTTTGCGGCCCAACGTCTGCGTCTTGCCTGGAGACGCGAAAAAGTCCCTCGCGGCAATCAACGAGGCCTTGAGGCATCTGGGCAGGGGCGTGGGGGAGGGCAGGGGCTGGCCGCCCATTAGAGTCTACGGGGACTTAGACGAAGACCCCACAGCCCAGCCTGTCTCCCACTGGCCCCCGCCCGTGCTGACTGTGGGGGCCCTGCGGGACCAGGTGGGAGGCGGGATCGTCCCCCTCGATCCCAGGGGGGTCCAGCGGCTGCGGGCCATGGGGTTTAGGGTTTTGGTAGAAAGGGACTTAGGGGAAGAGGCCGCCACGGTCCCCACGGCTGAGGCGACCTCGGGAGCTCTCACGGCCAGCGGGGGCCCCGGGGGCCCCGGGGGCCCCTGCACTTACTCTTCTCTAGAGTACACAATGGCGGGCGCCGATGTTTGCGATTTGGAAGAGGTGCTTCGGGCTGAAGTCCTCGTGCACCCAACTATACCCCCCCTGGACTACTTTATGAAGGCAGGCGGCCCCGCAAACGGAAGAGCAGCAAATGCTGCAGCAGCAGCAGCAGGCGGGGGCAAAGGCAGCGTGCTGATATGCAGCATTCCTCCGGGGCGCCCTTGTCCGCTGCTGCCGGCCTTGAGTGCGGCGCGCTGGTCTGTGCTTTCCCTTAGTGTCTCCTCGCCGTCTCTCCAGGCCCGCGGGGTTGCTGCTGCTGCTTCTCTCGAAGCCTTGCGAGGCAGCAAGGCGCTGCTGCAGTGCCTCTACGCGCTGCCGCGGCTGGTGAAGGGCCTCACAACTGCTGCAGGGCGCATCGACCCCGCCATGGTGCTGGTCCTGGGCGCGGGCGTTGAGGGGCTGCATGCAGCAGCAGCAGCCTACAAGTCTGGCGCTAAGGTGTATGTGGCTGACCCCCGAATTTCCGCAAAGGCAGCAGTGGAGTCCATTGGTGCGGTTTTTCTTTCTGTCCTTCTCCGTGTCTCTTCTTGGGAGGCCCTCAGCAGATTTCCCCAGGTGGTTGGAACCCTCCGTGCTCTGGTTCAGAAGAGCGACATAGTTGTTTGCGCCCCTCGCGGGCTGGACGGGGGCCCCCCAGGCGAGTTCGAGGGGGGCCCCCCTCAGCTGGTACCCGAAGAGTGGATGGAGGGCATGAAGGCCGGCGCTGTGGTCATCGACATGCTGGGGGGGCACCCAGATGCTGCTCCAGGTTGGTTTGGCTGTGTGCAAAGGAGCCCCCAAGGAGAGCCCTTGGAGACGGGGCCCCTCTCCCCAGGGATCATGCAGGGGCCCCCTGTGGGGGTCACTGTGCTGGATGGCAGCAGCCTGCAGCAGCTGATGCCGAAGGAGACGTCGCGGATTCTCTCTGAAAGTGTCTGCAACCTGCTGCAGCAACTGAAAAGTCCCGAAGCATTGTCTTTGTCTCTGCCAGATGAGACCGACCCTGTGCTGCACAGCCTGCTGCTACTTGACCGGGGTGACCCCCTCCCCCCCAAAGCCCACAGCATTTTCAGGGGCCGCCGCACTCTGTCGCAGCTCAAACTGGGCAGCAGCATTTCAGGGCACTCGCGGCAGAGCTCTGTCTCCTCAGATGCAGCCAGTGCCTTCTTCCAAAAGTCGTAGAAGGCAGGGCCCCCGCAGCCAGCAGGTCTTTCCCAGGAGTGGCCTGGGAGGCTTGCTGGGCGCTTTCGGGCGCACAGGGAGAAACATGGAAGTTGTCCAGAAGCAGCTCCATTTGTCTCTTCATTGGGGTCTTACAGGGACCCAAGAGGGAGCTCACAAAGGCGCGTCAAAAGCCTTAAAATCACCCCGGAAGGAAACTTGCTGGGGTCATCGTGGGCTTTAGCAGCAGCTGCACAGATGCTGCAGAGTGCTCTACAAGGGCTCAGCAACGGCCCTGGCCCTGAGAGACTTTACAGAGACCCCACCAGGGACTGATAGATAGGCATCCTTAGGGGGCCAAAAAGAGGCCACAGGAGAGCTCAAATGGACAATTGAGCTTCGCAGTGGCTCTGTTGGGACTGTGCGGGCAGCTCGGATATAGCAGAAGGCCGCAACGTGCACCTGGCGGCACTTGGGAAAAATGCGTGGTGTTTCTTTGTTGCGATTTTGCGAGGAGGGTACGTTTGTGGAGACCTAGACGAGGTGCAGGGGCCCCACGTAGTATCTAGTGCACTGTGTTTTGCTGGGGCCTGTTAAGCCCGTATTTGGGGTCTCAGAAGGCCCTGCAGACTATTTGTACTCGCCGCCTCTGCCATAGAAAAGCCTCGGCAGAAAACGCTTAGGTGGGCGCATGCAGCAATTACGTGATAGTTCCACGAACTGTCAGCGCCTCTGAGTCTCCGCCGCCCACACCCTTGCAGCAGCAAAACGAGCAGAAGCAGCAGCAGCAGCAGCAGCCGCTGCAGCAGAGGCGCTGTTTGTTTGTGCTGTTTGCTTGCTTTTGTGCTGCTCGCTGAGCAGCACAGCGGTGGCAGCAGCGTCTGCAGCCTTGGGAGCCTCCCGCAGTCTCTGCAGGAAGACGCCCTTAGCTAGTTTGTTGCTGTACACGGGGATAGAGGAGACAGAGAGACGGGAGACAATTCCTCGCTCTGTCACCAAGCCAACCTCCCTTGGGGGGCCCCCGACAAACCAAACACCACACAGCTCGTCTGCAGGCTCGGGCCCCCCCCGCAAGCCGGCCAAATCCGCACCTGCACATCCCTGAAGGCCTTCTTTAGAGGCCCCTTCGCGAGAAGCTTCTTCCCCAGGAGACCCTTTCTGAGGGTTCCCTGCAGAGGCGCCTTCTTGAGTGTCCTCTGGCTCTGGGGCTTCTTTTTGGCTTTCCTCCTGAGGAGGTCTTTCTTGAGAGTTCCCGCCATTGGGGGCCCCCGTAGCAGCCTGGCCTTGGTGGCCCCGTCCTGGGGGCCCCTCCCGGTTCGCCAGTCGAAGCACAGCTTTGCCTGCGCCTCCTCGTCTTTGTGGCGAGAGGTGCTGGAGAAGCAGCCGTTTGCCTGTATGCATGCAGCCCCAAAGGGGGGCGTGAGTGTGGAGGGGACAATAGCTGGAGAAGGAGACGGGAGGCCGCGACACAGGAAAAAGGGGACAGCTAGCAGGACCAGACGTAAATAAGAGGACAAACCAACGGGAGGAGACACAGGGCAAATAAAGACAAGGACGCAGTCACAGGGAGATGGATTCAAGTTCAGAAGACAAGCACAGGCAGAAGCGTCGCGATCCATAATAAAAGACACGGTCAGTGCAAAGGACATAATATGCAAACTTTTTGGTGTCCCCTCCGGCTGACCTCGGCCTTTCTTTGTAAGAACTACAAGAGAATCTCCTTCGGGATCAGCTTTAGGGGGAACGACAGTAAGAGCAACGACTCTGTCGTCCTTCCTATAGCACAAACACAAGTGCATTTGTAAGTAGAATCTCAACGGGTTTGAAAAGGTGACAATTTACTCAAGTATTAACTGGTCGCAGTGCTTTTTGCATGTCATGGCCGGACTCTTCCAACTCGAATAGGCAAAAGTGCTCGTGGGTATACGGGCCCGCTCGTTGTGCCTTAGCCGGCAATTGCGCATGACAAAATGCACCAGAGACGCAAATCAGTCGAACATGCAATTAGGTTCTGTACAAGTCGGCATGTAGTATCCATGTAGTCACGCTGCGTCCCCAAGAGTTACCACACTTGCGGTGTACATGCACCTCCAAGGCAGATACACACCTTAAAGTGATGCCCTTGACGCCCCGCGACAATAAGCTCGCCTGAGGCAGGGAACTACATGGAAAACGAAGGGCGCGGCCAAAGGCAGTGCCTGCAAACATCGAAAAGAAACACGCCGAGAGAGACTGACGGGCACATGATAGCGGCAGAAAAACGGGTATCTGCTGTCATTGTACGAACACGCAGGCACAGAAACAGAGACGCAAAGAAACACAAACGCCAAATGAGACCATCAGAACAAAGGAGAATCCAGTTCACGCAGTTGTTCGCTGAGAGCCAAGCGAGCAGAAGAATGAATGAAGGAAACATTTGAGTGGGGAGGGAATAGAATGGGCTAGCGCTGGAAAGGGAGAAGGCACAGGGAGAATGCAAACTCCAAAAGTGTCTTCCTACCTAAGACAACGGAGTAATCCTTTTCTCCTTTTGCTTCTCCCAATGTTTCTGTCTGTTCTTGACTCTCCGCGCTTTTGTTTGGACCATCGTGGACCCCGTTTCTTGCCTCTGTCTCTGGACTCGTTCCCAAATCCGTATCCGTCTCCTCCTTAATGGCTTGCGCATCTCTGTCACTTTTCGTTGGCCTCTTCTTTACCACCGCGCACGCCGCTACTGCATCTCCAAGTCCCAACGGCAGCAGCCGCCGTGTGCGATTCTTCCTTTTTGTCCCTGTGGGCAGCAGAAGCCCCAGAGACAGAGCCTTAACCAGCCCCTGCCGAGTAGCCACTACCAGCTGGCCTCCTATCTCTTCCTTGCCCACACGAACTACGCAGCCCAGATGTCCTTCAATTTCACTGTCTGATCCTGTTCTTGCTGCTGATACAGCGTTGGCGGGTGCTGCTGCTGCAGCAGTAGCAGCAGGCTGCACGCCTCGCTTGGAGGCACCAACAGCAACAAAAGAGGCCGTTGTCTTCAGTCCGTGGCGCTGCAGATGAGAGCCAGGAAGGGTCAAGCATCTCCCGTCCCTCCATATGAACAATATCCAGTCGCCGTCTCTGCACTCTGTTGCTGCTGCTACACTGTCGCTGCTGCCTCTGTCCTGCTGGAGCTGCTGCTGGGGTGCTCCGACTGTGCAGTGGCCTATTGCTGGGTTTGGTCTCGCGCCTGCGGTGAAGCAGCGCTGGCCTGTAGCCCCTCTGGACTGCAGACTAATTGAGGCCTCCGACACTCTTTTGTAGAAGCCCTTGCGCGTGACGAGCAACAAGTAACTGCACACGTAGCGACAACACCAGCAGCAGAAGTGACGAAAACACCAAGAGAGCTTGATGCGTTATCCTTAAATAGCTTGTGCATACGTCTCTGCATGCGCCTCTTTTAGCTGCGCCCTGTATTCACTTATGTGATTACAAATGCTCACACGCAAAGGCCTTGTGCATCAATGTACTACTCAGATATGTGTGAAAATGCATTTAGAGATAGGTTACATGCGTGAGGACCTTAAGCCCATGCACAAAATATCAACGCACACAAAACCAAACGCAAGTAAACACCCTAAATATCCTTGGCGCAGCATGCATGCTGGCACAGCGCTGCATGGGAATTGCACTCTTTGAATACTGCCTTTCCACCTTGCAAAAGAAGCAAAGCTTCCCGGAAGCCTGTCTCACACAAACGTCCGAAATCAAGAAAAATAGAGCCAGCGTTTCTTTAAGCAGTTTGCAGACCTCTTGCTGTCTTTTTGACTTTCTATTAGCTCCTCTTCGCCATCAAAAGTCTCAAGCCCATCTCCCTCTCCAGGATTCGGGCGCTGCAAAGCCCCTCCGGCGCTCTTAGTTGAAACTTGGGGGCCTTTTCGAAGAAACAGTGTCTTGCGGGGGCTCCCGTACTTCCTATCTATTTCTTGTAGTTCCTCCTTGATGAGGGTGAAGAGCTGAGCGTCATCTGACAAAAGGCGACGGAGTCTCTCTGCCTTCCGGCGTGTCTCTTCGAGCTGCTGCTGCTGCTGCTGCTGTTCAAGCTGCAGTAGACTAGAAAGCCGCATGCGCAAAAGCCCCTTGGCCTGCACCTCCGTAAAGCCAAAGGGCTGTCCTGTGTACAAGATGCAAGAGAACTGAAAATAAGATGAAGGCAATAAGGCAACAACAGCCAGAAGTAATCGCGAAAAAATGCAAGCGTCAGGGAAGAAGGAAGAAATTACGGACTCATTGTATTCGTACCTAAGTAATGACGCGGCGAGCTTTGGTCTACTATGTGAGTATGAATTCTGTCATCCACTGTGTGCACCCGTGCAATTTTGCTTCTGATTAAAGGCAAAATAGTTAGCTCATGCTTTAAAAGCATGCAGATACAGGAAAGCCCATACATCGAAAGCGTACTTTTGGTACTCATAAAAAAATGCATGCATACGCATGTCAAAGGACACAAGCGCATAAATACGTAAATGAGTACACGAAGAGAGAGCTTATGCCCGCTTAACACAAATAACTGCACTTTTACTTGTTTGATCAAGACGAGTGCTTACATAAGTAAAACGCTACGCGTGAGTGAGATTCAAATGCACACTTAAAACATTCTAGAAAATATATACCCTTCCTCCACTTTGACCGTATTCATGTACGCATGCACATGCATATATGCGCAGCCTGCAATTGTGCATGCGTCTGCCTGCCTACCCATGAGCTTGCTGACCACCTCTTCCGCGTCTCTGCAACGCTGAAGCAGATCCACAATTTCTCGCGAGTGTTTTGCTGCCTTTGTGCTGCCTTCAAGAATGTGCTGCTGCTGCAAGAGCAGCTGCTCCTCCCGTTCCGTGCGGGCTCTCACGGCTCTTAAACGAGCTTGAAGCCACGACTCTAGTAAGTCCCTAAGAGCCAAATACAGATCAAACGACTCACACAATACCTTGAATTCTTGTTATCCACTGTAGACCCTAGGCACTAAGGCATGCAGCTGCGCTGGATTACATATAATGGCTGTAGCGGGTCTGGTTGTCACCACCTCCAGTGATAGCAGACTCGGGCTATAGGACACTAGAGCTTAGAATCAATGAACCACGCAATGTACCTAATTGAGAGGCTGTGTGGATGCTTTCCGTCCTTAAGGGCCACAAAGTTGCATTGTACAGACACCTCAAGCGCTGTGCTGGACACCAACTGCCTCCAAACCTCGCGAGGTGACGCCTCAGGCAGCAGTTCAAACACTACGCGGAGGCCACTGAAATCGCTTTCGTCTCGGACGTCTGACGCAGGAGCCACAAACAGAGCGACACACGCTGCGGACCATAGATCCCGGCGTTCTTTGAAAAAATCACAAGTTCCCAAAACTGAACGTCCTGAAAAGTATTTCGCGAAGCATTCTTATTCTCAATGCCTAGGGTACCGACCGCTGGGCTTTGGCTGCATGTTGTGGAATCTGAAACCCTGCCTTGAACACTCCATCCTAAATGTTTACTTCAAAAGCTCTAGTTGCTTTCTCGTTTGGCCGCATCCCTCTAGCTACGAATCATCCTTGTTGATGGCACTAATAAGAATGCTTGGATAAAGATAATAAGCTTGAGAGGGTGAGTTCTATATCGTGTACCAACTGTGAAACTACTAAGGCGCGAATCAAGGAAAGATTTGGAGTTTAGGATACAACGTTTCTTCTTACTTGAAATGTAAGGGAGAAGGCGCTCATTTGCAAGTCGCGCAGCGGTTTGCACAAGTTCCCCCTGAATCAGGACGAAGAAAGACAAAAAGAAGAGAGGAATCAGTGAAGAAAAGGGAGAGCATACAGAAGTGTCCGACACGACAAGGAGACAATAATGAAGGGCACAGAGGATGCAGACAAGTGTTGCTTTTCTGCCTTACAGAAAAGAGGACTTGAACAGTCCTCTTTCTGTAATCTAAGTTCCCTCTTGTCCTTTTGCAAAAGGTGAATGCGCAAGATGAAAGCAAATACATGCATTGGCACTTTCTTTACAACTTGATATCCAAGCATCGGACCCTGACCTTATTGACACCATAGGGAAGCTCTGTGACCACTATCTGCAAGCACTGTGGCCCTCCACGTTGGCTTGGTCCCTGTTTCTGTCTCTTGCCACCTCCAGCAGAAGTAACAAGGTGATGCTTCTCCTTCACTTCTACAAAGCCCCGGGCTCGCAGCCGCACAGATCCGTGGCCCTTCCTGTATGCTGCAATGGCCTCAGGCGGCTGCACTAGTAGGCCCCCCGTAGGAAAGTCTGGACCGGGCAGCAGCCGGTAAAGTGCAGCATCTGAAATGCGCGGGTTGCTGCAGCAGCAATACCAGCAATGAAAGCATAACCGTAAGCAGCAGCAGCAGCAGCAAAACAAACAAATAAAAGGAACACTACTCCAAGAAGATGCCACCGTAGCGTCCACACAAGGATAGAGCCTAGTTCCTTGAAAGTAGGCCGTACTCAATCAGAGCAATGCATGCAGAGACCACTTCGCTGAGGTTGTGTGGGGGGAGGCTTGTAGAGAGGCCCACAGCTACTCCAGCAGTTCCTTGCAACAGTAGCAATGGCAAACGTGCGGGGAAAAAGTCGGGCTCCACCTGAAGTCGTAAACAGAGCAGATCCTAAAGCCTTCTGCCCCTCTTCTGTACGAGAAAACCCGTTTCAGGGGTTTTGCAAATGCTTCTTTGAAGCCTAAAATGCCTGAACTTCCAAACTTTCGCCGAGTGTTGCATGGCAGGGAAAACCCTGCAGAATCCTGCGGCCTCTGTTTACCTCTGTGGCGTCGAAGTTGCTGCGAAAGCCGCAGGCCGAGGTGTGCAGGTCCTTCAGGAGAACATCCTGGCTGAGTGCAAAAGCCGTAAGCCACAGTGCCAAATCGCAATCTCTAGCTTCTCAAAAGGTCCAGTTTGCAAGCCTCCAGCAATTCCTCAGCTGGCCAGAGTGCAGGTTTTTGGGTCTTTGCTGCCTGCAAAGATCCCTCTATAGCCCCTAATTAGCGCCAAGCTCTTATGTAAAGGGCTAAAAGCTTAGTCCCAGCTCACCAGAAAGCAGACAGCCGGCATTCTGTGTAGCGCATTGCAGCTGCTGGGTCACCGTCAACAGAGCCAAAGTTCCCGTGGCCTTCTATGAGCGGCAGCTGGTAAACAAATGGCTGCGCCAGTCTGCTCACAAACCCTAAACCCTAAACCCTTCTCATTCAGCTTACGCCTTGCAGCCAAGGCTTGAGCACTGCCCTTGATTCTGATCAATCTGCAATTGCCCCAGGTCTAAAGCACGGGGTGCGTGCCTGACAGCATTCGTTGCTAGAGCTACTTTTGCTGCTGCTGCTGCTGCTGCTGCTGCTGCTGCTGCTGCTTTTGCTGCACCGGACGAGAGCGTCGTATACGGCTTTGTCTCCGTGGGGATGAAATTTACCCAGCACCTCCCCAACCACTCTCGCGCTCTTTCTAAAGGGCCCAGCGTGGCTGAGACCCAGTTGCTGCAGCAGCTCGCAGCCCACAAGCAATTTGGTTTCAAGTCTAAAACGCCAGAGAGCCTCAGGGCCTTCAGCTCTTAGCCCAGTCTGCACTCACCTGCATGGCATATATAATCCTGCGGTGAACAGGCTTTAGCCCATCTCTTGTGTCGGGAAGGGCCCTCGAGTGAATTGTGGAGATGGCATACTGTCCAAAGCTCTCTATCAATTCATCCGCAAACTCACAAGACAAGGCCCGCTGTGAATTCTCCTCTGCTGCTGGTTCTTTTGTGCTTGCTCCAGGCGAGTCGCCGGGCGCAGCTGGGCTTGCTGCTGCTGCTGCTGCTGCTGCTGGTGCATCTGCTGCCGCAGTAGCAGCAACAAGGTGGGAACTGTTGCGGAAACTGAGCTGCGGTGTGCAGATACAGACACTTGCTTTCTTCCGCACAGGGAGAAGCCCCGTCAGCCCCTTAACTGAATAAGCCAGGGGGCCCCTCACCCTGACGGGCAGAGAGGGGTCCCCCCTGTGAGGGACCACGGGGGCCCTCAGGAAGGCCTCACTGGAAGGCACTTGGAGCAGCAGTGCGACGACGGAACAGCAGAAGACCCAAACGCCCCGCATCGTGGCTTCGACTGCTGTGGCTCTGGGCCTAATGGCTCAGCATTCAATAGTTAAGATTGGCGGGGGTTCACAAGCCGCGTGGCCACAAAGCCCCCCCCCAACGACGGGGATCGTCGATCCCCATCGGCCTATGAGCCAGGGACTCTCATTGAGACCCACAGACTCTGCGACGCAGAAATGGAAGCCAGTTTTGCCGCTTAGCGCTGAGATCTTATGACTGTATGGGGGGGGTGGTGGGACTTTCAACTCCCATGAAACTGCCGGAGCCGAGCCACTCCTGCTTCATCTCTTCCTCTTAACAGCAGGCCAAGCTCTTCTGTAGGCTTGCAGCTGAAGGCTGAGGTTTTACGGCCTACAGCGACTCTCGAAGGTGGGGGGCCCTTGCGCCGACTCGGGGGGTTGGGGCCCCTCACTGGGCCCCCACTGGTCAACAGGAGCTCTTGCCTTAACTATATTTTAGGTGGGGCTCTCAATTTTCATTTCTGCGTCAAAAAATTTACAGGAATCACCTAACTTTCACCTCACTTTCCAATCGATGCCTCTCGCTGGAGAGCATCGGCGGGTGCTCGCAATGACACGAGTTTGCGTTCTAGCCGGCAGGTTCCCCGCAAATTACTTTATTCGAAAAGCACAATCCATAAACAACATAATTTTTTTCTGAGAGGCAATTCTTGAGACAGAGAAGCCACTTCTCAAGCGTGGGATGTCTGTACACCGCAGATCCGAGCTCGCGAGCGCCTCTTCGCAGGCAAGGATGCCACCATGCGTCTACTACATTTTATCAAACTAGTGTTTTTCGTAGCGCCTATAAATGAGTCAACTACAATGATCAGGGGTCTTAAGGGGCTACGCGGAGGGCTCAAACCCCGGACCGCCCCAGGGTTCACCGGGCAGCTGCGTCCCCTGTGCTGTCCCACAGCAGCTCCTCGCTTGAGGGACGCAAGGCCCAAGCAATACATGGTTTCTGGGCCTTTGTGGCTTTCCAGTTGTGGAGTTCTTGGGAGAGTCATCCAGAGGGGGATGAGAGTTTCACAAAGATGTGCATCAGGGGTCTCCCCCCCAGCTGCTAATGGCGCACAGGTGAATCGCCTTGGGGACTTTTCTCGGGATTTTCGCGGGATCACACAAGCTACAAGCATGAAGCAGATGAAGTTGTGTCTGTGAGGGGCTTGTTCATATGTTCCGTTGGTCTATGCTAGTGGCAGGACCTGTGTCTGTCTTTTTCAGTGAAGTTCAATCCCGTCACGGGCTTCCAGACACCAAAACGCCGTTGCGATGTAAAGGCGCTTCTGCTGCATGCAGGAAACTGCTGAAGAGAGGATGGTAGCTGCCCCAGCTCCAGCTGCAGCTGCAGCAGCTGCTGCGGCTGCTGCTGGGGCAGCTGGTGCGGCAACAAGGGCACCCGCAGGAGATCAAAAGAAGCCAACAAAAGTGACCAACAAAGGACACGACCCCCAGATGAAGGGCCTACTGTTGTTGGAGGCAATTCCCGATTCCCCAGATCTGGGTATGGTTTATATCGGCCGAAGTGCGGAACAGGTGAGGTGATCATACACCTCAAATGTACAGTGATTCTTTTCTCCTTATACCCCCGTATGCGTGGCTACGAAGAATCCTTAGTACCGTTTTCCTTTTCTGATATTTTATTTGCGACCTATTTTCTTTCTTGTGTGGTCTTTGCGGTTTTTTTCAATGCAGAATGAGCGCCTTTCTTTTTCTTTTTCGAAGCCGTCAGACATTTGGATGCATGCAGAAGGGGTGCCTGGGGCCCACGTGCTGCTGCGGCTTCCAAAGAAGGCCTCATCTATGGACGAAAGTTCTTTTCAAGAAGATTCTTCTCAAGGGAAAACTCGAGTGGAGTTACCCCTGAAGGAAAGCCCCGCTGGAGGCCCTCCAAGGGCAGCCTTGGCGTTCGCAGCAGATTGTGCAGCTTACTTTTCCAAAGGCAAGACGCAGCGGCAGGTGCCTGTTGTCTGCACAACTGCAGGCCAGCTCACTAAACCCTTGGGATCCCCGCTGGGGACAGTGGCGATTCGGGGAAAGACTCACAGACTGACGGGCCGGTGAGGTGCAACTGAGTGCATGCATGCAGCCTCAAGTCTACTCACCAGCATCAACCAAAAATTGTTTTTTCCCCGGGATTATGGGCACTTATGAAGGCACAAGTTTTGAATTTAAGGGTTTTTGGGCTAGGGTTTCGGGTCTAGGGTTTGTGGTCCAGTGCTTGCGTATTGAGGCTCGTGCTTTCCCCACAGGCCAAGCCGCGCGGCCCCTCGTATATCCGAGGCTATACTAAAAAGACGCGAACAAAATGAAAAGAAAAAGACAAGAAATGCCAAAGGCTCAACTGGCCAAAATCATGCAGCAGCTGCAGCAGAAGCGCCGGCGGCAGATGCTGCAACTGCAGCGCCAGAGGCAACAAATGCTGCAGCAGCAACTGCAGCACCCACTGTAGCAGCAGCAGCATCAAACGTAGCGGCAGCAAGAGATGTTGCAGCACCAGCAACACCAAATGCGACAGGAGCATGCCTTGTTGGAGGCGCAACGGCCGTCGCAGCAGAGCCATCAGCAGGAGCAAACGGAACCGCAAAGCTGCAGCAACGACAACAGCATTTAAAGACACATATGAAGCAGCAAAAACAGCAACACGCTTCAGATATGCAGCAGGAACAGCAGCCGCAGAAGTAACAACAGCGACTGAAGCAACTTGGAGTGCGTCTCAGAGAGACCCAGGGTGTGGCGTCCTCTGTGCCCCTCCTCTTGATATTTGGAAAGTAAAGATCCTGTTTTTCCCCTTACTTTTTTGATTGCGCTTTCGTAATTTCTCTATCCAGGTTTGCGTAAATGACACTGCCCAGAAAACCTTGCAAGAGGCGAATGGACAACAATTGTAGTGTCTGTTTCTGTCATCCTATCTGTGTAAGTAGCAAAATATGTCTCGCCTACTAGCGCAACCTCCGCAATTGATAGCCCCCCTATATATGAAGCAAACTGCCCAGCAATAAGAGGCCCCAACTGACTGCTTGGGCTCCCCCTAAGTAAAGTGGGCGTTAAACAGAGTGCCTCCAGGACTCCCGTTAGTCTCATAGTGAACGCTTTGCACAAAGTTCAGAGTTAGGGCGCAGCGTTTAGTACGCGGGGCCTGAGGCGTGCAGAGGGCTTTTCAAAGTCGTCTTTTGTGAGGCTCTTCCAAGTGCTGTACATCATGGCACCCCGTAGCCCTGACACGCAGTGCATGCAGCCGCGAAGCCGCCACAGGAAACAGCACGCTACCTGAGGCTGGCTGGGGTCTCCCCGCAGCTGTCGCACGTAGCCCCAGAGCCCCACGTCCCTGCTGCGTCCCGCTGCTGCTGGTCCCTCACAATAGCAGCAAGACAAGCAGCAAACGATGGCAGCGGCCCCGTGGAGGATCTTGGAGGAACACCTGAAGAAAGCCCCCCTTTAGCGGGGACAGCAGCGTCTGGTGCGAACGGCACTTTGCCTATTGGCTCCTCAGTACACGTTGGGCGACTCTCCTCTCTTCTACCCACTTCCGCCACTGCCAACTCTGCTGTTCTTTGTGATGTTTCCGAATTTTCTAACGCCGCAGCAACAGCACCAGCGAGGTGCGTGCCTTGCGGATAAGTGTCTACGGGTGTCAGTGCGGCTGCGAGTGCCCGCAGCGTGTGGAGGGACACGGGGAGAAGGGGGGGCAGTGCAGGGGCAAAGAACTCCCGCAGCGTTTCTGTGAAGCGTTGCCTGTAATCGCCTGGGGATAGGACAGTGGGCTGGAGGCCACTGGTCATGTAGGCGAGGGCTTTGCCCAGTTTCTCTACGTGTTTGTCCCACGTATACTTGCGGAAAAAATCAATGAGGCCGAAGCATATCTCTGCGGTTTCCTCGTAAACCACAACCAACAGCGAGTAGTCAACCACCTCAAGACGCTGCAGCAAAGAAAGGTCCTGCTGCAGCGCCTCCCTAAAGGCACAGACGTCACTGGAGTGCATGCACAACGCAAAGCCCCGAGAGTATTCGCGAAAATTTTGATCCCATAACACTGGCACGCACTCCAACGCTGCATGCACGTCCAAGGATTCGAACTCCCCAGCGGCTGCCGCTGCAGCTGATATTTCAATTGCTGCCCTTGCTTCAGCTGCTGTGACTGCTGGAGTTGCTGGAGGCGTTGCTGTAGAAAAGAAGCGAAAGAGACTTTCGCCTGCACAGAAACTGTCGCACAGTGCCAGCTTGTGTCAGGCAAGCCAGAGACAAAGAAGGGACAAACCAATCTGAAGGGTAATGAAAAGGAATATGAATGAGTCTCCGGTGCATATGAAAAAAAGTAAAGAGAGCGAAAAATGTGCAATGAACCCACCTGCCGCTGGGAAGCCAGCGTCTTTGCTAGAAAATGGTTCTTCAGTGGCTGCCAAGATCTTAGGAGAATAATTTTCGTCCGAGCTTACTGCTGCTGCATCGTTTGCTGCTGGGGTCGCTGTAGATGCGGCTGCTTCGTTCAGCACTGCAGCAGCTGTCGTTCGATTCTGTCTCCCCGCTGTCCTTGCAGCAGCCCCACCACCCGTGCAGCTATTGCTGCTGCTGTTGGCGCCACTGTGAACTGCGTGTGAATCCGTTTCCGGTATATACCTTTGCCTGCCGAGTCCTTTGAGGTCGAAGACCCTGATGGGCCCCTTTGGTGCCCCTCCTTCTCTGTACCTTAGGTTACTAAGGGCAACGTAATACCTTTTGTCTCCATTTATTGTATTCTTTACTTGAAATAGACCCAAAATTGGGGTTAGGGCAGACGGCCTTCCTTCCAATAACACGCGGGAAAAATGGCGGAAGAAAGAGTCACTCTGACACAGCAGCAACTTGACCTCGTGACGGTTTAACTCCTTCAATACATAAACCCTGAGCACGGAGAAGGCAAAAACGAGGATTCACATTGCAGTTAAAACGCAAAAAAATGTAACGGAACGTCGATAACAACAGCACGACCTTTATGTAAAAATTATGCACGACGACACCACCCCCCTAGGCTGAGCATCGTGTGCAAGCAGCCAACCGAAACGAAAACAAACAAGCAGAGAAGTGCAGGGATAGGTATGGAGACAAAGGCATAAGACAAGAGGAAATCATGCCGAGAAAGAGGAATGGATGCGCACATAAAGTCAGATGCATCGGTGACCATTCATAGTGTGGGGTATGATCCCGGGTCTACCAGTGGATATGTGAAGGGAACTGGGCTTCAGGATTGATAAGATGTTTACATATGCATTGTAGAAAGGCCATAGGCTTTAAACTGGCCTTCAGAGTTTTGCTCACCCATCCGATGATAGCGTAAAGGACGCCCCGCTTTTTCCTCCAAACAGTTTGACAGGCGTTGCGCTTTTGATAGAGCAGCAAAACTGGAGATCATCTCCGCACAGCAAATGCCTCAAAATGTGAAACTGCAGTACACAAAAAAAAACAAATTGCTTCCCAAGTTGCTTTCAATCTCGTCGCTGGTATCAGTACCAGTTCCCACCGTGCTCCAGACTGTACCCTTTCATACACAGGCGGGCTGCTGTTCAGCTAGCCACCCAAAAGCTAGTTGCCTAGCCACCAGCTGGACTCTGCAAGCCATCAACAAGCCGTAAGCTGGCCTCCAGAGAGGGTTCTGGGAATGCATACTTGTGGGGCAAAGAAAAGAGTCACATTGTGAGATCGATTATCCCCCAACTGGTGCACCTGCACATGCTGCTCGCCGCTGTCTATGGGAGCCTCCAGCACACCACGTAGTAGTCTCAGCTCTGTTTCATTCGCTTCATCCTGCAAAGCCGGACTGCATGGAGACTCACGGCCAGGTCCCTCCCTGAGCCACCACGGAATTCCCAAAGTGCCCTCTTCAGGCGAAAGCGCCACGAATCTCTGAAAGTTTCCAACAAACGAGACACCTTCAGCTGGCACTGGCCAATCTGCGCAACAAAATGGAGGCACAAAGAGACAGCAGCTGAACAAATCGCAAGCCAGAAGACCGCGGGGACCTGATTGGCCCGGATGCCTCCTCAAGGAGCCCTGCCCATTCCCTTTCGTTTCCTCTGGATTCATGGCATCTCCCCGTCCCTGAAGGCTTCTCGATTTTAGAGGCCCTTCACACACTAGCGGCTGCCTTTTAAAGTCTGTGCGTGAAAAGCCTCCCCAAGAAGTTTTGCTCTCTTCGAGAAATCCCTCAGAGAGTTCAGCCAACACCACGGCCAGCGCTGAAGGCAGCAGAAGGCACCCACGGCTGCAAGAGCCACCCCACACAGACCATCTTTCTTTTGATGCGGATGCTTCATCACTACATGGGATCTTGGGTTCCGAATGAGTCTGTTTCCCCCCACAGGATGATGCATTCACAACCCTGCTGGGGCTTCTTGTTTTCGCTAGCCTCCGTGCTCTGCAAAGCTCCACAGCACAAGTGCCCAGGCAGCACAGGCACGGCTTGCTGCTCTCATATGGTTCCAATGGCGCAGCTTCTGCAAAGGCTTCTGCAGAAGCATGCGTATAGTCCTCTTTGGAGGCTTTTACTTGTGCTTCTGGAGGGCATTTTGCGGGGGCCCCTGTGGGGTTTATACATTTTCCACATAAGCCCCCACAACAAGCGCCCGGAGTATTGACGAATTCTGTCGTCCATCTACGCTTCAGTTGCTGTGCTGCTGCGGGGCTAAGAATGGCTGAGGCTATGAGAGCCCCTACATCTTTGGATTCCTGAGGAGGCAAAAAGCCATGAAGGCCCTCTTTGGAGCGAGCAAGTATGTCAGAGACGGAGGCTTCAAGAGCATGCAAAGCTGCGGCTGTGAGGCGACGCAAACGGTGCAAACAGACAGTTTCATGGCTAGGCGTTGTACAGTTGCTACCGAGCAAAGCTGTGTTGCTTTGGCCGGTAAGTGAAGAAGCAGCAGCAGGAGCAGCAGACAGCGGCTGCCAACTGCTGAACCGGCGACAGGGTTGTTGCGGAGGCCCTGAGTGAAAAGGATCCACTTTAAACGTCCCCTGAAGGCCAGCTGCTGCTCCGAATGCGGGAGGTATCAGGAGCCTGCTTGCTGCTGCTGCTGCTGGCTTGCTTGTTGTGGCTGCTGACGATATTGCTGAAGCTGCAGGAGCTCCAACGGGCACACGATTCGCCGTTGCACGTCCAGCGGACTCCAAGCAGCGTGCGTCTGATTGGAAATCCCTTGAATTTGCTGCAGCCGCAAAGGGTTTTCCAGACTCTGCTGTGGACTTGTCAGCCCTAGCTTCCTGGGGCCCCCCTGCATCTGCTAATGGGGCCCCCAGCGGGGCTCCCTCCTCACCAGCAGGGGAGGCTGGGGATAGAGGGGCATCCTCGTCTTTGACAACCCGCCATACAACTTCGCACGAAGCGCTGCGGTGCCGGCATGACTGCAGGGGCGCTGCTGCTGCTACGCTTGCTGCTGATGCTGCGGTTGCTGCTGCGTCTGTTGTTCTTGGGCTGTACAAACGGCCGTCCCTTGTATCACTAACAGTTGGCGTTGCTGCTGGCGGGTGTAGCAAAAGAGGTAGCATCTTTCCAGTGCAATAGACAGTTCTTTTGCTTGGCCGAGGCTCCATCGTTGCCACAGCGGTTGCTGGTGCTGCTGCTGCTGCGGCTGCCGTTGGGCCCTGTCCGGTGGCTGCGCTCCAAAACGGCGAATCATTTACACGCGGTGTTCGTATTCCGGTCAGTACTACGAAGCCTGCTGACTTCCGCGGGCTTTGCTCTTCTGCAGCAGCCATGGAATCAGCAGTGGCTGCTGGTGCAGCGGCAGGATCTACAGATGCTGCTGCTCCTTCCTGCTGGCTCGCGGTATCGTTAGGGGGTATTACAAGGGGAAGCAGGCTGGGCGACGCGGGGAGCTTGGCCTCTCTGAGGGCATCCTCTGCACCGCATGCAAACCTTTTGAAGAGAACAGAGCAGCACACTTCGAAATATTTGTCCAAACAAAACCATGAAAAATCGCAGGCTCGAAGGAGCCGCTCAGCTGTCTTCCAGCAGCAACAACTCTTTTCTGCCAACGTCATCCCTGGTGCATTGTTCTGCGATGTTTTTGCTGCTGCAGCCTGATTCTCTTTGCTGCACGGACCCTGCTGCTGCTGCCGCTTCAAGGTCACTTGCTGAAGCGAAAAACTGAACAACACGAGAATGGCCGCTGCTTGTTGCAACTGCTGCAGCAGCAGCGACAGACTGCGCTGATGCTCCACCAGCAGCTTACAAACAGTTGACCACAGGCGCCACAAAGGTCCCCCAGGAGGACCCCTTGGTGCCCCTTGATCTGAGGGTCCAGCGAAGTAGCTGCAAAGGGGTGACCGAATTTCAAGAGGAGCCCCTTGAATCAGCAGTTCCTGCTGTTTCTCTGTTGCCTTTATTTGCCGCTCCACCGCTGCCGCAGTAGAAGTCAAGAATGTTCTTCCGCGCGTAATCCACGAAACCTGCGACAAGCAGGGCACAAAGCCGCAAACCCTGAGCTTTAAAGAAAACGTCGAGAGCGCTGTAGGGCACAGTGTTCTTTTGTTGCAGTGCGTATAGACTGTTTCCGAATGAATAACTGGAGTAGATGTTTTTGCAGATACGGCTGTTGCATTCGGCGCTACTGTCATTTTAAGTGGTGGTTGAGTGTAATGCTCCTGCCTTGTTTTCGAGGAGACAGCGCACACTGCCCTCCAGATTTCTTTGAAGTGCTTGACTTAGCGCGCACCGCCCCGCGGATGCTGAAGGAGATGAGCCTGCAGCGGCGTCTTTCAGGGAAACCTCAGTGAGACATCCCGCGACTGGAGCATAACGATCTCCAGGAGCGCCCTCTATTGCAGCAGCAGCCACCTCTTTTGCTGCTTCGTGAAGCTGACGGCGAGCGGAGCAGCACATGCTGCCAGAGAGGCACGCGTCCTCTTGTTGCTGGCAGGAGACAAGTGGCGTGCCATCATCAGCAAGTGCTGCTGCTGCAGCTCCTCCACCCGGTGCCGCTGCAGGCGCCTTTAATGCTGCTTCTACTGGTGCTGGCTTCGCTGGTGTGTGTACGGGCTTCCCTGCTTCGGATGCGAGCAACGCAGTAGGTGATGCTGCGGACTCATTTGCTGCTGCTGCTGCAGATTCGGTTACCGAGGCGTCAGCAGCCGGGTCCGTTGAATCACGGCAAGGGGGGATTCTTGAGATAGGTCTCAACAGCTGATGGGGGGCCCCTTTTTTGCATATAGAGTAGACCGTTAGGCTCTGGTGGCTGAAAGCCAAGGTCTTAGACGGACAAAAAGACAAAACAAGAGGGCAGGAAGGCCACAAATGAGAACACACGAAGGGGATCAGAAATACACCCTCTGCAGCTTACAAATAAAGTAGGTCGACCGTGCAGTATATTCTTTTAAAATTCCATATTGTACATGTGTGTGGAGCTGAGGCAACTCGTGCCATTTTAAACTGCAAATGTGTTGATATACGTATAATGACGCATGTGCTAGGAGTGACCATACAAGAAGGGACAAGTCGAAAAGAAATACTTTTAATCCAGGATGCTTATGCCTCTGCCTCTTCCAGAAACTAGCCTGCACCTTTCAGGTAAACTTTTTCGACTACACGTTCCTACTTCCCCTGCTGCACTAAGCTTACGCTTTAAGGAGCTAGCAATTGTTCCCTCAGCGCAGCCACCAGCAACCAGCAGCTCCGCACCTAATAAGGTGGAGGGCAATAGCAACATTGCAACAACGGCTGCAGCTGCAGCGCCATCAGCAGCAAGCACGAAGAGTGTACCTACAGCGTTTCCTGATGCGAAGTAAAATGTCCTGTCTCTAAAAATAGAATGGGGGCAACTAGGCACTCTCTTGTCTCCATTCAGCACCTGCTCGCGCTCCTGTTCCAGCGGCTGGTGCTGCTGTTGTTGCAGCACCCCCTGTTGCTGGTCCACCTGCTGCTGCTGCAGATCCCCGCTACGGGTACCGTCTCCCCTAAGAGTCTCGTCAGTTAGCAGCAACTCCAAAAATCTAATGAAGGGAAGGTCGCCATATCGGCCAATATCTTCAGAAGCCCCAAGGGCCCCACCACCACAGCGCCGGCACGTTTGCCACCAACCTACCCTAGCAGGGCCTCCATTCTTTTCAGTGTAATCCCAGCTCCCTTCTGTAGCTGTTGTTTCTGCTGTTTGTCCGGCTGGAGCTGCTCTGATGGGCTCTGATAAAGCTGAAGGCAAATCTTTCGCGGCAAACAAGGCACCCTCAAGCTTGCTGTTGTACCTGACGCTATCCGCTGCCGTTGATGCTGCAGCCTCTGTTGCTGCTGGCGTGTCTCCCGTTGCGTTTGCTGTTGCTTCTGCAGTTCTCGCGGGGGGCAACGGAGACAACATAGGGGACCCTTCGTACCTGCTGCGGCGGCGGGCAGCAGCGGGTGCGCGCGAGACATCCCCTTGAGGCACTAGAAGACCTTCCTGCATGCGCATAGCACAGCCAGCAGCAGCAACTTGAGCTACAGCGCAAGGCCCTTTGCGTACCTGGCAGCTCGCGTGGCAGCGGTTCAGAAAGCTGGGGTCTGGAATTAAGGGTTTGTCTGACATTGAACGTAACAACAACTCGGTTTGTGTCTCTCGTGAACGCAAGGGAGTGCTCATTAAGAGGCCTTCTGCATCTGCTATCCCCTGCAGGGCAGCTGCGTGCCCCTGGATGCTGCTGCAAGAAGAGGCACCAGCGGCTGGCGACTTCGCGCAGCGTAGCCCCAAAGGGGCTAAAGGACAGCGCGCAAGGGCACCGCCGGAGAGCTCCCGAAGTTCCTGTGGAACCGGGGGACCAAGGGGCCCCAAGGGTCCCAAGGGAAGCGACGGCCCCAGAGGCCCCAGGGCTTCCTGCTCCCGTTGCGCACTGCTGGAGTCGGCAGCTCCAAGTGATGCCTAGAGAAACAATCTGGGCCTCAAGGCTGAAAGCCCGCCTCAGCAGCAAAGTACCCAGGCATCTTCTTCCCTGCCCCACATTATTCTCCTCTCCGAAGACAGGAGCAGGAGCAGCAGCTATTTCATTCCTGACTGCTGCTTCAGGTGCTTGCTCTGCAGCAGAAAAAGCCGTGGTCTGTAAAGCATGGTGCAGCGGAAGAATGCCACCAGTGCCGCCGGTCGTAGGAACCCACAGGGGCTCACCCAGGCCTGTGGGATCGGCTGGAGGAGCACCAGGGATATCCAAGTTGCAGCTTGGAAGCCCTTCTTCCTCTCCATCTATGAGCGTGAGAAGCTGCACTGCTGCGACTGCAGGACAGTTTGTTGCAGCGGCCGCGGCTGCTGCCGCAGCTACTGTCGGTGGATAATTGGTGCTGCTTGGGGGCCCCTCTAAGGTGCACATGCATTCCAGTAAGCGCCGCTCCAAGTCTCGGGGGCCCCCTGATCCCACAGATATGCTGCAGCATTGCAGCCAGCACTTGAGGGGTCTTCGCCTGAAGGTACTCTCCAGCAATTTGCTGACCATGGCCGTTGCAGCATCGCCCGCAGTGCCGGTGCTGTCGCTGTTGCTGCTGTCCTGCTGCTGTCGCTGCTGCAGCAGCGCTGCTGCTGGGGTGTTGCTGCAAAGAGTCTGTACCCTGCTGGCTCCAGCTATTGAGTCATCATCGTGAGGCAGCTCCCCCAAGCCAGGACAACGGCTTTCCTCTGACTGCGGCAGCAAAAGCTGCCGTTTTGTTGCTGCTTCAATCCAGAGGGGCCCCTGAGGGCCGCCTCCCGGGTAGCAGCAAGCAGCAATGAATTTCAGTTCTTGCTGCAGTGCAAAGGCAGCACAGAGGCCCCTCCACAATACTCGCTTGTATGTTTCTGCCTCTTGGTCTTTGCCTGACACTTTTACTTCAGGCCATGCTGCCGTTGGTGCTGCTGCTGCTGCTGCTGCTGAGGGGGGAAGCACCAGGCAAATAGTCCAAAAGCTGCTGGGGGGGCAGTCCGACAGAATGAGGTGAGACGGTGCTCCTGGGGTTGGGGCCCCCCAGTGCACAGAGCAGCTGCCCAGGACCGTCTGCTGTTGCTGCTGCGCTGTTTCTGCTGCTGCTCTTGCTGCTGCTAGTTCAAGAGAAGCCCACAGGGGGGCCCCCGTGGCTCTGCTGGCCCTTAGCAGGCTGGCAAACGGGACGCCAGGAACGGCTACAATTTTTAGAGCTGCAAGGCGCAGTAGCAGTGAGAGAGGTAGGGACCCCGATAGCAGCAGCAGGTTTGGCTGCAGCAGCGCCAGCTGCTGCAGCAGCACCCTTAGTGCTAGTGTTTGTCTCCTCTGCTCCGTCTCCAAGTGTGTGAACCGGCCTGGGGGCCCCTCAGCAACTCTGCCCCCCAACTGCAGATCTCCGTGGACCAGCAGCACCCGTGCTTGATGCAGGGGGAGCAGCTGCTGCTGCTGCTTGTGCTGCAGCAGCAGAGGCAGCACGACCCCGGGGAAGGCTCGGGAGTCGGACATTGACTGACCAGGGAAGCAGCAAGCGTGCACACAGTCCCCAAGAGACACCGCAGCGGCAGCAGCCGATGCATGCAGCGCAGACACCACAGACAAGATCAGCCGCAGCAGCACACAAGCTGCAGCAGCAGGCAGACCCTCAAGCACACAGTGCGATAAGACACTCTGGCGCAGAAGAGACAGCGCGTACACCCCGTTTGCAACGCTGCCACAAATCCTGCTGCTACTGCTCTTGCTGTCGCAGCTGCTGTCGCTGCTGCTGGAGGCTCTGTCTGCACTAGAGCAAGGCCCCTGCGGGTTTGGCCAGGGCCCGCCTGCAGTGGGCAGGCGGCATTCATGGGCAAGTAAAGTTGCGTGCGGGGTCCCTTGAAGTCGCTGCTTGGGTGTACGTACACCCCAGTGGCTGGCTTGTGAGTGGGTTTGGGGGATGGGGTGCCTCTGGAGCTTGGTGAGGGGCCCCAGCAGCTGTTGCTGCTTGTGGGCATTGCGCACACAAAACAGACAAAGCCGGATGCTGCTGCTGGCTTCCTGCCCCTGGGGGCCCCCCACCACAGATAAGCAGCAGCTGCTGCTGCAGCTACTGCAGTATATTGCCCCACACAGCCGGCAGTGGTGCCGTCGCCGCAGTGCGGAGAAGGGCGCCCCGCACCCAAAGCATTCCACCGCTTCTGAGTCGGATATCCATACTGCCATGGTCCGGAGCCTCTCCAAGGGCTGCAAGCTCAAGGACCTTGACACCTCCAACCGGAAGGTCTTCGGTCTGGCTGCTGGGGGCCCCTCAGGCCCTTTGTTGGGGGCCCCTCAGGCCCCCTGCAGCTGCTAGAGCGAGATGCAGCACAGACGCCGGCCAGGAGAGGACCGGAAAGCTCCTGAAGTGACCATAGCAGGGCAAGTGCAGGCGAGTAAAGGCATGAGACCGCTGCAGAAGCGGGACAGGCCAGGCTGCTGCCGATGAGACAGTTGTGGCGGCTTTACCGCCGTCCGCGTTGCTAGCAGTCGGCGTTGCAATTCTACTCTTTCTCCATACACTACTTTCAAATTTATAATTGAGGTGAAGGAGATACGGGTCTACAAATGGAGACAGTCAGGAAGCGCTAGTACGCGGGGGCCCCTGAGGGACTCTTGAGAGATCTCGAGAGTCGGTCACGGGGCCCCCGCTTGTGAGGCTAGAAACAGCCTCAGTGCAGTCTCAGTTGGAGCACGCATTCATGTTATCATTTTTGTTCCTTTTTATCCTTCTTAGTTCTTATTAAACCTGAGTTTTGTAATTGACTAATGATTTCCGCCCTTAGCGTGCACTAGAAGGAAGAGTAAAAAAGGGGGCCCCTGGCGCGGCTCCTGTGGCTGCGAGGGCCATTGCAGCTGATGTGGCTGCGCGCCCCCACAGTCATTGTTGCGGCTGCGCTCGTTCGTACTGCTTCTGTGTATTTTTATGCTTTATTATTTGCACTGCTCTTCTTAATCAACTTAATAAACGGGATAAGGTGCAGAGAGCTGTCGTTCTGCTTTTTTCGTCTCTCCCTTGGCCTCTTTCTGCACAAGGCAGGACCCCACTGGCGTCTTGGCTGGGTCCTGATTCTTCTTTCTTTTGGCCTTCTTAGGCACAAATTTGCCCGAATTTTGTCTTTATATTTTCCTTCTCTTTTTCCAGTCCAGGAGCCCTCGCTGCTGCCGCCGGGCCCTCAACGGGGCCCCACTTTTGCATTGTATCGAGAGGGGAAGGAAGAGAATATTACAAGTTTAAGGTTTGGGGCTTTTGCTCGCAGAATCGGCTTCTTCTCTAGGAAAGGGAGCCCCTGCAACACATCGGAGCTGCAGTTGTTTCAAGGGGATCGGAGCCGCAGGCTTCAGGTTCAGGTTTCACGCCTTGGGGTCTGCGGCTTCGGGCTGGTTTGGTGAATATGTTGGCTTTATTGGAGACGGCCGCGGGCTTTGCCTTATTCCGCGTGCGGAATGGGAGCCTGTTGGAGGTGAAGGACGTGGAGAGCTTGCAGGAGGCGTTCAACTCCGCCGAAAAAACGAAAAACATTATAGAGTTGCATGCGTTTTCTCGCTTCAAAGACAACAAGCAAGCCACAGAAGAAACGCTAGCTCTGATAGATGGGAATATGGGCAAGGGCCTCCGACGCTTCCTGAAGAAGCAACTGGCTGCAGAGGGTGAGGCGGCCAAACTGCTGGTTGCCGATAAAAATCTAGGGTCTGCAATCAAAAGCAAATTCAACGCGGAAATTTTATTCTCACCGCAGACTCATGAAATACTTAGAGGCATCAGACAGCACATCGCGGAGTTGCTTGATGGCATCGACGAGAAAGGTAACTTGAAGTTTTGATCGGATCTAAGCGAGCCAGTTCATTCTTTCGGCTTCTATAAACTGTGCAGTGGTATATCCTCTCGTGGGCTGCGCGGCTGGGAGAGCCTGTTTTGTATCTTGTGGTCTTTTTTGCCCCGCGATGCAAGTTAGTACTTACGCTTCAGGACAGAGGGCTTAGACATTAAAGCAGAGCACATACAATGGCACATGCAGCTCACATGCAGCTCACTTCTTCCACTACTTAATGTTGAAGTTTTCGGGGGTATTGTCTGCAGATCGTCAGCAAATGGCCATGTCATTATCGCATTCGTTAAATCGGTTCAAGCTTCGATTCAGTCCTGAGAAATTAGACACCATGATCATCCAGGCTGTTGGTAAGCTGCTCCCTACTTCCGTATTGCTGACATTTTGGCTTTTCTGATCCCGTCTTGTATGATTCTTCGTTTCGGCACTGCGTTTGCCTCTGTATACGTTCCTCCTGGACGCCGTTTTTGGCAGTTTGCACCTTTGCCTTTTGTTGTATATTCTCGTTACCTTGGAATGCTTCGTCTTCGTCCCCCTGTCTGCTCTTCTACTTGTGTGTGACTTTCGCTTTGCTTTTGTAATTTCCATCTGCTCCCGACCATGACTTTGAGTCCTACGATTTCCCACTTGCTCTTCACACTCCGCGCTTTGTTTGCTGGTTCCCCACAATCTCCGTGGGCTCCCGCCCTTTCATGTCGTGCCCTCTCTCTCATCACTTTTGCCGCTGGCCGTCTTTGCCGCGTGTCAGATGCTGTTTCGGCTACATTTCCTCTGCGGACGGTTTGTTTGTCCTTTTGGATGCCTTATGTTTAATTTGCATTTCTACCGAGTTCTGCTGATTTTCTTTATGAACAGCACATGTACACATTGCTTTGTTGTGGTTCTAAGCTCTCCTCGATGACATGGACCGCGAGTTGAACAACTTCGCGATGCGGTTGAAGGAGTGGTACGGGTGGCACTTTCCGGAGCTCTCGAAAATTGTTACTGACAATTTAGTCTACGCAAGAGTCGTACAAAAAATCGGTTTCAGGACCAACGCGAAGAACGCAGATATAGAAGCATTAATACCTGATGAGGTGAGTGGGCCACGACGAGTACACCTCGGATTTCTGGACTGGGCACCAGACAACTGCATGCCGAGCTCTCAACCAGCAAATCCTGGGTCGTAGCATTCTCCGTGCCTTTGCCTATACCAATATTCGGTGTCGCGCGGATTTTTGCTGCAGTCGTTGCACCATTTTGAAGTATCCATTCCATTCGAATTGCATTTGTTCAGCTTTTTATCCATCAGCTGTGTAGCCATCGAATTGAGTTGCGTATTTGTATTTCATTCTCTTGCAGATATGCGCGGAGGTGCGCATGAGCGCGGAGACTTCTATGGGCACCGAAATGACAGAGGAGGATCTGCAGCATATCACCTCGTTGGCATGCAGAGTTGAAGAGCTCGTAGAGTACAGAGCGAACCTGGCAGAGTACCTGAAGCTCCGAATGAGGGCAGTAGCTCCGAATCTAACGCATATGGTCAGTATATTGCTCTTGCACATTGACGGATGAGCAGAAACAGATACTAGCAAAGGCAGAAGAAGACAAAATGAACGGCATGAGCAGGGATATGAGTTGTTGAGAAATAGGAGTATAGCGACGGTTCGTCGACTCGCTGATCGTTGCAGAGTCGCTGCTTCGATATTTAATCTAAGCCATAAGGCCTTTTCTCCTCTCTGTTTTAGGTGGGTGAGGTGATTGGCGCGCGTCTGATGGCTCACAGCGGCAGTCTGCTGTCACTATCTAAACAGCCTGCGTCCACTATCCAGATCCTAGGGGCCGAAAAGGCTCTTTTCAGGGCCCTGAAGACGAAGTCAAACACCCCCAAATACGGCATCATTTATCATGCAGCATTGGTCGGCCAAGCCACGCCTAAGCTCAAAGGTGAGCAGCCACAAGACGACTGCCGCTGACCACGTTGTTGCCGTGATCGGGTGCTGCATTTCCTTCCTCACCTGTTTTTTTCATTCCGCTCTTGTGTTAGTTTTATCCCATCGCATTTCATTTCTGTTGTGTTTTTTTCCCGGCCTCTTCTTTTGCGCATTGTCAATTATCTCTTTCTGCGCCGTTATCGTGGTCTGCAGTGTTATACTCGCAGCTGCTCACTATGCATTGTATGATCGTCCTTGTTGGCCTTTGCTCTTTCTTGTGTTCATTTGCAGGGAAGATATCACGAGTCCTGGCGGCAAAACTGTCTCTTTGCGTGCGGGTGGACGCGCTGACAGAGGCCGCAGAAGTAGCTGCAGCAGCAGCAGGAGGAGCAGCAGCAAATGGCAACAGTGCTGCTGCACCGCAAGGTCCCACAGAGCCGACAGTGGCAATTGCATGCAGACGCTACGTGGAGAACCGCCTTGAGCAGCTGGAACAGCAGTTAGCAGGCAGTGCGTCTCCCCGTACACGTTAGCCAGGTCTTTTGATTTGCATTTTAGGGTTTTAGGTCTACTTCTGAGGTTCGGCGCATGTGTGTGGTGCAGGTGGCCCTAAACCTCCGAGCAAGCCTGCGTTTCAGCGCTATGAGCCTCACAGGGAAACCAATGGCATGCCTAAGAAATATGACGTGTCGACAGATACAGTCGATAAGGCAGCGGTGGGATCAAAGCAAAAGAGGCATATGAACGGGGATAGCGGCGAGACAGAGCCGCAGAAGAAAAAGAAGAAAGTAAAAACGGAGACGGAAGCCTAATCTCAGGGCGTCTTTTGCTTCAAGGGACTCTTTTTTGTGAAACCTGGCAGGATCGGAGGCCTTAATGAGTCGAAGGGACTCCACCTAGTTAATCTGCTGCTGCGGAAGCAAGAGCAGCAGCAGGTGAGCAATGGAAGACGGGTAGCATTAACTGCAGGTGTGAGTCGCCCTTGGTGCTGTCGCGCGACGTCAATACCAATGTTGGTGAACTTCATGTACCTAAGATGGCTTGCAAGGGCCGCAGACCGTCTAGGCGTTTATTCAACAGTGCTCCAAAAGTGCGGTACTCGTAAGATCATGGCGGTTTCTGTGTGGATGCTGCATGTGCTGCACTCGCTGGGGCCAGAGACTCCACAAGGCCAAGCGTTTGTGTCGATTACAGCTCCGTCCCCATTTGGGTAATCATTGGAGTTGTGAATGGAAACTTCGTTGCGCTATGTAGTTAATCATCCGTTAACCCCACATTAGCATGAGATTGTCCCTTGTACATTCTGCATAGCATAGATTTTGTTTCCTATAGCAGCAGACGCTGCAAATTCCTCCCAGCGAAACGCGTACCCCTTGTACACGCAAACGGCTTAGGCAGGCCCAGTGAGGCAGGATGCGCCTTTTCTGTTTAGAACTTAGATTGGGGGCTGAATCGGTTCGTCTGTGATTGCTGGGACTTCGGTTCGCACCGGTTTGCCATTGCAGAGGTATTACATGCCTAGGTTCCACCGGAGCTCCCTGCAAGTTGTACATAGATCCCACACCAGCGCGTTAGCTACGCGGAGCCCCTCGCAGCTGTTCTTGTCTATTAGAAGAAACAAAAAGAGGGGCAAAGTGAGACACGAACGTTGTCTCCATTAATACACATGCTCAAGGGCGTCTTCCGCTGCCCTTATAGCAGGACAGCTCTACGAACAATGCTCACTAGAACCCGATTATGTAGATCTGCCGGTGCTTCTGCTCGTGTATGATTCTCAAAGGGAATAAGCTCACGCTTCATCGTCGCTTGCCTCTTCCTAAGGCAGCAGCTGCTGTCCGGAATTCTTTGCTGATGCCGCAGTTACGTGTACTTGCGTCCAGTAGACCTTGCGCACTGCACCTGCCGAAGCTACTTCGCTCAGTTCTAGCTCTATGGTGGAGAAAGTAAAGCTCTAAGGCTGTCTGCACGTAGAGAGCGCCCTTCAACATAGTTATTTTAAAAGACGAGCCGCTGTGTCTGGTTCGTGTCAAACTGGGAAAAAAAGGCAAGGCAGCAGAAGCATGGACCGACCAGCAGCCCCAAAAGCCCGAAGTCGGCATTTGTCTGTGTACAATTCGACGAGAGCTTGCACAGGCTGCGCTAACAACTCCGCACATCGAAGCCAAAAGCAGGGAACTGTGTGCATGCGCCCCAAGACAGAGTACTACACAAAGCAAAAGCCACACAACACACAAAAAAATGCAGGAGCAGCAGTTGCTGCTGCTGCAACCGCCAGAGAAGAATAGGCCGCACTTAGTTCGAGGCATTCCCTGCGGACGCTGTTGAATCTTGTACTTGTGGTTTGTGATTGCTATTCTCGTTGGCAGCAAGCATTTGTTGGGCCAGTTTTGCTGCAAGCCCCTTCAATTTATCCTTATGCTTGTTCACTGCTTCAAAAACTTGTTTTTTCGTCTCTTTTTCTTCGTCCGTCGAAGCTTCTTCTGCCCATATGTTGAAAAGACAGGCAAGCAGCCGGTCCAGCAGGGGCCCCTCGTCCTGCTCCGCCTCTTCCAGGGCCTCCAGCAGGTTGCCGTAGTTGCTGTAGGTGGGCAGTGCCTTGGCGATTTTTGAGTTGTTGAGTAATGTGGCAAGTGCCCCTGCTGCCGCTTGCTGCGCTCTTTTGTTTTCTGTCTCCCTGCAAAACGCCAGCAGCAGCTTTAGGTCCTGTACATCTGCATTGCCTTCTGTCTTGTCTCCCAAGTCAAGCTGCACCTTCTCGCTGCTCGCCAAGTTGCACCAACCTTCCAGTGCTGCTGCCCGCAGCAAATCGTTGTCGGTGAATATCAGTTCAGCCAGCTTCCGCCAGGCGCCCCCGGCGAATGCCCGCAGCCGCAGCTCCTCGCTGACACTCAGCAGGTTAGTCAGTGCGAGGGCCCCCTCGTACTGCAGTAGCTCATGCCCGTGCTGCAGCAGCGGCAAAACGGCCGGCACCGCGTCAAGCGCCTCGCTGTAGCTGAAAAGGGATGGATCCACAGAGATGCACAGTTGTGCTGCTGCTTGCTGCAGGTCCTGCTGGTCCTCTGGGGATCCCTTCAAAGCCCCAATGGCCGTCAGCAAGGCCCGCAGGGCCCCTTCCCTCACCATAACTCCCCTCGCCTTCTCGTTTTTTGCAAGGAGGCGAAAAGCCTTGCCAGCTGCCAAAAGCACATTTGCAGAAGGCAGGGGCTTGGCTGTGCAGGCCCGTACCAGCAGCTTCACCGCACCCCGCTGCAGCAGCAGCTCACGGAGTGTGCGTACGTTGGATTCGTCCCCTAAATCCACCTCGCCGTTTGCCACAGGCTTTGCCTCCGCAGGCAAAGAGCTGTAGAGGGCTTCCAGAGCCTCCAGTTGGCTCTCATCAAGGTCAACGCCGCCCGGGTTCCCGCGGGACCCCCGACGGCGCATGCGGTCCTTGTCCTCCCGAGACCGCAGCAAGTTGCACAGGCCTCCACACAACAGATAGCGAGGCAGACTGCTGTTGCTGCCGCTGCCCTTTCGGCTGCTGTCGGTGCTGCTGTTGCAGAACTGGCTGCCTACTTGTAATAGAGTGTCTATAAGATCCTTTTGCCCGTCTGGAGACTTGCCGAGGTGCAACAATTTATCCTTAAACTCAGCATGAAGGCTCAAAAAGAAGAAAAGCTCAAGAACACAAACACCAAGGTCATTATCCAAGCCCTGCTGCTTTTGCTGCTGCTTCTGCAGCATTTGTACCAAGAGTTCCTGTAGCAAGTTCGTGAAATCGACTTGCTCCAGCACCTCCTGCCTGACTGCTGCGCTGTGAACGCAAACACGGGCGAGGGCCACTGCCAGTTTTGCCGTTAGGGGGTCTCCTCTGTCTCTTTCTCTGAGCAGCTGCAGGATGGTGTTCATCCCGTCCTCATCCAACAGCTTCTGCCTCAGCTCCACGTAGTCAAGACAGTGCAGCAGCAGCGCGGTACCCACCTGCTGTTGTTGTTGCTGCTGCAGTGTGCCCGCTAGCCCCGCTCCTGCGGCTGCTTCTCCCGTTGCTGCTGACAAGATGTGAGGCAGGAGAGAGCCTTGGAGGATGAAATCCCTCGCGCTGTCTCTGTCAGCAGTCATTAGGAATAGCAGCGCCTTAAGGCCTACGTAGGTCTCCGCCTGCTTGCTGCTATTTTTGCTGCAGCAATGAGAAAGAAAAGGCGCCAGCAACTGGTCAGCGAGCCTCTGAATGTCCACTCTGTCGGCCTCTGCCCTCTCACGGTCCCCTAGAAGCCTGAAGAGAGATACAACCACCAATTCCACGTTACGTTCAAGAGTAAGTAGCTGCTGCTTCTGCTGTTGCTGCTGCTCCTGCGAGCCCGTCCCGCATTCTTTGGCGTCTGTTGCTGCCGAGAGCAATGTGAGGGCTGCCTCCATGGATCTTTCGATCCCGTGTCTCAGTGTTAGGGCCTTGGCCTTCAGGCCCAGGCGCCTCCTTGCGTCTGCCACGGCTGCAAGCGCTTGCAGCGCAGCCACCTGCAGCTGGGGAGCCTCGCTGCAATCTAGAGCAGCAGCAACCGCAGTAAGGAAAGAAGAGTCATGTTCAAATGAGTCTGCCTCACTTTGCTTCAGGTAGGCAAAGGCACGCAGCAAACACACACAACACAAGCCGCGCCAGTGGCGACTGTCCACGTTGCCGTTGCTGTCGCTGGGGGGTGGTAGTAAGCCCTGCTTCTGAAGTCTCCTGAAGGCCAAAAGAAAGTCTTCAGAGCGCCAGATATTGCGCAGAGCTTCGCGACAGAGGCGAACGCGTGAGGGGATCACCAGGGGCTCATCAACGGAGAGCAACAAGTGGTCCTGGCCGCTCTTTCTGTTTTTGCTGCTGCTGTCAGTGTCAGAAAGACCCAGCGGACTGAACTGAACCAAAGCCGCTAGCAACTCCCACCCTGCTGCTTCAACAGAAGCCGGGACAGCAGCTGCAGCAGGAATGTCGGGGGAAGCTTTTGCCAGCCCATCTGCTGAATCATCTTCAGCAGCAACTGTTGCTTTTGCTGCAGGGACGGCTTGTGTTTTCCCGTTTTGCTGCTTCAGAAACAGTGCTAGTCTTTGCAGCAGTCCCTCCTTTGCTACGGCCTCTTGCAGCGTCTCCCTCTGCTGAACCATCTGCCCTAAGCGCGCAAAAGCTTGCCTCCTTTTGGTCTCCGTCTCGTCTGCATTCAGCGCTGTCTCTAGCAGGGCCGAAGGCATGTTGCTGTCCGCCTGCTGCTGCTCCTTCTGCTTTAGAGTCTCCCGCAGCAATTGAAGTAGCTGGGCCCCCTCCTTATTGCGGGGATCCAGCCGAAGCAGCCGGCCGAGGGCTTCAGCCGCAGCGCCGTAGTCCCCCAGCAACCGTAGCGAGAGGGCCTGTCTGTAAAGGGCTTTCGGGTAATTGGGCTGCAGCCGCAGCGCAGCCCGGCTGTCCGTCTCTGCCCCTTTGTAGTCTTGCTGCTTTAGCCGACACATAGAACGATTGCAATAAGCAGCAGCCAACACCTCCTGCAATGGATTCTCCACCGCATCATTTGCTTGAACTCCCTTTGCAGTTGCTGTTGTGCAGGCGTCTATAACGCGAGTGTAGGCTGCAGAGGCCCCCGCCAAGTCCCCCTCCTTAAACAAACGGTTTCCCTCATCTTTGATATCATTCACAGCAGCAGCTGACAGATTCCCTGCTGCTGCTGCTGCTGCGGGTTCTGAAGAAGCAGCTGCACCAATCCCGGTGACCGCACGGAGAGAAGCCATCACAGTGTTGAAGCCTCGATTTGCAGAAGACGTAAAACGCCTTTTCGGAAACAAAGACGATCTCTACATCCAGTAGCGCGAGAAGCCCGTTGCAGTTCCTGCCCCTGCGGCTGCTGTTGAAGCAAGTCCCCCAAGGCGCAAGCCGATTGGAAGAAGCAGCGACGGCAGCGAGTATTGGGCAAAATGGCTAATTGTCTATCTTTTGAAAGAAGTAAACCACAACACAGACTCGTAGCAGGGTTGCCAAGATTCCACCACCTCATCGCTTGCCCGCTCGCTGCGGTTTTAAGTTGCTGCAACTCAGGCCACTGCCTGCTACATAGCTGCGTGCTAGCCTCAATAAGCGCTCAGAAGAAAGACGACACAAAAACTAATTTACTGTCTTCTGCCCTCGCCCTTAAGCAAAAAAGGGACACCTCATGCGCTGCCCATCCACTTCAGTTCTCGTTCCGCAAATTCACTGCCGGAGCCTGGAGGCCATGCAGCGTTAAGCGATTAAACAGTAACACCGCCACGGATTCCTGAGATAAGCTTCTTTATTGACTTTCTCTATTCTTGGTATTTTATTGGTCGGCGGAATATTCGATTTTCGAAGGAGGACGCATCCCATTGTTGGGCTAGACACATCAGATCTGTCGGCAGCAGCATCAGCAATAGCGAGGCTGCTGAGGCTGCTGCGGCTGCTCCCTTCTGCTGCAGCTGCTGCAGCTCCAGCTGGTGGCGTGTGTTCTGCCATTCGCAATAAGTCGTTTCAAAGTGTCATGTGTAGCCTAAATCTTGTACAATGCTTCTTTAGTTCTCTTGTACAAAATTCCCACGGTGTGATGAACATCGAATGGAGGAGCTGAGCCCAATGACACTAGCTGAGAAAGCGCTCCGCAAAAGTGACGCCTTCAATCTCTGGATATGCAGCTCTAATCCTGTTATACATGAAGCGAAAATCTATGCGAAATGGTGAGGGAGGGACTGGCCGGCGTGAACTTTACTATGAGAGACCATGGTGTTGCGTAGCTGCTAGCAACACTTTCCAGTCCTACAGATAAGCCTTAGAATCCTCGACCTGCTGTGATGCATTCTCGACGTTTCCGTCCACGTTTTACTGGTTTATGCTGCAATGTTTTAATCGTTAGCATGCACCCGCAGCAGGTCCCCGAAGTTTTTGGTCTCGAGCTCTGAACGCAACGTGAGAGCAGCCAGGCTCAGCCCTGGCTACGAAATGACAGAAATGGCTCTTAGTATTATTAGCGGCCTATACCAGGAGGACACCTTTCTTTGAAGAATATGTGCAAGGGGAACCGACCGCTTGAGCTTGGCCGAAGCAGTATCAATCCCCACAATTCTGTACCCGTTGCTTAGCTCCGACCGCCACTGCGTAACTGGCTGTCATACAGGGCACCTACTTTCTAGTAAGCACATTTTGTTGGCCTAGTCCGCGCGAAATTCATTATACTGGCCAGATGCAATTTTCTTCTGCCGCTCGACCCTTTCGCCTCCTTCAGTGTGCTGAAAGTGTGGACAGCCCCACCCCTGCTGGTGGACGAACCAACGTCAATCGGTGGAAGCCTTTTACCTCTGCTAGATTGGATATACAGGGAAAGGGGAATCCAAAAAAGCATGGAAAACGGGCTCTAGGTCAGTGGGCTGATTCCTGAGCGGCAGCTCTTACAAAAGAAAAAAATAACACTTTTCTTTCAAAAATGTAATGTGTCGCTATAATTTTGATAAGGAGGCTCATCAGGCTGGTGGAAAATAGCGACCTGGGACTATGTACCGCTGCAGCCCTTGGATGAATAATGTAAGCGCGACCAAGCAAGCGTTACGATCTTCCTTCAGTATTTTGGAGCAGTACGCAATAAAAATGGGGCATCTAAGCACCTTATGGATCGGACTGGGGCCTCAGGCTCTAGTGACAACTTTGCAGCCCTTTGAACGTTCACGTAGCTCCTCAATCTGCTTTGTAAGCTCATGTCTTTGGTAGCATATAGATGCTATGTCGTTCTTCCCTACATATTTCTCGTCCTTCAACACGAACGAATTTCCGATTGCTGCGGCACTTAACCCTGAGAGCTAATGCGCACAGCAATATGGGCAAATAAAAGGCCTCGCGATTAGTAGTGGTTATGATGAAGTTCATTGCATTTATGGACAATGTATCTCTAAGTGCTAGCAATACTATTTGTGGTTATTTACTCGCTGCAAGCTGTGGACGAAGTGTGTACCTAGCACAGGTCATCACCTTGTTAGCTCAGCCTGTCATTCATCGCCGGGAAACCACCGCTCAAACGATTTGACCTTTCCCAACAAGGGCCGGTGTAGTAAGCGTAGCACAGTGTAGCCTTTATTCGTTTCCTTCTTCGTGGCTGCAAAAGTTCATTTTTTGGCTGTACTCAGTACAGACACCTTACAAATGCTAGAAGGGTTCGAACAGCACTTTCGATCAATTCCAAATTGTCTCTACCCAAATGCATCTCTCTCCCCGCATGGCCGTGCTGCGCACTGCGGCTTCGGCTGCCTTTTGCCACCGACACCCGGAACTAACGGCAGAACTCACTGTGCCTAATTACCGGAGGAATATGCGCCTTTGGATGCTGATTGTTGGCAGTTACTAGGCCAATCTACGTATGCGGAACTATGCGGTCCTGAAGATAGTTACCGGGCTACATTGTAGTTCTGTACGCTACAGTTGGATTAACGGCGGTACGTTCAAGAACGAGCGAATTGTGTCCAAGACAAGAATGAGCTCTTTAGGACCACTCAAGAGATCTTAGAAGCTACCTTTTTGGGAAGCTCGTTCCTAATTTATACCTTAGGGCAAACAGCCCTTTTATTTTAGTATCAACTGCTTATTGCATTACTTAACCCCATTTTTCAAGATATGCCCGGCCTTGCTGCTCGGTAGGCCGTTTCCCACATTACTTCTGACAGGGCCAACTGCCATATTTATGGGGTGGATTTTATGTAGTTTGGGAGAGAGACCTGAAACGCATGCTTTGGGAGAGGAGTAAATGCCAATTCTATAGGCATTCTAACCAACCTTCTAAGGAGTGCAGAAGAGGCAGACAAGGCACTGCAGATAAGGCACTGGTGAAACTTAGCACTTCACCGAGTTGCCATCCTGCATGTCAATGCCCACAGGCACAACTTACACAGCACTTGAACTGCGAATGCCGGTTATTCGTGTGTAAGGAGAAATGCAAGCAGGCGATGCCTTTTCCTTTTGCCCCGGTGCCTCAGCCACCACAAGAATAGCGAGAGCCTTCTCGCGGGCTGTTGGGTGCCTGGAAGTGCTGATCGCGGGGGCCAGCTGAATGGCGCGGAGTGATTGCTGTTCCGTCCCTTGGAGTACATACACTGCTGCCTAAAGGGGATACACCACATGCTGGTGGCGCAGTGCAACCTACAAGTCGCGTTCGTTGAGCCATGTGAAGCCCTGCACCCCACAGCTAGCAGTAAAAAATCACTATTCTCTGCCACTGCTAGCCTTTACACGATGCCGTTATAGCGGAAATGATGTTCTTATATTCCGTACTCAAGGTTCATGGTAGGTTCAACTCTTCCAGTACTCATGCTGCCGGTGATGCAAACAAAAATTTTGGTGGCCACTGCTGGTGCCTGCGCATTCGTTTAGCGGAATTCTCACACGCTGGAGTTGTGTAGTCTGGTTGCAGCTGCTCTGGGGGAGAACGCTGAACTGTACGTAGACCTACAGTGTGCTCCCAATTTCCACAATTCCTGCTGTGCCTAAGCAATTCGTATATGAACGAAGGCACAACGCCTGCCGAATATGCCTCGAAGTGCTCCAAACAGTAATGCTCGTTCGCATGTACAACCGCTACGATTGTTCGCTGAATGCGTGCGGTCCTGCATCCATACAGTCCTTCCACCCGGTATAGCAAGAACCGAATGCAACCTGCGTAATGCAGCCTTTCAGGCTGAATACTTGATCCAAAACATGAATTCGCTCTGAAAAAAGAGAAATTGTCCGAACCAGGAATCGAACCTGGGTTTACACGGCCACAACGTGTTGTCCTAACCTCTAGACGATTCGGACCGGCGGCCCATCCTCGAGCTTGGACGTTTCGGTGCCTTGTCTGTGTATCATTGGAAATGGAGAAGAAGAGACTAAAATACTGTACTACAACAAAATGTTTCATGAATGGAAATAGATGCATGTAACTCTCGTTGAAGTATGGACCCCAACAATACACCGGCCACATGTTGCATGCAGTGAGTGAGGGGATGTGACCGGCGCTGCAGGTGTCGCAGCGGGAAGCCCCACATCGACTGCTGCGATGCAACGCCTGCTTCCCAACATCAACTTATTTCTGATTTTTTATCTTCTTAATTGGAAGAATAGGATTAATTTGGTCTGGGGACCGAAATCACGCAATACCGGGAACCCTTTCTCTCTTGCCCCCCCACTTTCTTCCTGCCGCTGCTACGCAGCAGCACGAAACGGCTGTCGCTGCTTTGCTAGCTGCTGCTGCTTTGGCTGCTGTTCGGCTGTGTTTTGCTGTTGTTCTGAGGCCGGCTGCTGTTGCACGCGCTTGGCGTTGCCTGCTGCCTCAGAAAAATTGGATTGCCGTTGGGGCGCATGTACAGCGAATCAAGCGCCTCGTGGTCGCCCCAATTTGGCTCCCCTCACTAGGTGCTTGTGCTGTTGCTGCTGCCTCTTCTTCAAGACGGCCTGTTCTGCCCGTCGCGCAGCCGCCCGTGCATCAGTAGACCGCCAGCTGCTATTGCTGTTTCTGCTGCTGGTTCTGGCGTTGTTGTTGCTGCATCTCTTCGGCCGTTTTGACCTTTTGCTGCTGCAGCTGCTGCTGCTGCTGTCTTCCTGGCCTCGAAGTATCTGCTGCTGCCGCTGGTGCATTTGCAGCTGTTTGCGGTGCCTGGCTGCTGTAGCAAACGTAAACTGGCTACATAGCCTCAGTAGCAACCAGCAAAGGCCCTACCTTAAGGGGGAAAGCTCTAGACGCCATGTCGACAGGAGAGGGGAACATAATAGCTGGTGCTGCTGCTGCTGAGGGTGTAGCAGCACCGCAACACGATCAGCAGCAGCACTGGGGTCTGGAAGGTGGCGACGAGAAAGCTGCGGCTGCTGTTGCAGCGGCAGCAGCAGCAGCAGCAGCTGCTGCTGCTGCCAGCCCAGCTGCGGCAGCCAGCAGCAGCAGCAGCAGTACGGGTGTGAGCCCACAGGGAGAGCCAGCACCGAACAGCATAGCTGAGGGCTTGGCCAGTGGCATCCTGCCCTGCCGCAAGCGTAAAGCCCCCGAGGAATTGCCCCAAATAGATGAGGCGACAGCAGAGAGACTAAAGAGAGCCACAGACTCTCTAACTAAGGAACAACTCAAAATGCTGCTAGCGAGGGCGTGCTCACATTACCCCGGTAAATACATATATGGAAAGAGTTTTGAAAATAAGTACTAACATGAATGTCTGGGGAAAAGTATGCCTTGACAGGTTGCATGCATTCCTGCGGTAAACGAGTAAATGCAGGCAATGCGAGTAGACACGGTGAGGGTCCCTGGAAATTGTGAGTGCTAACGGAGAAGAGGTCGATGCATGGAGTTCGGTCTCACCTCAGTAGATACTTGCGTAACAGCATTGAGGCGTGCGTGAGTTCGTGTCGGGCTTTTGCGAATGCGGGAAATGGTGGGGTGACTAGTTCAGGGCCTGTCGGCGTCAGGTGTACTCTTACGTGCGCACCCGCTTTTGTTGGTTGTTTGCATTCGCTGTGTCGTTTGCTTGGCTCATGATAGTAGAGACCAAGGTTGGGGGCTTCCGCAGCCCATGCGGGGGAAGCTTGGGGAACAGCAATAGCAACCGTGATAGGACATGTTTTTTTTGGGGCGCATTTGTAGGGGCGTATGCGGAAAGGAGCCTGGCTGCATACGCATATGCATGTGGGTGTGTGGTTCTGTGTATATGCACCTCCTATGTTTTTCAATACTCGCACATATATGGGGGTGCCACATCCTATTGTTAGTAAATGGTCAGTTCTGTGTCTGTATCCGTTTGTGCCGCTGCAGCTGTTGAAAACGCCCTTTACGCCCTCATAGAGGCCGATCCCAGCAGCCGTCGTTTGATGATACGCAATGTGCCATATACAGCCACCGAAGTCTCTCTCAGGCAAACTGTGGAGGCGTATGGGCCAATCGAAGACTTTAAATTAGTTATTGATAGGAATACAGGTACAAGACAGTACTTCAAGCTCGTGTATGCGCTAATGGCAAATCGATGCAGCAGTAATTGAACAGGCCGTTAAACGACATGTAGTGCATGACTGAAAGTTGAGACGGCAGTAAAAACAGATGTGGGGCAGCAATCAGATTGCAAGAAAAGCACGGATACGTCTAATGGGCAAGTAGCAACCTGGGCTCGAGCGTAATTTCATTTTGGGGATGGGGCTGTACGCCATAGTGATTTGCCTGTTCTGTAGTCTTGTTGTTCTCTGCTTTGGAATTGTTTGGCTCTTGGTGCGCGCGCGCTTTTTTTTTGTTTTCTAACGTTGCGCCAAATGTTGTCTTATTGTAACTGCCGTTTCAGCGGGTCCCTCCAATCTCTATATTTGTGTTTGGGACATTTTTTGTTGTTGCCCGTGTGTTTGGTGGTGCTTATACCATGGTTGCTCATTTAATTTCTATGTGTTCATCAGGGCTGAACAAGGGCTTCGCATTTGTGACATATAAGTCTATGGGAGACGTGGCCCGCGTTCTCCAGTCGGAGGTGACAATAGATGGCCGACCTCTCAGCATAAAGCTGGCGTCGCAGCAAGACCAAGGCGCGGCCATGAAACGTGCGTCTTTTTGTTCGTGTCTGCTTCGTGGTTTGTATTGGATTTGTGTTTTTGCCTCTGACAGTACAGGCCTACGTTCTGTTTGCATTTCTAGTGGTTTCTTACGCATGTAGCTGTTTCACACGTTGCTCTCGTGGTTTCTCTCGTATGTGTAGTTGCTCAGCTCAGTTTCTACTTTCAGCAGTAGAGCGAACTACCCTTCGCAGTCTAACAGCAACCTGGATAGAGTGGGACTAATGGCTGTGCCGGTGGTTAGGCCCATGTGTCTGTGCAGGGGCATTCTTGGGTCCCAACCAAGGATGCCGTTTGTTTGTGCGGAACGTACCCGATACTTGTGACGAACGTCGCCTTAAGCAAGAGTTTGAGGGTTTCGGTACTGTGAGGGAGACAGCGATAGTGCGCAATAGGGACGGCTCCTCCAAGGGCTATGGATTTGTTGTATTTGAGGACCCAGAGGCGCTCATGAAGGCGGCGTCGCAGGCACAGCGAGTTATTGATGGTAAGATAATACTCAATAGCTCCTGGTTTCCACCTTCTGCCGTGCATTTTTTGCGCCGTAGCCGTTTCTGATGGCGATACTGCTGCCATTGTAATTGCCATTCAAAGTGTTGGCTGGACCTTCGTTTTTTTCGCTGCTACTGTTGTTGCATGAAAGGAGGTGTTAGCTTGCTGCTGAGGTTTTCAGGCCAAGTGACCTTTGTTTCTGTAGCTTCGGAGTCAAGGAAACAGCAGCAGCTTGGTGGGGGGGGGATTTTACCACCGCAGCACCTTCAGCAGCTGCCATTGGGAGGGTCTCAGTACCAGCAGCAGCTACAACAGCAGTTGCAGCAGCAGCTGCTTCAGCAGGCAGCTGTGCCCCAGTGGCCGCTTACATCTTCCACAACAACATCGGGAAGCCGAGCTGAGGTTTCAAGTCCCTACGGCACCCAAGCCTCACTTAACACTGCTGCAGCAGCAGCTGCTGCTGCCGCGTTGCCGGCCACCACTGCAGCTGCCGCTGCGAATAACCCGTACATGCAGCAGATCACAGCCGCCCTGATGCCGCAGCTGTACATGCACCATTACCAGCAGCAATATTTAGCGAGCTCGCAGGCAAACGCTGCTGCTGCGGGTGTTGCTACTTCCACAACACAGCAGCAGAAGTATCCCAACATACAAGGCATGCAGCAGTAGTGGGACTTTGGCCTCGAAGCCGCAACTGTCACTGCAGCTGCCGCCCGTATTCATAATAATAGGTGTGCAGCCGACAGGCTAACACTAATTAACCGGCGAAAAAGTTTTCTGCGTGTGGAGCTCAGAACTTCCGAGAATGCCCAGCATGTGTGCAGCTAACAGGCTAGGGGGGTCTCGCCGTTGTTCGCTATTTACTTTGCTGGCTGCCTATCAAGGAGTTTGAGTCCCAGGCTGTTTTCGATTTGAGCCAAATGATGAGCAGTCGCACGTGTTTCTGGCTAGAACTGTGGTTACCAGCCAGTTGCCTGCCCGCACTTTTTGTCCACCTTGGTCTACCGTCAAGCTGAGCGAGTTTAGCTTGGTGGCATATGGGCTAAGAATCAATTTACCAGCCAGTTGTGTGTTTCGGGCGTTAGCTACATGCGACATTTAGTTGCGGCATCAGTTCGCTAGTGGCAGCAATGGACTCGGTCGCTAGCACTCACCAGCAGTCGAAGCGGACAAGCGGCTCCGTTGCTGCTCAAGCGACAGGAACTTGGGGCTGCTGCAGTGGGGGTTGGAACAGACTCCGTCGACAAGCCGCGCCGAATCGAGCACTACGCCTTGTGCCTGAGCTGTCGTCATCTCCGCAAATTGAATAGTATGTGTAGCTGCTTCTATAATGCAGTGAGACACGAACGAACATGGACACGCACCACTGACTGGGACACGCAATAAACCCTGATGCATGGTCCTGAGCCGCCAGCTTTGGACATACTTCCAGCTCAAAGCCCTAGTCCTTTAAAAATAGGCCCGACGCTGCGATGCAAATAGTATCAAAATGCACTGCTCGCGCTGCAGCAGCAGCTTTGCGCTGCAGCAGCAAGCAAGCTGTAAGTGCTGTTATGCTGCAGCTGTTCAACTGCAAGCAGCAGCAATGTACGTGAGAAGCGTGCAGGAAGGGGATGAGTTCAGCTGCTTGTACACTCGAGAGACCTGCGACAGCATCGGCTTTTCTCAGAGGGCCCTCGCCGATCCCCTGGAAGCAAAGCTGTTGCGAACGTATGAGGCTTTGGTGTCGTCCGCCGTCTGCTGCAGCAGCAGGCACATATCCCGCACCGAAAGCGCACCCGAACAGCGCCGGCAAAAGTCCCTCTTGCGCTGCTCGTCCATTATGTTGCTGTCTAGTGCCTGCATACAAGAGCAAAACGGGACCACAAACGCACTATACAGGTCTAAAAACAAAATCAAACGCAAGGGTACAGCATCGCGAAAAGCATACAAGGCACGGGAAAACATATCAACAACACACGCAAAGTACCCGCGATTTGTTGAAGCAACATCAGAGAAAAAGGGGCTGCACACTCCAGCTGTATGAAGAGGCACTAAAAGCAGAAGCTGCGCAGGAGCAACATGCTCCATCAAGTAGAAACCTTTGGAAAGACAGCAACGAATCATGACAGCAGCACCAGGAGTACGGAAAGATGAAGGAAAACGGACACTGTGGCTGCAGTAACAGCAAAGATTGCAGCAGCTGCCGGCTTCTGGAACTGGTCGTACTTGCACTGCGTTCTCAAGCGCCAACTTAGTAGGCCCCTCCAGCACGGTGTGCCTGAGTAGAGGAAGGAGGGCCTGCGCTGCATTGCCTATCCAGGACTGTGGGGCTGCATGCACGCTGGTGAGTGCCAGAATAATCGCAGCAAGGGCCTTCGACAGGAACGTATCTTGCTGTCGTAGCTGCAACAATAAGGGTGCCGTGTTGTTTGGAGGGAATGGCCGTGTCAGAAGAGATAAGACCGCGGTCGACGTCTCCTCCGCTACCTGACTCAGCCATGGGATTGGCTCCCCTGAACACAAAGGACCCCACAGAATGTCAACAAGACAGGAGTGCGCCAAAGCGAATGCAAACTGGATACAAACAAAAATGCAAGGTGGTACGATAACAGGACTGCACCGCGCAGAAGATGCGTGGCTGGGCGGCCAATAACAAGACCACGGCGTGCAGTAGTGTTGCAATATATTTGTACACACTTGGGCTCTAAACGCCGAACTATTAACCACAAGCTTCACGTTCAGAACGACTTCTGCGATTGCGTACAGTATGCCGTGCACACGCTGGCTGTGGGCTGTGAGGACAATTAGGATGTGCCCGCCCGGAAACTGAAGTATGTGCGGATCGTATACAAAGCTAGGGTGCAGTGAAGAACGTAAGGTCCAGAGTGACTACTGAATGTGCGAAAGCCTTTCGCAACGTATGCCGTGGGAATAGGATACAAAGGCGTACACAGCCAACTTCATTTAATGGATTTCTGCTGACTCCACGTTTGAAAGCGATTAAGCTCACCAATCTGGTAGCTGTGAAGGATGGAGGGAGGGTCGACCCACGCAGCAATACGTGATAGGAAAACCATAAAGGTGTGCAGCACCTACAGAAGTAAAGACAGTAACTGGTAAGAAAGTGCAGCAACCGCTTCGATAGTTGCCTCCCATGGCTTTTGTGTCCATCCTGCCTATAGTTCCTGACTCTTTTTAGGGCAAATGGCTGTCCCAGCTATCCAGAACGTTTGATATAGAATACTATGCACAGATTTTTACATTGTAAATGTGCCATACAGTTTAGAGAGTGTGCACCTGTGAGGTACACGCTACAGCAAACACAAGCATGCTCACTGCACGCAGACCGCCCCTTCTTATATATCATGTACACTTATGCTGCACTCACATCAATGGCATAAATTTGTACGCTGTACGTATTTTTGCTATGAAAGCCGCGTAGGTACCTTGGGGTGATGGCACGTGGGGGTATACTTAATGGCGACTACGCAGAGGGTCTCGAACCAATTCGACGAGAGAATCACCTGGGCGCTGAGGGGATGGAGCAGCGCCACGTTGACGCAGTCGACCGAAATGCCTACAAGGTCTGGCTGGCTGTACATGTAATTTTCACCCAACGTCTTAGACACAGAGAAAAAAACGGAAAAACAAAGTGGGTGCAACACAACTCCAAAAGACGCGGGGCAGCAAGCAGCAGATAACGCACACACGGCATCTTAGCGAAGCCACCCAGAACAGTGCGCACAACAGAGCTCTGATGTGCTGAATCGATGCGATGGGAAGCAGGCAAGGGAGACTAGAATAAGCCGCGTGGTTGACTCTAAAAGGGATCAAACTTCGCAGGGACCGGAATGAAAACGCAGGGGCACGAAGCCAGAAGCATGCAAGCTTGCACCGCACGGACTGCAGCATCAACTGCACTTGATATTGCTGTGGTGGTGCGCCACGTGGGGGAGAAAGTGGTGCGTTCACTCACCTTAATCTTCTCTAGGATAAACCCCACGCACCCTTCCAGCGCCGCAGCGACAGCTCGGCGGACGCAGTCTTCTTGGGCGTTTGAGAAGATGCCCTGTAGAGACCGCAGGGCGCCCAAGTGGTACACAGTGGGTGACTCCGCGAATGTGCGGGAGAGTGCATGTAGAAATGAATAAAATATCCTGAGGACGCGAAGCACAGGCAGCACAAGGAAATTGCACAGGAAGACAGACACACTAACAGGGAACAATGAGAGATAACAGCAAGGGCCAATATGTGAATCCAAATGCTTACACAAACTTGAGATATAAGTATGACGATACTTCAGGGTGAGATGGGCACTGTCATCTCACACCAATGCAAACCCCACGCAAGAACTTTTTCTGAGCAGCGGCCGCACCGCTTATTTGGCTAATCTCTTGGCAGTACCTTAGACACACGCTGCGTGACCTAATTTACAGCATGACACCGCACAGAGCATCAAAAATGAAACTCAACAGCTCTAGTCCCGGCGCACCGGTAGCGAGGTATGTGGGCCCTGCAGTTTGCACACAGAGCCACAAGTGCGTAACAGGAGACCTCGTAAAGGAATTCAGTGCGAGGGCCATCCAACATAGCCTTCTGTATGACCGGCCAGTTTCCATCTACAGCATCCAAAACAGGGTGCCGGTAAGGGCTCCGCGCTGCAAGCAACACTCCGCAGCCCACTTAATTCAGATACACAGCTACCTTCAAGGAGCCAACAAAGGCACGCAGTCGTGAGTAGAGGGAACGAAAATGAAAAGCGCGCGAAAAATAACTATGAAGAGCACACGGCGATCGCCAGCGGGCAGCAATTGCGGGTGACTCTTCCATTAGCTGATTAGGTTACCAGCCACGTGGATGCAGTGCTCCAGGTTGATGCCACCCAGTCATGCATATCCACTTTACGCGGAACAAAATATCCGGTGTGTTTACTGATAACCTATCTCGTCTGCACCATAATTCTGTGGTTCTGTAACGGTAAGTCTGTCTCCGTCTCCGTGCCGCTCATTGAGTTCGCGTGTCTGAGCCAGTGTTAGTGTGCATCTTCTCCAGCCTATCCGTCTTAATGTTTTATACGTGACTTCAAGCAAGTATGAGGTGCGTGTGCATGCGTGTAGGACTGTGTTTACGGCTAAGAGGCTCAAAAGCTTGCGATGGGGGAGGAGGGGCGTAGTCCTCTGCGGGCTGAACAGATTGAATAGCCGAGAAAAATAGCGCCATAGTTCGCTTAAGGGTGCCGCTTGGACACCGAGGATCGGAAAGGGACCGCTCTAGCTCCCCACCGAGTGACTGCATGCACGCATGCGAATGCACGCACATTCACAGCCCCTAAATTTTAGTCATAGCCCCAGCGGGCGCTTGTATGACCGTGACAGGACTCTCGAGCAACCGCATAACTATCGATGACATCGACGCCCACAGGCCATAGGCACTTTTCGGGGAAAAATCCAAAGGGATTGAAAATGAAACAAAGCGATCCGCAGTTACCTGTAAGAGCTGAGCAAAAAGCTGACGAATGCGGGGAGCGTCAAGACAAGAGATGACATAGCCTGCTGTGTGGACGAGCAATGAACTATTGTCAAGACTGAGTCCGGGTCTGAAGGCAAATCAGGTCAATTCCACATCGAAAAGCAATTAACGCTTGACTGTACAGTTCACCAAGAACGTGATGCAAGCCGGGGACGCGCCATTTCAAGAGACAGATAATGTCAACGCTCCCACTTAAAAGGCAGCCGGCTTGTCCTAAGCATGCACAGCCGTCAATCTGAGTGCGTGCCGGCTCTCCCACCTAAAAGCCACCCTGACAAATGGTTTCTATGCGTCTGACGGCGGCATGCCGAGGCTACTTGAGAGGACCGTATGGCGTGTTGCGGGTGGCAAGCTCTGGTCCTACCTGGAGAAAGCGCCGATGAGAGCGTTAAGAAGCGCATGCACGTCCTCTTCCCTTCCTGGGGAAGGAATGAAGTCAGCAGCAGCAGCAACAAGTGATGAAATGCCCTCTACCAACAGGGCCTCGGTAGACTGACGCAGCAGAGCCACGTTCGAATCCTTTGGTGCTTCCTGCAGGCAGGTAACGCATATATAATGCATGCACGCGAAGTAAACAAAAGCCGTGAAATCCAGCGCCGCATATGCATACGAGCGTTTTAGGCAATCATGCGCACCACAGCAAAGACAGTTTGATGCCTGTTTTTTGTTGAAGCAAACACGGCAATTAAGGCATCTGGAAATGATCGAAACGACTAACCACAGCAAACATCCCTTGCAATTACAAGTAATGCTGAGACAAACGAATGAACGGAAGCGAAACAAGCTAAGGCCCTCAAACAGAAACTACAGCGCAGAAGGGCTTGCACTTGCAGTACTTTCCATTCAGTTCCGCCAAGTCTATCCACACAGTTACCACTAGATTGTGCACTCTCTTGCTAAAAAGGCGCTCATGAAGAAACGCAATGCAGACCTACATGCTCAGCGCTGCCTTCAAGGGAGAGAAAGACTTTTGACGTTTCGAAGAAACAGAGAAGCACGGCAACACAAATATGCCGAAGAGACATGATAATTCACACTCAGGAAATAAAAAGATATGAAATATAAATGTGCATGTGCAGACAAACATGAACGTTTCATATGAACAATATGCACGTATACAAGCCCGCAGGAAGGTATACAGATGACGTGGGAGAGATATACCAGGATACTTACCGGCAGTGAGGCGACAAACTGTAAACCCTGAGAAAAGAGGAGAGAAAAGAGAGGCGAAAACATTTCAGGATGCTGCGGTACAATACGATTAGAAAGCCAAGAGATCGCCCTCGCAATAGCTGCAAGTAGGAAAAGAGTGAGAGCCTCCGCTTCGGTTATGTCTACAGAAGGGGCGGCTGAGTCCCGTGGGGAGGCGGGGAAAGCCAGCTGCGGCAGAAGCTGCAGTAGTTGCAGGACAAAACTGTCACGTCTTGGGTCCGTGCAGGGCCCCGCTTGGCTTCCCGCGCTGCTGTCTCCCGTGTCCCCTCCAGCAGGAACTGCCAGCCGAATGCGGTTGGCAATTGTTGAGACAAAAAAAAGTCGAGCTTCTATCTCCAGCAAACCCTCAAACCCTGACGCAGTCTGCGACGAAAACGGAAGGACACATGCTGCAAAGTGACACTTTTGCCCCACCACCGTGGAAAACAATGCAAATAAAAAGGCAATACGGAGAAAGACGCGTTGAAAGCCATAAACGAAGACAAAAGCACACGTTAAACGAGGAAGAGATCACAGGAGCAAACAAGTAGAACACAGAAAAGCAAACAGATGGCTGTATCGTAACGGCATCAGTAGGCCAATAGAAAGAACACAAAACGCCGAGATATGAACGCCTTGTTCCCCCTTGCCTGCGAGTCTCTGAGTAGCGCCAGGAGCTGCGCTGATGTTGCGCTGCAGGGTTTATCAATGTCCAGCAACACAGCGGCCTCTGTAACTGTGGCGGCGACCTCTGATCTGAAGCCTTGCCATGTATCGAACTCGAGTTCTTCCCTTAATAATGACCCCAGAGGCGGCCTTAGCTGCCGCACTGCTGCTTCAGCAAACGGCTGGAAAATCCGAGAGAGCAAGGGCTCTCGGAGGGCTAGGGCGTCCATGTTGCGTTCGTACCTCTTTTCTACTTCAATTAGTGCACTAGCGGGGTCGCCTGTTGGGACTGCTACTGCTCCAAGACTGCGGCCTGCAGCAGCATCAGCATCGGCAGCGGCTGCGGCTGCTGCTTCGCCACGAAGATGGTCCCGCCACGCACTAAGCCGTCGTTCTTCTTCTACCAGTACCAGTACGTGGTTGAGGAGATTGCGGAAAAAGGAGACACCGAGATCTTTGACTTCGTATGAGGGATGCTCCAGCAGGGCCTTTGAGAGCTCACAAATCGTCTCCACCGCGGGCTCCAGCGCAACAGCGGCCTCCTCGTTAGCACTCCCGCTGTTGTTGCTACCACTGTTGTTGCTGCTGCTGGAGCTGAAAACACCCTCCGTCAGGCGTGCTTCTGCCTCCGCCAAGTCTACTAGCAGGCGAGGAATCTGCGACTTCGCCAACTCCGTCAAGCCCAGTGCGAATACTTGCAGTCTTTCTATGTCAAATGCAGCGATGCCACGCGGTTGCTGCAGCGCAGCACAGATGAGACTGGGCCTATGCTTGTGGCGTTACAGTAAGCTACAACACAACAAGTATTAAGGCACTATGGGGCACGGTACATGCTCGTGTAGTACAGGAGATAATACTTTAGCAGACTGGGCAAATTTGTGCGTAGTACATCCTGGGGGAAACGAACATCCTGGGTGAAAAGACATTTCACAGGCCGGCATAGTAATCGCAGCGGCAGGTAACGCTGCTTGTCAGGCCTGACAGGGCATGCAAATAAATCCTCTTACGCCTCTTGCTGCAGCTAGTGCCGCGGAGCAGCCGTTGCCGTAGGCCCTGACAATAGCAGCAATCAGAGTTCTGCTAACTGTCGCCTCACCGCCGCTTCCTCCCTCCGCCCCGTCTACCGCGGTTGTTCGCTGTGCGGGGCCATCTGCACCTGCAGGCTCTCTGTTGCCGCTTGCTGCTGCTGCTGCTGCTGTTGAGTCCTCCAGCATAGAAGCCGCAGCAATTAGAGTCACTACGCACTCTGTAGATAGCTGCAAAGTGTCTACGTCATCCGAGATCACCCCACGTAGAAGAGCAGCAAAGATGCTGCCTCTGTAAACGCGCTGCAAGCCGAGTGTCAAGGCTTCTAAAGCGGCAGCTGGGCCCCAGAGTCCCTGCTGCTGCTCTAAGTGCTGTTGGCCCCTCTGCTCTGTCACCACTTGCTGCACCCAGCAGCACGTTGCCGAGAGCCATGATTGAACAGTTCTCACAGCTGAGCACCAGCAAGAAGTCCCACAACCTTGTGTCTGCCTAGGCTGCACGCGAGCGGACTGTACAGGACTCAATTTCACGTGTTGTTACTGGTGGTATTGTCTGCTTCGCCGCTGCTGCTGCTGCTGCAAATTAAGCAGATGCGTCAGCAGCAGCTGTACTATGTGACAATCTGCCAGCACCTTTGGCACGTGTGTACGCTGTTTTGCAATTGTGAGAGACAGAAACAGCAACTGCAGAGGATGGAGGGAGCCAATGACTAACCTCCATGCAGTACTGCCCGCCAATGCGACCTCTCTTCAGGCCCTGACCTATCATGCGCTGCCTGCGCATGCACAAATATGGCCTCTACGGCGTCTAAAACTTGAGCAGAGTTTTTGCTAATGCAGCAGGCTAGGTAAGGCAACCGACGATCCTCTGGCAAGGCGATCCTGCGGAGACAGATACAGCGTGACTTTGGTCATAATTGTTGAAGTTCAGTACATTTCAAAGAGCCTCACTCAACTGCGAGATTTGCATTCACCTTTTTGTGCATAACTCCTCGGGAAGAAAGACCAGCAGCTCTAGTAGAGGCAGGAAGCCCTCAGTCCCCGCGCTACGTCCCAGCATTTGCAGAACGGGGTTCAGCTGAAGACCCCGTTCACTTCCCGGAGCACTATCGCCGGCAGAAGCCCCGAATATGAGCGCAGAAGAGAGAGCTACACACAGCTGACGCAGAACCGGCAACGGCGCATCTCTAAAAGCAAACACTAGCTGCAGTAAACCGTCTCTAAGCTCGGCATACACCTGAGATGCCGACTCCACTGAGCCGCAAAAGACGGACGAAGATGCAGCGGCAGAAGACCCATGCGTAGACAATAGCGCAGATAGCTGCTGTGGGAAACCTGCGCGAGCCTGAGCGGCGAGAGTCTGAGCTGCAAAGTGCAGAACCTCTGGGGAATGACAGCTAGATGACACTGACGGCTGCTCCTGTTGGTGCTGTTGTCGCTGTTGCTGAAGTTGACTGTGTTTGTTAAGAATGGAGATGCAAATGCCCCATGCACTGGGATCGCGCTGGAACTCCGTGAGGTACTTGTTTGCAGCTGCGGTTGAGGACTCCCCCTGAACTGAAGTTGAGGGCGAGTTCAGCACGAACACCATCTGCACCACCCCCTCCTCTGTATAGACAGGCCTGTGTGCAGTGCCATTATTCATGAGGGACCCATCTTTCGGAGTAACAGATGAACCGCTGTCAAATGTCGGAGGTCCGGAGGGCCCCGGAGGATCCCCCATGTTGCCTTCCGAGTCCATCGTACCTTTAGTTCGAGCTTAATTATGTGTAAACACAAGGTACGAAAACAAAATGCAGCAGTCCCGGGGATGCCCTGTTGGAAAACAGTTGCGTGGTGGTGCTGACGTTTGCCGGGGCTGCCACAGGCACGCGTAGCACTCTTGAAGTAAGTTACGGGAAACCCGTAAAAAGAAAGAAGCCAACAGTTAAGGGCTCTGCCAGTTTACTTTAGAAGAGGTGCAGAGACACAGTATGATGGTGGTTGCTCCAGTGGAGCTGGCTCCTGGTGGGCCGCAGACAGGCGATCACAGCCAACAAAAATTTGCACATTAACAGCCCTATATCTGCGAAACTTCTGCACATCTCGAGCCCAATATCTATGATAGTTTTACGCAAAAACCGACACAACTTTGCGCCGAACACTTAAAGTAGAGGAAATGTGAGTAGACTTCTAGGGAAGTCAGCCAACGGCAGCCTGCAGCTGCCTCGGTATGGGCAACAGCGTGTGCAATTGGTTCCAGTAATGGCTCAAGCTTTTACTACTGAGTTGAAGCCAGTTTTCCCGCATTTGAGCATGCTGGGAAATCAACTACTGGAAAGAATATCAGAAGGCCCAGGGGGAAAGCGCCACCAGTGTAGGTAAAAGAAGCCACCTATGGGAATCGAACCCACGACCTTCAGTTTACAAGACTGACGCTCTACCACTAAGCTAAGGAGGCTGGGGAGGAGTGGACAACGTATGAAGGCCTTCTGATTCACGAGCATCACACATAGTTCATTCTCCTCGGGTGCTGGGTCATTCCAATGGCCTTTGCTCATTGAAAACAGTTTGCCGACTCTTCAGGCGACTTCGGCATCATGGAACAAAATGATGCTTTACGCGCGCTTGTACTACCGCTCACGAGGCATTCAAATCTGCTGTCGTGCACGCAGAGGAATTTGCGTACTTTCGCTGACTTCCAAGGGGAAGGCCTCACAGATGCGCTTCGCTTGTGTCATAGGGGAAGCTCGCGCTTAATAAGGGTTCTGTGCCAATTGCGGTTCCGTGAAATCAGGACGCAGATTTACGTTCCTCTGCTGATTATAGTGTCCCCAATGAAAAAAAGCAACAATCTAGCCAGACACTTTATTAAACGCACTGGAGAGGCTGAATTCCCATGAAGCAAAGCAGCGTGATGTCTTCCGTTTCAACGCAAAGTTAAAGGAATGCCAAGTGAACAGTTTTCTGAGTGTCTATGGGAGAACTGATCCTGACATAATCGCTTTTGTCTGAACAGGAGTGCGCCACATAGTTTTTTATGAAAGTAACAGCGAGATCTCAACAGACACCCATCTGCATGCATTGGACATAACTGAAGAAGACACTGGAAAAACAAATACTCAAACAAGCGACCGCAACCACGGTACCTGTAGGCCTAAACTCACGCCAACGTCTTGCCGGAGACTCTAGTGTCAGCAAGCACCTCTTGTGCTGATATTAAAACAAAGACTCAGGATGACAACGCTTTGGGGTTAGACACTGGCTTAGACACCTGATATAAAGCCTTTTTGAGCAGTCCCCACCCAGGATTACCGATGCGGTCTCCTCGTGTGTACCGCATCCCTGAAAAACACCCACGAAATTTCTATGAAGCCCAAAACCCTCGAAAAAAACATTAATGCCTATTTGCGAACATTTCAAGCCATTCACACATCCCCCTGGTAAATGGAGCATACTATTTTCAGTTTTCATTAACGGCGAAGGCCAAGCAGGTCTACTAACACATACATCAACACAACAGCACTATCTGCGCACACGGATGCCTATATATACCAGCGCAAAGGTGCCTACTGATTACAAAAACGACCTAGCAGGGCGCAAGTACAACCGCGTGTGTAGAACGTTGGGAGCCCTGGGTTAACGCGGAGTAGATTCATTTGCAGTGTTTGGCAGAGGAGCGGCGAATGCGTTTCGTCGGTGGTGACGGGAGTGACCATTGGTCCGAATCGTCTAGAGGTTAGGACAACACGTTGTGGCCGTGTAAACCCAGGTTCAATTCCTGGTTCGGACAGTGTTTGAGGCCGCTGGGGCGTTTTGTTTGGTTTAGTGTTGCGTCTTGTTGAGCCAGTGTTGTTAGCAGTGCTGGTCAGTGGGGAGTAGCGTTGCGGTTGGTTGGAG